CACTACTCCACCCTCACCCCACCCAAAAAGAAAGAAATCAAACAAGACCCTCACAATCACACACCGATCACGCAATGACCCAGAAGCCAAAACAACAAGGGAACAATGAAACATGATCCGAAACGGATCGAGAGTAAGGAACCAAACCCTAATCCCAACACATCAACTGGATCCAACAACACAACGTAGGAACAATTACCTTCCTGAACTTCTTCCCCCGCCGTACGTTCGCCGAAAACCTGAGAAAATTTCCACTCCAGCGGTTGCGGTGGACCCGCCGGAGCTGCCACAACCTCATCGCCACCGTTCATTTCTCAATCAACGGTACTCTGAAAATCCCAACAATCTCTATCTACCAGCGCGCATCGAAGATTCCCTTTCTGGATTTTCACAAGATCATAGTTTCAGAGACACCCATCAAAGAAAGATGCAATTTTTTTCTCTAATCTTCTCTCACACCCTTCTTTGGATTTCCAGTTCAACCATTGGAAACACCCAATCAAAAAAAAAAAAAAAAAGCCAATTTTTTTTCTCTTTCTCTCTCTTGCAACCTCAAACTTTTCTCTCTCTAAAAGGAGAAAAATGGGAATTTTTTGGGGATTAAAATGGCTGAGCAAACGGTTCTTTGGGTTTGGAGATGCAAAAAACACACACGCACGCACACTCTTCTCTGTCTACTTCTCTCTCTCAATAATAGGTTTCTGTTTGTTCTTTTCGTACGTAAATATATAATTTCCTCGTCCGTGATAACCTCACGTGTCTGTCACGCGACTCTGTGAAGTGCCAAGTTTGTTTGGATTCTGAGGGGTGGTGACAATGAAAATGTCCCTTACATCTGACGTCTGTGATGGCTGTGTCGTGAAAGTGGGTGATATTAGAGAATAATTTTTAGACTGATTGAATTTTTCATTAATTAACAAAGTACTTGTGAAAGGACCAGAAATTGTTGATGGAAAGAGGTTAAGGTGAGGTTGTCTGAAATTACTTCCATGCCCTTGCCTTTTCCTCTCTCAGATATTCTTTCAAAACCACTCCTCAGATCTTCCATCACCCAAAAGTGGGCCATAGAGGGAGATCAAACGGCTAAGGATTTGCAATAAAAAAATTAATGAAAAATTTTGGAAATTTGGACCTTCTTAAGATTATGTTGCATATATGATATAGTTTATGGTGAATACATAGAATATGCAAGTATTATTGTGTGATGGGTATTGGTCAGTGTTTGCACTCAACCCCATCCCAAAACATTTGCATGAACAGTTATTTGTCTTTGACAATGGGGTGGCCATGGGGTGTTCCACTTTTGTAACATGACAACACTTTTTTGTTTAGGATTTGGGATTCTGTTGTAAGTTATCTAAAAAGAACCACTCAATAGTAATCATTAACCAAGAAGCCTAAACTAATTACTTGGTCTTGTTTCTTTATTTTATTTATTTCTTTCTTTTGCATTTTTTTCTTTTTTATTTTATCTTCGTGACCAAGCAAACATTTGGAGTACAATAGGACGAAAAAGTGAAAACCACATTCTTGGAAGGTCATGGAGACTATTTGTTTATTTCACTAAAATAATTATTTTCCCAATTTCTGTATACCTTTGTCGTAATTCTTTTCTTGGAATTTTCTTTGCCGGAAAGACTGTCCAAATTCATTGATTTTTTAACTCATTGATGAAATTGTTGTATGAAATGTCCCACTAATAAAAACATTTTCTTGTTTAGTCTAACCCTATAACATTGTTCTTTTTTCCTCAATAAAATGATTTTAATGTAATACTACCAACATTTTTCTATTATTGATTAAAACTCATATGATTACATTAAAATAATAAATTCACTTTTTTCTCACTAAGTCAAATTATAATATGAATCAATTATCTTTTGCTACTGATTATTATTTGAGGTCAAGTTTTGCATAAACAATATAAGAAACCTCTTGATTAAAAAAATATCAAGAATTTTAAGTGCTTGCTTATAAAAAGAATATGCCAAATGGGATGGAGATTTTTGTCATTTATAGATCAAAATTGAGTATTTTAGGCCCACATGTATGTAATAATGACTATTGATGATAAGCTAAGTATGCAATTAACTCACACTCCAATTTAAGAAACAAATAACACATCAAATTTAATAATTTTCTACACAAGCAAGTGCTCAAATGAATATTTTCTAAACTTATAGTTAATGAAATATTTTACTCCTCACACATGTGACCCCATAATAGGAAAAGAGAAGCATGAAATTTACGTTTTATTTTATTGCTAGATGTTAGATTGCTTATGACTTTGACATATTCCCAAAAGTACTACTTTTTGGAGGCTAAATTTTCATGTTAGTATCACTTAGTTGAGACAAATAAAAATAAAAAATTTCTTGAGGAAACATCTATTTCCCACTTTTTTAAATAAAAATTCTCTAGCGAATAAAGATGAAGTTGGCTATAGCCTTAAAAACAAAAAAGGTTTTGGTGTTGATTCAACATGACATGGTTTGAAATTGACAATGCACCATCATGTAGGAAAAAGGTGACGTCCCTCTCCCAAAGTGGCCTTCAAATATATGCTTCAATGTACCTTCCAATGGACAAAAGATGATTGGATTACTGTTTAATTTAGTGTTTATGTTTGTGCAACGTATGTCCAATGATATACAGTGCAGTTATAGTTTTTTATGTTAATATTTTTAATTAAAATTTATTTGTATACTATTTTTTAAGATTATCATTTAATAAGTTTAAAGTTTTTAATTTATTAAAAATATTTTATTTTTACTGTTTTTATTATTTTATAAATTCCAATAGCATAAAAATTAAAAGAAAAGTTAGATATTGTATGTATGAAAGATTAAAAGATAATAAAATTCATAAATAAATAATACTTAATGAATATTGTATGACAATTTAATTTTTATTTTCTATGTTTAAGATTAATATATATTATGAATAGCTGTTTTATAAATTATTAAAATGAATATGTTTTATTTTATATTTATTTTAAAATATAAATTTGGAAAAATACCATGTGCTAATTTGTTAAAACTATTTTAATACATGAAAATAAAAAAATGATTGGAAATATTCAAAACTTAAAAATTTAAAAAAAATACATAAAATGAATGAAAATTCAATAAATAAAAATGTAAACGAAGTAATTAAATTGAAAAATTAATTAAAATATAAATTTGTTACAATGTACATGTTTAGTTTTCTAATGCATTTCGGGTATTGACATAAAGCCCATTAAATCAAGGCCTATGAATTTAGGCCTGGTGTGCTTAACCATGATCAGATGTCTATTCTGATAAAAAAAGAAAAGAAAGCAAAAGGTGTTATTAAACATATTTTTCGGATAACAAAATAAATTTTCAGTTAATTGAAAAGCCTTACTAGAATACACTCATAGAATTTGTATAAAATTAGACCATCTTTTTTTTTTATTATTTAACTTTATAGCAACTCCTTCCAGATTTTTTGTATCAACAACTATTTCCAGAATTCCAGTGCTGATTCCCCAAACATTTTATAAAGAATAACTTATTACTCTCATATGCTGTTTTTCAACTTATTTTAATAGACCTTTTTGTATAACTTATCATAATGAGTTATTTTCAGTTTTTCTCAATAAATTTTATATTACAAGTCATTGTTTTTAAAAAAATATATTAAATAATTACATTCAAATGCATCCTAAATTTTGTTGCAAGGAGGAAAAAAGCTACTTTGGTCTAACTTTGTTAGAAAGGCAGAAACAAACAGGCCACAAGAAAACGAGCTTTTATTAATTTTGCTGCAAAAATCTACTTGTAGTTAAAGCAATGGATTTGATATCGAATCTGCCAAAACACATCCTGTATGAAAATTTCAAGTCTTTTTGTCTAAGGCTTGGAAGGACACAGGGTCTACCTTTACTATTTTGGTTTTTGCTAAATCCAAACATGGAAACTAATTTAATGATCCCTATAACACACTTTTGACTAGAACACAAGTATGCAAATACAAAGTAAATCATCTCATAAATCCATGCTACTTAAGGTTGCTAAAAGGGGAAATGTATATGTTACTGCAACTTGCTTGAAGACAATTGCATCAACCAGTTCTAATTGTTTCACAGTTCATGTTTCTAGTGAAAGTCATTGACCGTGGAAGCGGCATTATAAACACACCCATTAAGGAGGTCGAATCTGCTATGGGATAACTCTGTTTTCTATTGATTTTGTGCACTTTAATATACTTTTAACACATGTTTAATTAAATTTTTTTACTAATGTTTAATTTTGTATATTTAAATGTTAGATTGTAAATTTTCATTAATTTTATAAAATTTTCTATAATTTTAAAACTAATTAATACTCGATAGCTTTATTTAACATATAATATATTAAATAAAATACAAGTCTTAGCTAAAAGGTAATATACTTAAGAATGTTTAATGCTGCACAATATATCTAAAATTTAAAATATTTTACACGATTGAATTATTAAATTTTTTGAATTCATATATTTTGAAAATCATTGAACAGGATAAGTGTATGAGAAATACTCTGAATTGTGTTTTTATTGTTGTTGATGGCATGTAGTTACACGATTCGATTTGACTTTTTTTTTTTTTTTTCACAAAGAATCACCACCTAGTCATCATGAAAATTCGATCAACTTCCTTATTCCTATTGCAAAATATGTTACCAGATGAATCACGCAATTCATAGATAGAGTCATATCATTAAGTTAACTAATTTGAAATTAAAGTCACGACGCTCAGAATCTGCTGTCTGCCATGCATGACCATTGGCCAGTCGCTTAAAAGTTGTTGAACCCTTTTCTACTGTGATTGACAGGCCTTGTGCCAAAGAAAAATGAGTGCATCAACTCTTTTGTACCATGCAGCATTTTTCATTGCATAATTAAGATAAAGTGGTGTACCATTGTGCAATAGAATAGGGAAGGGTTGAAATCCAATGCAAGAAAGAAACTAAAGTGTTGTTAGAATCAATTGGCAAATGCTGGAGCTCAGCTCTTAGCTGAAAAAGGCTCAAAGGGGTACATGTTAATTGATTTAGTTGCATCATTAACCGATTATTTTGAGCAAAATAGTACAAAATACTAGTACTACTACTTTCACCCAAATCAATGTCAATTGTGAATTGGTTCTTTGCTCTTTTTTTTTTTTTAAGCATTTTCTGACCTCTTCTTTTCTATTTTCACTCAACAATAATCATTATATGGCATGAAGGGCAACCTAATAGGGGAGCTTTCGTTACCTACAAATAAAACAAGAAGGATGCACATCTTATTCTGTAGCAATATCAAACTTCTAATAAGCATGTCTATCAGTTGATGACAACAATATTACATTTCTAACCAAAAGCTAATACTTTCATGAGTTGAAAAAGTTGGCAATGCATCTAGCATGGTCTTGAAATCAACATTCTCATCTGTTTTCACAGAGCTTGTGACTTTAACATCCTTCAAGCCATGCCACCAACACTTAGTATGACCTGAACGGCAAAAGCATTTGTCCTCTTTTCTATCCATTAGCGTCTCATAGAAAAGCTGTAGATTTAAGGCAAATAACGAATAGTTAGAAAACATAAAAACGTTAAAAGCATGATAAAACATGTCAGATATAAAATGAAAAAAATGGCAAGACAAACTTTTCTTCTTCTATCTGATAGGATATATTCATCATTTGTATGAGTCTCACAATTGGAAGCACTATTTGATACAAAAGAAACATTGGAGAGGGTGAAATACCTCAATGAATTCTCTGCTGCAGAAAGAAGAATGCAAGCTCAATGAAATAGTTGCAGGGCGGCAACTCAAAAGTAAACTATTGACAAGGGGCAAATATGTTTTACTTTTCGGAACACCACGTATGTCCAAGTGTTTGATGCTTGGTGGAGGGGATGAAACTTGCAAGACATTTAAGTTCAAGTCATCCTACACAATCCAGGGTACATATAAACAAATGAGTAAATATGCAAATGGAATGAACCAATCAAGTGGTTAATTTATACTTACTATAATTGACTGATGGATAAATAGGGTAAGCGATGCCAAAACATGTTGAGGTTTGAAGTTTTGGATCAATTCCCTGAAGTTCGTAAGATTCGCATAATCAATGTGAATCAGAACATTGACTTTCAGTTGACTAGAACTTTTCAGAAAAGATATAATAGGTGTTGCAGCACCAGCACCAAAATATCCGCACAATAACAAATTTGGAGCATCAATGTTGACCTCCTTCAAGTTAGAGCAATTTGATAACTCCAAGACCTTGAGTTGAACACTTGAAATATTAATTGTCTCAGACATCGTGCAATTGACAAATTTCAAACTCTCAAGGAAAGGAAATTTATGAAACAGATCAAGAAACCACTTGTCTGTGATACTGTTGCTCTTCAATGACCATAAATTTAACCCTCTCAAATTCCTGCAGTTGTCGAAATTCATCTTGGAAGGTGCATGCAAATCACCAGGACAAAAACAGAAATTCTCAAGATTTGGAGCATCAACCTTAACCTCCTGTATTCCTTGAATATCAACTTCCTTGAGCTTTGGCAGGCCAAGCATGCTTATTGATGTCATCCTAGAAGTCCTGGACTCGAGCAGGCCACTTATGCTACCACGGTTCAGAACAAAACGGCACCTCAAAGTTATATATTCAATCAAAGGACAACAAGAAATGAGATGCTCAATTGCCTTTTCATCTCCCGAAAGGACAAGCCACAATGACAATACTCGCAAAGAGAAAAACTTGATTGAATGATTGCGGAATGCTTGATCAACTCTGATTGCCCCCATCAACACCAACTTATAAAGCGATTTGGCTTCAATGACACCTGTTGGCAAGATATAGCATTGGTTCTGACCTTGCTCACCCAGTTCAGGTAGGCAAAGTTCCAGTACCTCAACACGACTTTCACTAGCCAACTTCAACCAAAGATCAAAATCCTGGGACATGTCCTGAAAGTCAAAACAGTTTAGTCTGATCTTAAATTCTTTGATTGCTAAGCCTTGATCATGGAACCTTAGCAATGTTCTCATCGCATAATCGACAAAGGTCTTTCTTTTCCTCATCAAATCTTCCGGGCTCTGGGAAAACACCCCTACTATTTTAGTATCACAAAGCAACAAAATGGGAAACGTCGACCATGTTTCTGCCCACACCTTGGACAAAACACTTGTCCTAGCAGCATCCTTCTCTGGCAGCTTAGACAGAATGTCATGAAGGATTGTTTTGGGCAAATTTGATATCAGGTCCTGCGTCATTCCTTAACTACAAACTTGCCTAAAAGCGATTACAACAGCAAAAAACACTTGGCTCAGAGTCAGAGAGACTGTTAAAAAATCATATGCATGTGCTACAGAACAAGTACTATTTATCTACAACACATGAATCAAAATGGTTTATAAGGGGTGTGAGGAAGGGCAAGGATTATCGATGCACCTAACAAAATTCTACCAATAGAGGGTTCAAAGAAAGATTAAGAACTTAATTCTATCACTGATTTTCCAGCAAAACTAACCCTTTTGAATCATTTTGCAGCTTCTTAAATTGAGGGCTTAAAATTTATCAGGGATGAGTTTTTCATACAAAGCTCAAAAATTTAAAAACAAAGCAACCCTAAAAATTGAACTTTTGAGTTTAACCTACCCCTACCTCACACAGATCATGAATCAGTAGAACGTAAAAGTGGTAAACAGAGAAATTTGAAGATGATGTTTAGCAAACAGAGAATTTAAAGTGAATCAATATCAGATAGAAACACCAGAAAGTTCCGAAATTTAAGGTTTTGAGAGAAAGAGAATTACCTGCAGATAAGGAGGGAATCACGCACCCGATCCTACAAAGTACTGAAGCGAAGCAACTGTTCACGAATAGTATATATCGTTAAAAATATTTTTTAAAATAATTGATACACACATTGCATTTGTCAGTTGCAAATATTTTGTTTGAGTATTTAAAACTGAATAATATTATATCGTTGCGTTCGTCACTTGCAAATATTGACACCCAAATCAATGTACATTTTGAAAACAAATTGGTCAAGAGATGCTTTAGTTATAAATGATTCAAAAACGGAACAACATCGTTAGATTTGGTTACAATAATATATTAAAATTAAATAATGCAGTCAAAGAGTTCGATGTATTATTGAATATAAATTGGTCAAAGTAGGAAAGGTCAGATTACTAATATTATTGCAATTCTTTGAATGTGTACGTGAAGATATAGAATAAAAATTTAATATTTATAAAATTTTATTTAAAATTATATCATATTATTGAATTTAATATATAATAATATTAATTTTATATTTTAAAACATTATTATTTATTATTTTTCAATTATATATTCTTAAATGCACATTAAAAAATAATTTTAATTTTTTTATTACTATTAATGCACAAATATATTAATAAAAATAAGTAAGATTGTGGTACTCTTAATTTAAAATAAAATAAAAAAAATAAAAACTGAATACATCATTAGAGACTTTAATGTAAAAAAAAGAGAAAGTAAAGAAAAAAAAGAAGAGATAATGTATTTAAAAATAAAATGGATCCATTTATTTTAACAGTAAGTTTTAAATACTTACTTTTTTAACAACTTTTATAAATTTGATAAATTTAATTATTGAGTTTTATAAAAAAATTTATGATTATTTATATTTTATTTTAGATAAATTGAATATTTATGATTTATAATCTTGTAATTAAAATTTACTTGTATTTAAAAAAATATTTTATGCATACTAAAAGTAAATTTATTGATGAAATATCAAAGATTTGTTAAATTATATAAATTTATAAACTTGATATATTTTAGATGAACTTTTAATTTAACAAAAATTAGTATGTGTGTATAAAATTTTACATAAAATCAATTAAATAAGTTATATATATGTGTGTATTTTTTTTTATTTAACCTGAACCTTTTATTTAATTTATATTTAATAGTCATAATAAATTATAATTTATTAAATATAAATTAAATGAAATAATTCAAATTATATGTGAGAATTTTTAAATTTATGCTGAGAAAATCCTACCTATATATATATATTTATTATTAAATTTTTTTTAAAAAAAATCAATTATAAGTTCTAGAAGATAATAACATCATAGAATAAGGATATTGATAATAAATTTATCATTTAATTCTTATTATTTTTAAAAATTATGTAATCCAAGATAATACATAATAGTTACTAATAATTTTTAAATCTTATCATTTTATTTTTTTTATTAATGTTATCTTACTTTTAGAGGATAGTCTAAATCTTAACATGTAAAATATTTAAATTTAATTTATCAACATTAATTTATGACATAATTTGAGATATCATATATATATATATATATATATATATATATATATATATATATATGTATGTATGTATGTATTAGTTAATAAAAGAAATCAGCATCTGATAAGAATAAAAAGAAATTAGATCAAAATCTGATAATCAAGTATATCGAATATCATTAACTAAGAAAAATTTGAAATTTAACAGGATTATTCTATTAAAATGGGGAAATCTAGAGTGTATATACGTAATTTAGCAAGAGTTTGTGTAACTACATTGGAAGACAATATGAAGCAACGTGCATCAATATCTGAAGGATAATTCTCATCACAACTAAGATATGTTCTCCGATAACTAAAGTAAGAAAAGGTTGCCAAAATAGCCAAACAAAACCACCATATAATTAGAAACTTGTATATAACAGAAACTTAATGAAATAAAAGTAGTGGAAATAGGGGTGCACCATTATTAAGAAAGCGTTGAGAGCAATATTATGTTGCATGATGCTGATGAGGAAGAACCCTCCAAGTCAGGAAGCAATCTTTGTAGCCAAGACAGAATGGAGAAGAACATGGAAATTGATAGCAGTCATGGAAAAGCTCCTACTACATCATCAAGCGAGTCACCGCCAAGAAAAATAGAATTATTATGCAAGTTTTGTAATAAGAAATTCACAAATAGCCAAGCTTTGGGTGGACATCAAAATGCCCACAAGGATGAAAGAGCAACAGCAAAAAAGCAAAAGATTCTTAGCATGGCTTCTGCTTACAAAGACTCATCGCTTGATTATTCCACCTTTGCTTCAAATCAAGCTTTTGGATTTGGTGGCAGAACAATGGGGTTTCATCAAACTAAGCCTCATGACTATAAATGGCCTCATATGCAACTAAAACATGACTCTTGTGATGATCCATGGCAAAGGCACCACATTATGAATCGTTCTCAACCCACTTTGCATCTCTTGCAGACTTTGATGGCCGGTGGGAGTGGATTTCATCAACACCACAAATCCGATCAATCTGTATTTTTTACTACATCTAGTGGAAGACCACAAAATTTAGGGTTGCAACCACATTTGTTACATCCTAGTTTATGTGACAATGAGAAGTTTGGTCAAGCAAGCAATTTTCCAATAGGATCTCAAAATGCTAGCTTAGAGAGACACGATTTCAATGTCAAGCCTTTACGAGATAGTGAGAATTTGGATCAAGCAAGCGATTCTTCAACAAGACCTCTAAATGCAAACATAGAGGGGCCTGATTTGACTGTTAAGCTTTTACGTGATAACGAGAATTTTGATCAAGCAAGGAATTTTTCAGTAAGACCTCGGAATGCAAGCAGAGAGGTGTTTGATGAGAATTTTGGCCAACCTAATTCTCATTCAATGCTTGTGAAAGAAGATGTAGAAGGACTTGATTTGACTCTCAAACTTTAAATTCCCAAGCTAGTCTAACTAAATAATAATATTCACTTCTCGTCAACTCATCAGCATTATGCTAATATCTAGAAGTTTAGTATTTGCAAGAGATTATATTTTCAATCTAAATTTTCAATTTTGATTTTTGTAACAATAGAAGAACAATCTTTAGTTTACAATAGTTCTATTTTTTTTTTTCACGTTCGAGAACAGATAAAAATAGGATTTTGTTTATGATAGTTGTAAATTTTTTGTTATTTTTATCATTGATGTTTTTCCTTTTTAGTCCTTATATATTATATAGTTAGTTATTTATTAACAACAGCACAATTAATAATAAATTGATTTGATAATAAATCGACATTTCAAAAAAGCCTAGAAGAAAATCACGCGACTTAACAAAAAAAAAGGTATTATTTTTATTCAATAATATTTTATTGTTTACTTTAAAATTTTATTTAATAATACTCTTGTTGTGTGAAAAAAAAAACTCCTAAATAGCTAGCGTAAAATATCAACTCCCTTATATCAATTTCATCTAATTATAAATACAAAAACAATTAATGACAATTTTGGAGCTGTTTTTGTTTCAATTATTCGAAAAATGTATACGCCGTGATTTTATTTTTGGAAAATAAAAGCAATTTACCATTTAATTACAATTATAAGCACTTTTTATTCTAAAAATGCTCATAATTTCAAGTTTTTTGAAAAAAAAATATTGACAATAAAATCCAGCCAAAAAGTTAAAACATTTTTTTTTCTCATAATCTTAACCAAATAACTAAAACAAAATTAAAATATAATTTCTAACAAACAATTCCACGAATTCCTATACTTCTTCTCATGAAATTATCTGTTCGATTGCCTTGGTTTTTCGGCCTTTTTAAGACTCTTGCCACCATCCCACAGAATACTCAACAATAAACCCAACCTCTGCATCGTGATTTCAAAACTTGCTACGCATACATGGTGTCCCTGTGGCCACCATTGATCAATGATGGAAAAGATACAGTTGATACTAACTAATACCTAAACACGAAAAAATTCAAAACAAACTATTATTTATTAATTCTTCAACCTATACTATTAAGACACATAATTTTATTTAAAAATTAAAGATTTTATTTAAAAAGAAACGCACACCCTCACCCGCTCAAGGCGATCCAAGTTTAATAACTCTGCCGTTACCATTAATTGAAAACAAAATAAAATGTATAAAATGTCAAGCTAAAGGGGGGGAAAATCTTTGATATTGTAAAAGTGATTCAAGTAACATAATCAAAATGAATAAGTTGGTGTCAGGTTTTCAGCCTGTATGTCATAAACAATGGAGCAACTCTTAATTATCTGTTCACTAAGGATTTCATTAATGGCATTGCTCTTGCGTTTCATTCATTGAAATAGATTAGGCTTCATCATAGAAATGTAACTTGATAGTCAACTGCCTCTTGCCTTGGACCCAGTCGAGGAAAGGGAGGAGAATCCAAGGTAGCATACTTCAATTCAAATTCTTATACATCCTTAAAAAAAATACAATACCTAAAACAAATAGATACTGACATGCATCAAACCTCAAGAGTACAATAAACTGACCCGGACACCATTCTTTTCCACAATCCTTCAATCTGAGGTAAAACACCAAATGGGCTCTTCGTAAGAATTATACAGATACAACACGAGCCTTGTACATGATTATATACGCCATATGCCAATCACCTAGAAGAGACAAATATAACATATTAATTATTTCCTAATCAAAAGCTAAAGATATAACAAATTGGGTAATCGATTAAGGGGGGAAAAAAAAGTCAAGGTCTAAATTTGCTGATTTTTTACCGGATGTCAGCTCATGCTAGCTCCTCGATAAGAGGGCAAATAGAAGTATTAATAACTAATTTTATATTATCCATGACCGCAAATTAATCTGTATATCCTCACCTCCTCCAGATAGTCTAGTGATGTCTTCTTCTACTTTTGGTTTGGGATTGTCATCATCAAACTCTATCCATTTCCCTGCCAACAATGAAATAAATATTATTGCTTCAACGAGACCAGGACTGATAGTCAGATACTACTAACACAATTTTTCCGAGAACCAACCATTTTCTTGCTTGACCCAACCAACATAATGTCCTGAATCAGCACTTCTACCCTTGTGGGTTAATACAGCAACCAAATCATAAATTCCAGTCATCTGTGTTTCTTTTTCACCTATAGACAGAGTATGCAGTGTAAAAAGTAGAAAGGATTGAGAAAAGTAGGGGAAAAAAAAGGTACAAGAATGTTGCAGGTTTTTACCCTCCTCCATGGGAACTACAGATGGCTCCCCTCCATTCGATGATCCCTGGATCAATAAAAGACACAAGGTATAGGGATTATGATTATTTATGCACACTGAGGCATGTGGTGTGTGGAATGGTGAATGGAATTGACTGTAATAGAATGACTATTCCCATTTCCCAGTTCGATACCCTAGTATGAAACCACTTTTATAATTGATACATGGAATCAACCTAAATCTGAAAACAAATCTAACTTATTGAAGCAATGATTCTAGGTTTCCTTTTCAACTAGTTAAAATTAAAAAAATTGTGTCCAAAGAAAGCAATGGCTGTTTTATAATTTTGCTTATAAAAGATAATTTGAAGTTGGTACAAATTAAAAAGACACGGTTTTTTTTTTTTTCCAAAACTCAGTAGCATATGTATGGGACAAAATGATTACATATCATTCCATGGAGCATGAAATCCCAACCTCACCACACTAATGAATGGAATTTGTTGCTCCACTCCTAATTCTATGGATCAAATACGGGATGGAATTACTACATACTTATGCTAGCAAACAACGTGGCAATCACAGAAGAAATTACAATTACTGCATATCAACCATGGTGTTATGGTTGGTTGTTTCCTCACCTCAGCATCAGACATTTTTACATCATTTTCCTTCAGAACAGAACTTTTCTCATTCACTTTCAGACCAAGTCTTTTGCCTTCTTCATTTCTTAGGATCTGAAGGTACAATATCCAAATAAGAATTAGAGCCACACATTTTACACGGCAGAATTTTTTTGAATTACAAACAACCATAAGGTTTTCAAATGTCTAAACAAAGAAGAAACCTGTCTAGGAGCTTCCAATTTTTTACGAAGTTCGTCTGAACAAAAATCATAAACATCCAACTCCAGAGGATAATCTACTTTCTGAGATATGCACACAATGACATTGTAAAATAAACATTTAGAATGCGAACAAAACCTTCCAAGGAAAACTTGTCCAAACAGACTTTATCTACCATAAAGAGAGAAAGAGTGATCATTACCCGCAAAATCTTAGCCTTTTGGTTGGATTCCCTCTTCCAAAAAAAACGGACAAACTGAATAGTCAAGTACCTTGCAAAGACAAAAGTTGAAAATCGCACCCCTCAAAAAGCAATTAACAAAGTAAAAAATAAAACTCAACAAGGAAATAGGCAATCCAATCATGTCATAAATCAGACCAATATTTAAATTATGACCCGTAAGAGAGATCATAAGTAATACCATAAAATATTTTAACTCTCATTGAATTTCTTAGAGGTGTAAAACTTATATTAATAGTATTAGAAAAAATAAATGAAGGTCTCACAACTGTGATTGTTACTTAACACTATCCACACCCAATCGTATGAATATAAATGCGCAGCCAAAATAGATACTCTAAACTGAAGAAAGATGTCTTGGCGGACTCAATTTAGAAACAATACCTATCTAGACCATTTTCTTTAACAGGATACAAAAACATAGTTAAATAAAGATATAGTTTATTAGTATGGTTTTGGCACCATATCGTGTGGGTAAACATGGAATGAGAAAAAATAAACAGATAAAAACCACAATAGTATTCCACTCATAGAACCAGCACGTTTAGCAGCTTAAACTTTTGGATTGATTTGGTAGCTGACATCAAAATCATTACACACATACACATATATATAGTCAACCCTCCAGATTTCAAATGCTTCATCAAGTTGCATTGAATGGTCTCATAATAACATCTTTTGTGCAAGTTATCCAAACAAAGGGCACTTGAAAATGTGCAGTTTAAAATGTACTCCAACTGAAATCACATGGAAATAAAGAAAAAAATAATAATCCAAGGAAAAATCATTTCATATCCAAAAAGAGAATATCAACCTTGGCAGGGCATTGATGCATGATTCCTTCAAGTAGGTAGCACTACGGCCCAGAGCAGGGGAAGCCTTCTCCAACTCTGATTTTAACCCCTACAAAAGTCTGCTAGGTTAATAAAAGTTTTTAAATAGTGAAATATTCATCATAGGGGGGAGGGGATGGGAGAAATAATATAATTAAACAATTTGATAGACCTAAATAATGTCCAACTACAATTAAGTTTTCATTTACCAGTAATTTATGAAGGAAATTGAAAACAATGGATTAAAGGCATAAGAATACTACTGATTCCAAATCAGTAAGAAACAAGTAGTTAATAACGCCAATATGCTGTTTCACGTTGACCACTGTTAGAACATCATTAACAAGTTAATTATCTCTAATCAGGAAATTGAACCAATAAAATCTACTGTTTATATCCTTTTCTTGGTGTGTTCATGTGCATATTTGAACCAACCTAACACCTCTGCCTAACATCCCCCCAACAACCCCAGCCCAAAAGTTAAAGCTAAAACCTCCACACCAAATCAGGAACATATGTGCACAGGTATTGATGCAAGAGAAAATTGGATCTTGCATAACAACCAAGAGCCAATTATTATTCAGCAACAGGAGAAAAAAAAATTCATACAAAAATTAATTATAAAGCTTAAATATTTTTTGGCAATACAAGATATATTGCGTTGTCACTGGCATAGTTGTAGAGCTTTATCAAGACAATTATCAGTAAAATCTGAGAATGAACTGGGAAAGAGGATGGAACAAAGTAGGGAGAATACATGGACAGAATCGACAGATCAAGCAACAAAGCTTTAACGAAGAAAACAGGGGGCTAGACTTGCAAGACAATAACATCATCTAAGTAAGCAACCGACCCACATACACAGACACATGTCAACGGAAAGAGAAACGCATTAGCACGTACTTGTTTTAGTCCTTCATGCAAATGGTTAACCTCCTGTGATATGTGGCACTTAAGTGAATAAACAGATTCTGTTTCTGAGCTTTCTTCGTTACTCTCTTGACAGTGAATCCTAACAATATCAAATCACCAATAGAATATGACTACATAAAAGGATACAATCTCATGAGCATCAATAAGCATTTTTAATAGACTACAAAAAATAAGTGCAAGTTCTCTCTTTTGATCTATAATTAATTGAACCAATCAGAATGCACCATAAAGCAAGGACTACAAAGCTACAAAAGGAAACAGATGTGTATAGAACACAAAAAAAAAATCTCTCCAGCAAAATGACTGACAGTGTCATGGACATAAATATAGTCCTAAAAATTATTGGGAAATGAACCCTGGCTAGCCTCTCCAGCCTAGCTAGTTCACCTCTCCAAAATGTAAACGGAAAAAACACAAAAAAAAATAAAAAATGCACTCTTGTACTCCATTCTGTATACAATATAAAAGCTCTTCCATTTCTATTGCAACATTGCAATCTTCCAAATTTTCTAAGTTTTATTTTTTCCTATTACTAACTTTTTCCATTTTCCTTTTCATTTCTTTCAGCTTACTTGACTTTTCATCCTTTTTTATCCTTTCAATCTTTAAATAGAAATAAGTACATTGACTTCTATCATGTGTGTGTTAGTAAAATGAATAAAAATGTTACTCTTTTATATATTTATAGATCCTTTATAAAATCTTAATCTTTTAAGTTGTAGTAATAACAAAATATTTGAGTATGTGTCTTACAGACAGCTTTATTAATAGAATTGTTAAACATGAAATGAGAGTAATGATTTAAAGCATCATGCAGTCTACTTCGTTCTTTTTTTCTTACCTTTTCTTTCTCACATGGCCTTCCCCAGACTCACGAGACATATATAAGTTAGAATCAAGAAAAGAAACAATCTACTTGATTTTTCATTAGTAGCCAAGAACTATTCTACAAAGGAGAACTAAAAAACTATGCACAGAATAGTTTTGTGAATATAATAAACTTATTTGCACATTAGTAGCCAACAATTGTGGAGAAGTCTTAGACAATACCTGCTAATAAGTTCTATGCCAAAGAGTGCCTTCACAGCATCGGGATTTTCACTGAAAATTAAAGCATAAAATTGTTATATAGAAACTAACATTCAGGATGCAAAGAAATGGGTGAAAAATAATGAGCAATGTATAAATCAGGAGTTTATTAAACATAGTAGACCACTTTGAAATGGTATTTTTGAACTGCACTTGATTGACCAGACAGTATCTCAAGAAGCAAGAACAGAGAGTATAGAGAATAGATATCAATTGTTTTAATAATTCAGTTTAAGTCCGCCACCTTTTATTTCAAGTAATGAACATTAATTATAAGATACTGCAGTAATTGAATTCAGTTACCAAGAAATAGTCACAAAGTTACCTAGTTCCAGGGGCTCTGAGGGACTGAGAAAGTGTGTATAGAAGTTGAGTCCAACATTCTTCAGCATCCTGTTAGACAAAAAAAATTAACTTGGTAAGTATACAAATTCACTAGAGCAATAAAACAAACTCCATAAAGTGGTATGCAATGGATAAACCTGTTGCATGAAAACACCATTATGCAGCTGGCCAAACTGAGGATATTTTTTCCGTAATACCTGGAAAATGCATTAGAAAATCAGGACAACATTATTTCTCCATCCCCTAAATCAGTGGGGCAAGAGCAGAACAGAAAAAAAAAACTCATTAAAAAAATTAAGAAAAAAAAAAAGTTTACAAATGACATAAAGGCAGCAAAACAGAAGTGGCAGAGGATAAACATCAATATATTTGTAAAACCACACTCTAATAATGACAAGTCACAACCTATGAAGCACAAACACAAACATGACTTGAAACAAACAAGGTGCATTATAAAAATAAAAGGACATGATATTTGTATTATATATTAATTAAATAAACTTATTTGAAAAACAATAACAATTTTTACCATATTTTTACAAAAATTGAACCAGACCAGCCGACTCAACTAGAAAAGAAACCAGTTTGAACAACTCTGGAAATTGGTTGAAAGAAAAAAACTGATCAACTGATTAAGAACCAGTGCCAGTGAACCAGTTATAGAATTTTCACAAAAAAATGTAATTCTAAAACATCATATCAAGTAAAGATATAAATTAACAAAAATAGATAAATAATTAGTTATACAATGTACCATCCAAAATTGCATTGGCGCCACAGGCTTGACACTTTTATCAAGCTCATTGAACAAATCACGGGTTGCAATGGTCAACATATGAGAAGACTGATCAACATCATTATTTCGTCCTGAATGTGAGTACCTGATTCCAAGAAAGTTCACAAATTGTTCATCAAATAACAGCCTCAAATACAGCAAATAAAAATGAAAGCTTGTTTTTCCTTAGAAAAGACTTACTTAATCAAAGCTGACTTCAACTCTGGCACAGAATGGAGGCATTGCAATGTTGAGTTCATATAACACGTATTTCCCAAATTGAAAAGGCCTGCAGTATGTCCCTGAAATAACCAATCCATCACACAGATCCCACCCAGATCCAAAAGAAAGAAAAGAAAATTAAATGCCAAATAATAAAAATATTGTATGACTTAGCCAAGCAAAAGTAGAAAGCAAACGAAGACAATAAGTTCAACATTCTTTGGATAATAAGGGCCACCTGATAGCATTATATTTTATTAGACTGAATATATATTTTCAAGAGATTGCCTGTTTTGGTCCTCCAAAGATATACATGACACCATACCGGCCCCCTATTTGTCCATGGAATACAATTGACAAGTCATTCAATAACAAATAATTAACTCCATCAGTTTCATCCTTCCAGGACCAAATTTCTGTCATTTTAAGGACCAAATTGATGCCAAAAAATGCGACACTGAAGGACCAATTTGATATCATGTAGATCTTTGGAGAATCAATTTAATGTTGTGTACAAAGGAATGACCAATGAAACAAGAACATATGAGGACTGGGCTGCAACTAGACTCGCTGAACTTTGACTCACTCTAGAATATCTTCAATTTAAATAACTTCCATTGGGGAAATAGAAAATCTGATGTGGATAAGACGGTAAGGGACTATTTTAAGCTTCCAAAATAGTGATTATACATCAGTTAAGATACTAATGAATTATATTATAGACTTTAAAGTGAGTCAAGTGACACTTCATCAAAATTACAAATGCAACTACTTTTGCAGCTTATGAAGTAGTCAAAACTTACAACAGCAACTACTTGTTCTTCTTCAGGAAGATCTTCAACAAAAACAGTTCCCTTCTCTGGAGACTTCACAGCTTCATCAGCCGTTCCCATCATCATTAACTTTTGACCCTGTATAAAAAGAGATAATCGATCATTTAAATAAAAGGGCGCATGACATGTATAGTAGAACAGCCTGAAAGCACGTCATAGCACCGCTAACCTCTTTCACTCCTAAAGTCAACCAATCAGCATCATCCTGCATCGCAAGACAAATGAAAAGCACAAAAAAAGTGATTCAAAACAACTTCACAGTTCATTCCAACTTATTATACCAGAATCGTTTATATGGCCCACTCCCCCTGACTGACTGATTATTAAAAATGAAATATCAAAACCAAAACAGATGAAGCATGGTCAGGTTAATTTTGCTCATTGTCTACAGCTTACTAGTAACACTTCAACAATTACTTACCTTTAAAAGACCACCCTTAACCATAATCTTTTGTCTTTCGGGAGGCACGCCAGTCAAATCATACAATTGGCACTTGAAAACATAAGGGGACTGGGTAGTGTCAATTTCTACATCTTTGAAGAGCTCTTTTTGCCATTTTACGCTTACTGCAGAGAAATATCAGTAGTGAGTATCGGAACCATATATATACATCTATGTGTGTATGTATATATGATAAAAAAAAACACTATAGTTATTAAACGGAATTCCAAATCTTAACCAGGACTTCAACAATTGTCCTCAAAATCAATTTCATTTCACTGCTAACACCCTTTAGAGACAAAAAACAAGAAAATCCTTCAAGCACAATGAAAAACATTTAACAGCGATTGAACTGCCAGCATAGTTTCCTCTCTATTCCTCTGACATAGTTAAACTTGAAGAGAAGTTAAATGCAGCTACATCTCTACTTTCCAGAGTTCCAACACACCAACGAACACTTACTAACAAATAATAAAGAGTAACGAACCACGAACCTCGAATCATCCTAGCGTACACAAACTACAATAATCTCAAAACGGAAACCGTAAATCAAGCTCAAAAAGCCAATATCCCGTTAGAATTTCCCGATGAGCAGAAACTCTTATTCCTTTAGCACAAACCCTATATTACCAACGCCGCATCTCTTTGATTTCGAATACACAAAAGAAATTAAAAAAACAAAACACAAGTAAATAAAATTATAAAAAAAACACCGAAATGAGGACGATGAATGCAGAGAGGAAAAAGGAAGACAGATTAATGAAAATCGAAGAGAGAAAGAGTGTCTGACCTGTAATCATGGTGGAAGGAAGAGAGTGAAAAGAAGAAAGGAACAAAGAAAGAGAAAGGAAGAGCTTGGCTTGAAGAAAGGGCAAAACTAAACAAAACGAAACGAAACACGCTATTGTGGCTTTTCTGTGTTTTGCTTTTATATTTGGGGCGAGACCAGTTTATGGCCCAAATGGGTTTTTTTTTTTCTCTTCGGATTCGGGTACGGCTACGGGTTCCGTCACCGAGACACCCGACGCACGTCGCGTACCCAACATTTACATCAGCCTCCGCCACCTCAAAAATATTGAAATGATGAGGATTAATTTCTGTGTACAAAATTTTAAATTTTGAATATTAACTATTTTTTAAAAAATAAAGATAATAACAACAACAATAATAATATGATTAAAGATTAAATCCCTGAAAAAACTATAAAGATGGACATTTTATCATTAATTATGAAAATATTTCATTTAAAAAATTATTAAGATAAATTAAAACTAATAAATATTTAAATCAATACATGTTAGTTCTGTCTATCACAAACACATAAATCAATTAGTTAAGCTTATTCTTAACTATATATATTTAAATGAATAATATTTTAGGTCTAGATCAAAATATTTAAATAATAATAATATTTTTTTACGAAGAATACTATAATAATTAAATATCTAAGTTTTAAAAAAATTATGAATCTACTGACATAAGCTTGTTTGACCTTGAATAAATAATAGTAATAACTTTAATATACTTGATTTTACTCATTTTATAATTATTTTTTAAATCACCGGTCAAATTCTGTCACATTGAATCACAGATTCATCAGTATTTTTATTTATTATTTTTAATAAAAAAAAATCTTACTATTTTCCACCTTGTTAATTAATTCCATCCAGACAAACCTTTTGTCAACTAATAATATTCAAATAACCAATCCAATTACGAATATCTACATATAACATCAATCATCTTTCAAATTTTAAATTAATTCAACTCAACAAGCTGATAACATTTATTTTAGGTGTAGTATAAGATTTTAAATAAATGGATAATAAATAATTTATTCTTTTTGATAAATGTAAACTTACGTACGAGACTGTTAACGACATGTGTTTTAGTGTCTTTTTCTTATATATTAATTTTTAAAGAATTTTCTTGTGTTTTTGTTATTAATATACTTTGATTCAATTTGAAATTTATTCAGAAAAAGCTATATATTATCATTGTTTACATGCCATGAAAAATATTTTACATTGTTTAATGTTTTGTTTAAATTAAAAATATTTAAAGAATAACAAAAAAAGAAGAGTTAACAAAAAAAAAGTTTTAATCCGAGAAATACAAAATCATTAATTTATAGAGATTTTGTAGAGAATATATATATACTTAATTCCCTAACGAAGCTTAAGACAGTGTTGTTATTTAATAAAATATTTTGATATATATATTAAAAATGAAAGTGAAATTTTTTTAAAATATATGACTAAATTGTTCAATGTTTACGGTTTTAAAAATTAAGGCGAGTATTTAATTCACATGCAACATATTTTTTGCCATTATCTTTTTAGAGTTAATCTAAAGACTTTCATTTATTTGTTTCTGCATTATAAACTGTGTTTAAAAGGTAAATAAATAAATATCATTTGATTAATATTTGTTCAAGTGCTCACAATTCACATTCTTTTATACATCACTCTATTTCTATTCATATTCACATGAGTTATTAAATTATTTAAACTAATAAAACACATACAAGCCCTTTTGTCTTTTTTAAAGGTATCATACAATTGATATCATTTAGTGGAGTAAACCTCCACTGAGAATTGCCCAGGTAAAATTTTGGTAATAGTATAATTTCTCAACATAAACCTAATTAAATTTTATTTGAAATCACAATAATAATCAATTGCCTATTTTCATAACAAACGTGCATGAAAATTTGTCTATACGTTACTATAATTATGTTTGATCTATATAAAAACATTGTGAACATTACTCTGAAATATTAATAATAATTTATATGAAAAATAAATAATTTATTTTGGATAAGTAAAATTTGAAGTTTATAATTTAAAAAGTATTAATTAATCCTTAACAATTATTTATTTTAAATATAAAATTAGTTATTACACAAAAAATCATAACGTTCTTTTCGAAATTTCATCCCAAAAAGAAACGTTTTTTTATACGATTCAAAGACAACAAATTATTTTAAAAATGTTTCTCACTTAATACATCTAAAAAAACATAACAAATATTTTACATATCCAGTTGCTACAATATTTAATTATAAATAGAATGTATTATTAAAATAATATATTTTTAGCTAATATAAACGCATACTCCAATAACTGAGAATAAACTATAATAATTAAGTAGTTTAAAAACGTTTTTCTATTTTCTAAATAAAATAAGTAAATCATTAATATTTTGTTCAACATATATCATGACATGTATGAAAATAGGAAAATAATTTTTAAAAGATTAATGTAGATTACATTTGAGATCATTTTAAACGTAAATTAGTTTTTTTATATATAAAATGTTTTTTTAATTTGTAATTTATATTAATAGTTTTTAAAACAAAAATTAATGATGTAATTTATTAGAATAAATTACAATTAATTTAAGAAGTTACGTTGAGAGACTTATTAAAATAAGTTAAAAATAATTTATAAAAGTGGTTGTTATTCCAATGAAGTCACAAATATATTTTTTTTGCTGCAAAAGTCACAAATATACTTTTCAACTTATTATCAAAGCCAGATAACATTGTATTATGATTTAAAATTTTATAATATACTTATTAGTTTTAAAAATGATATTTTTATATTTTAAAATTTACGAATTTTTATTAGGGGTTAAACTAGAACTCAAATTTATGATAACAAGTTAAGTCAGAACAATTTTTACCAACTGATCATGTATTTGATAGTAGAAAAAAAAAATTATTTTATCCCATAACTTTCATATATTTTTAAAATCTGTTTATTTATATTTCCTTTTAACAAAAGTCATGACTATTACAAATCACATACTGAGTTAAATTTTTAAAAAGTGTAATCTTATCTAAACTGTTGTTTTTTTAATTATTATCAGTAATTTAATATGATTTTAAAATTAACATAATTGAATTTAATATCATTTAAAATTGTTAAGATTTTTTTTCCTTTTTAAATGATAATAAACCTAAAACATACAATTAATATGTTGAAAACAAATTTAAAGTTTAGATATATTTTAAATTATTATAAATATGAAAAAATTATTATTATTATTATTATTAAGAATGCATCCAAGCCCTCTTATTTGTTTTACGTATTTTTTCAGTGAACGTTTCATTTTTGTTCAATTAAGTATAGTTATACTTATTTTTGTAATTTTTCTAAATTAATCTGATCTTTCAATTTTTTTAAAATTGCAATTTGATCTCTCATTTTTAAAAGATGGATATTGAAAATAATAAATATGCAGTAGACCGAGAATATATATAATAATAAAACACAATAAAATATTTATACACTAAAAAAAACGAGGATAGCTGTTGTAACTGTTAGAAAAAAAAGTCCAATTTTTAAATTTTATTAAAACAAATATTTAGTCCGGTAAGTTAACAGAATTGATATTAACAAAGATTGTTACACAATTGACTCAAATTTCGTGATTTTAAGCGAAGAAATAGATACTTCCAACGGACCGAAAATTCTTTCCTCACACGAAAATCAAATTACGATAGAAAAAAAATAACAAAACCACAAAATTTATATGCAATAGTATTATTAATACTGTTTATTTATAATACTTAGAGTTTTATTTTAATAAGAATTTTATATTAATATTTTTAAATATTATTAAAATAAAATTTTAATTTTAATGAATAAATAATACCATCAACGTATAATTAAGTATAAGTAATTTCTGTTCAAATTTGAAAAATATTTATTATTATTATTATTATTATTGTGGTGTTTTGGTGTTATTCCACGAAGTGGTAGGTTTCAACATAGGCTAGGAGGACGACGACAAAGGAAGGGCAATCCCAACATGTACGGCGGAGCCTCCTCCAAACTGGGCCGCGCCGCCCCTAAGCGCCTCCACTCCTCTTTTCCCCTGCCTCCGCCGCCTCACCGTCCATCCGCCCCCGCCGGTCGTCTCTCCCTCGGCGCCTCCAACCGCAACGCCGCCCGCGGAGCGCCGGCGGCGGTGGAAGAGACCTTCAACCTTGTCGCCGGAAGCAATCCCCTCGCCTTCTCTATGATTATAAGGCTGGCACCCGACCTCGTTGAGGAGATCAAGCGCGTGGAGGCACAGGGCGGCACCGCGCGCATGAAGTTCGACCCCAACCCCAACCATCCCAACGGAAACGTAACGTTTCTCACTCGAATTTGCTTATAGCGTTTGATTAGTTTTGTGACCCTTCACTTTCAAGTGTTGTTTGTCAAATCAAATGCAAACTTGCTCTTTGAACTACACTTCCATTTATTTATTTATTTTTGGTTTTCAGTGATGCTCGCTTTTTGTTTGAATTTATTGATATGTTTTCAGGACAAAAAACACGTTGTAAAGAGTAATGTCAATATAGATTCAGGTTCACGGAATTTGAAATTATGCTTATGTGTGTATATTGTGAAATTCATTGACTGAGCTCGAATCTATATTAACACTACTCTGTCTTGAACAGTGTTAATAATAGTGCTGCCAGGAAGTAAGAACTATCTGTTGAATATTGTGCTTAATTTGAAACAATTTTCAATGATATACTAAATTACTAACTCGTGGAATAATCTATATTCTTTCTATTCGAGATTAAAATTAGAATGGCATCGCAGGTTAGTTCTGCGCACAGTTTGTGTCTACTATATTTTGTTTCTGTATGCTGGCCTCTTTGTTAAGCAATTTTGGATTTGTAGTTTGAAGGGCCTGTTATTTTGTTTGTGCCAGATTATTGATGTTGGTGGGAAGGAGTTCAGATTTACCTGGTCGAGGGAATTTGGTGACCTCTGCGATATCTATGAAGAGCGTCAAAGTGGCGAAGATGGAAGTGGCTTGCTTGTTGAATCAGGATGTGCCTGGCGCAAGCTGAATGTGCAGCGTATCTTGGATGAGTCAACCAAGAATCACGTCAAAATGCGGTCGGAGGAAGCTGAACGCAAGCTAAAGTCTCGCAAGTATGTAGCTGTTATTTGGATATTCCTTATATGTCACTATGCACACTATTTGATGCTCTTCGCCCTTTGAAAACCTTGGCTTCAACTTGCTATTATCTTGTATTATCCTTCAGTCTTTTTCCTTGTAATTTGTTACTGCTTGGATTTGATATGCATTTATAAGAAAATGTGCATGATATTTCTGTTAGAAAATCTTAATATATTTGTTAGATGGACGCTAATGGAGCAGTTGCTCTCAAAGTGTTGCCCTTGTATGCTCAAAATTTGAAGGCATGCAATAAAATTCAATCAATACATAGATCAGCATGTATAGATTTCAAGCAACTACTAGGGTAATAATATTGAAGCTGAGTTTTAGAGTCCTGATGGTGAATTTTTTATATGTTTTTCCTATGATTGTCATGATTTTTAGTTGCTTCAGAATTTCATCACATATATTACTAAAAAAGGTACAAGTGTAATGGATTACTTGTACTTAGGTACTGAGATGAGTTATGGGTTTTTGTTAGTTGGTGTATTATTCACAAAATAGGGGTGAACTTAGGAGAACAGTTCTGGGTTACTTTCTGTTACTAACAACTCAACAGTTAACAGTTATCTTAGCAGTCAGTTAGGTGCATCCTCTAACTGAATTGTTCAATGGGAGCTCTAACAGAATTAGGGGTGAGGGAGGGAGAGAAACAGGAAGAGCAATTCTTGGGGTACTTATTTATGGGAGTGGAGTGAGTAGAAAGGCCATGTTGAATTCTTGGAGTTGAGAGAAGATTTATTCCTCTTGTTTTTGTTGTAACCTTTCCTCTTGGCTCTACAATCTTCTTGATTCACAGTTCAGACCCAAGGATAGGAGTGACTGTAAATCCTTATTGTTTTTCTACCCTTCTGGTACTATTCTATTAATTTCTGCCATGTAATTTTACAATATACAATGTCAATAATGTGCATTTAAAGCTTTATTTTTTAGAAAGTAAAGGAACTATTGGTGATATTATAATCAGCCATTTGGCCTCTAACAAGAGTTTCTTGGTTTAGACTATAGTCTATTTCTAGAGTTAAAATCTTTATTAACTCATCTGTATCTTTTATTAACTAAATAGGTTGCTTAGGTTTCTTGGAGCTCAATGATTTTTCTTCTCATATTACTTTTCATACAGTGATGTTTATGATGTAAGAATATCTCCTTTATGTTTTCTTGTTTTGGTCAATTGTTCATTTATTTAAGTTCTTTACTACAGAGCCATTGTCTTAGAGCCTGGGAACCCGTCTATGAAAAGCCAGATAAAGGCATTAGCAGCTGTTGAAGGTAATTTTTCTTTTTCTTCTTGTACTTTATGGGTTAGTTTCTCCTATTATATTTTAGGTTTACTTATAAATTTGGTCCCTACATTTGGTACCACTTTTATTTTAGTCCGCACATAGAAAAATCATACATTTTTATCCTTATATGAAAAATCATTTTCAAATCAATCCCAGCCATTTATTGATGTTAAATTTAGTTTATACATGACAATATTTTTTGTTTTAATTCATATATTTGCACTTCATTTTGGTCCCTCTGTATAAAAATTTTACATTTTGCCTTTATACATAATGTAGCATTTGTGTTTTGCTCCTTTCCTTAAAACTATACTAACTCTATTAGAACTTCAATAAATAGTGGGAACCAATTTGTAAAATTTTTTTCATATGGGGACTAAAACAAAAAGCAAGTAAGGTATAAGGTGTAAGAATCTTATTTCACTTATATTTTAAGTGTTATGTCCTGGAGATAAGCACCTTGAAAATTTTTTGTGATGATATTAGGCATGATTATCTGCTGATGACCACTCTGTTTTGTTCTTCTAAAACCTTCCAGTTCTGCTGTATTTAGTTTAATATTGTTGATATTGAATTATTCTACCAAAGAGCCTTACATTTCCCTTGTCCAGCTACACCTTGGAAGAATTACAATAAAAAGAAAGAGGCTGCACTTAAGAAAAGGAAAGTAGAAACCCTTCAAGGTGATTAAATTTACATCTTTCCGACAAAGTTTTAATCAATATTAACTTAGCAGTATTGAAACACCCCTTCCGATAAGTTTTTGTTAACTCATGTAGTTTATCTGTAATGCTTGGAACATTGTTTATAGTTGGAGGCCCCCCAAAATCTTCCCATAGATCTGGATTGACTTCAACAAGTACTACTATCAAGGGCAGACAATCCTCTCCTCTTCCATCTCCACCAGATCCTTTTGCTGCTTCATCCTCTCCACTGGGGGCTGTAAATATGTCTAAGAGCTTTGAGGATGCTCTTCCATCACAAATGACAGGCAAGCAAGATACTAATGCTGTCTCTGAGAAAGAAATCCCTACAAGGACAAACAATGCTATGAGGAACACACCAGGAGGCAAGGGAAATAGTGGATCTAAACCAATAGATTTGCAGGGCATGTTAATATCTCTTCTTAAGGATAAACCTAATGGAATGACTTTGAAGGTGCTGCATAAAATCCAGTATATAATTTTTCTTAGGCTTGTTTTTAATATCTCTAACTATTTAATTAATCTAATTTAATTGCTTATCCCCTTTGATTATAGGCCTTGGAGAAAGCTGTTGGAGACACACTTCCAAATTCCATAAAGAAAATTGAGCCAATTATTAAAAAAGTAAGTGGTGGGTTCTGAGAATCTGTTGAGACTATTGTTTTATGATACACCTGTGATCTAATTTTTCATTTAATTTTGAGCATCAGATTGCAAAGTACCAGGCCCCAGGAAGGTATATTTTGAAACCAGGAATGGATTTGGAAAACTCAAAGAAACCACAGACTGAAAGTGGAAGGTACCTGTTATTTTCATGTAACAATATTATAATATGCTGGTACTGCAAGTGCATCACTTTTATGAGCCCCTTCATACATTTAAGATGTACTTTTTATTTTACAGTTCTCCTGATGACAATCGTAGCCAGATACCTGCTCGTGAAGAGTTTCATGATCAGACATCAGCTCCACAGGGAGGCTGTGAAGAGAAAGTCCCAAATGATGATTTGGAGGAAATGGTTCAAGTAAAATCCAAAGTGGAAGAAGAATCAAACACATTGGAAAAAGTTGATGCCCAACATACTTCACCTGAAGGGCAGGCGGGCAGCTCTAGTGATAGTGGAAGTGACAGTGACAGTGAAAGTGACAGCAGTGATAGTGGAAGTGACAGTGGAAGCCATAGTAGGAGCAGAAGCAGAAGTCCTGCTGGAACAGGGAGTGGGAGTAGTAGTGACAGTGAAAGTGATGCATCTTCCAGTAGTAAGGAGGGACTTGAGGGCTCTGATGAGGATGTAGATATTATGACAAGTGATGATGAAAAAGAGCCAAAGCCAAAACCAGAAGCTTCTGACCAAAGGATGACCTTACAGGTTCCAGTAAAATCTCCTGAGATTGATGAGAAGCAGAATGGTAATGAATCTGATGCAGTTGAAATTGAAAAGGACATACCGGAGGAACAGGAGGCTGAAATGGCTCTACCTATGGCTACCATTTCCAATAGAAGTGGAAAATATGCTGAAGAGACACAACCTTTTTCACTTGACTATCAACAGCTCCAGGAACGCCAAAATTATATTGGGAGTTTGTTTGATGAAAGGGAAAATGAGGTCAAGGATAGCTCTAGGCATGAGCAGTCTGACAGCTCCTATAGGTTATCCAAAGGTAAATGTAGGAGGGGTTCTGATGTGAGGAGCACTGATGAGCGATCTGAGCGTACAAAGAGATCTAAAGCAGGAAAGTTGACTCATGAACCATTTTCTCCTGGAATGGATGTGCAGACATTTGAGAATTCTCGGAGTTTGTCTCCTTTTGAATTTACTGAAGACACTTGTAAGGGCCCCCAGATGCAAATGTTGAACAGAGCTGATAAACAAGGAAATTCCAGTGTTGGCTTACAGAAAGGATTTAATCAAGCATTTCCTGGAAAATCTAGTTCAGATTTACCCCAAAAAAATCAAAGGTCCTTGGATCAAACTCATCCCGGAAACCCTTCCTACCCATTAGAAAAATCAGTTAAAAAAGGTGAAAGTGTAAGGCATGGCAAAAAACATTCAAGAAAAGGCTTTCATGCACGTGAAGTTTATTCTGTGCAGAAAGATAAATCCCATAAAGATGCCTTAAATGCAGATATTCATGCCACAGATAAAAAAGTCCCCAGGAATTCCAGGGATGGTACTGATGGAAGTAAACAGTCACTATCCATGGATTCTTATTACCAAAAACAAGGTGAAATGGTTGGTAAGTTAAAGGAAGGCCAACAAGGTGTGCAGTCACAGTTGGGAACATCACCTAAAGACAAGAATAGATTTGGTCTTGATAAATCACTTCAAAGAGAGCTTTCAGACCTGGAGTTGGGTGAATTTCGTGAGTCCACACCTGATGAGACTCACATGGCAAAACAATTTGAACAAAAAGATTCGTTTAAACGTTTGGAAATCAAAGCAAACATGTCAGAGGACAGGAATTCTGATATTACTAAAGTAAAACCTTCATCTAAAGCAACTTCAGATTCTGGAAAGCAATCCTCAGTCTTTGTAAATTCTGGTTTTCCCAGTAATTCGGAAAGCGCAAATAAAAAGAACTCAGATAATCATTTTGAAGATTCAACAAGATCTCGTTCTAGAGTTATGCAGACTCATTCACAACATTTAAAAGCAGATCATGCAGAAGTTGGAGCTCAAAACAAATTGGCAGAAATGAGTGGTAAATTTAGAAATAATGAATCTGGGGTGAGCCAAGATATTGATTTGGAAGGTCGCAGTGAAAGCAACAGAAGAGCGTCTGCAAATGCATCTAAACAAGACAGTAGACGTGGAATGGCTTCCTACCCAGTGAAAGAAAGTAAAAGACAGACACCTAATTCAGTGGAAGAGATGGCTGATGGAGGAAAGGATTCTGTGTTTGCAGATAGAAATATTAGTGATCAGAAGAAGAGAGAATCATCTTCAGATGAAAATAGTTGCTCATATTCAAAGTACGAAAAGGATGAACCTGAATTGAGGGGACCTATAAAGACTTACTCCCAGTAAGCAGTTATATTTTATTTATTTTAATTTTTTATTGTTGTTCTAGTGATTGATGTTGTGATAGGGCTCTTCCATTGAGTTAACCACTTGATTTTTGGCATCTGATGTGTTTTTTTCCTATGCAATGTTAGATATAAAGAATATGTGCAGGAGTATCGTGATAAATATGATAGTTACCTCTCCTTGCACAAGATTTTGGACGGTTACAGGTAAATCCTCTTACAAATCAAATTTTCATCGCTTTTACAATGGATGTTTTGTTTCATTACTTGTCTGATATTCTGTCCAACATCCTACCCATAATTTGTAGGGATGAGTTTCAGAAACTAGGCGACGAATTTAAATGTGCTAAAGGTGATAGATGTAACGAAATTGTGGAGCAGATCAGAGAATCCTATCGACGTTGTGGACCGGTATGTTCTATTTGGCACCATCCCATGCATACAGTATTTTTATGATTATATAGAGCTCAAATGTTGGAAAAATCATATTTTTAATATATTATTGTTCTGCATTCAACAGTTTCTTAAATTTTTATTTGTACTTTAACCCCATTTATCTAATCCATCCCCCCTTTCTGTTTTGGATGATGATCTTTAAAAATACTTGCACTGTCTTAGTCACATATATGATAATCTTGAAGGGATTCTTTTTTATTGATAGTGATTGTGCATGAGACAAACGGAATCCTCTAGTTCATGTGGATGTCTTAAGCTGGTTAATCTTATTATCTTAAATAGCAACCTGATATAGCATTGCCAGCAGTGCTATTGGCTGATAGTTGTTTAGTTCTTCTTTATGCAATTTTGGTTGAGTTTAAAGTTAAACAAATTTCTGGTTCATCTTTTTATTAGTTGTTTGTGTTTGAGATATGGGACGTGTTTCAATCTTTTCTCTAACTGCTTCACGCGTTACTAAAATCGTAAAGCTCTCCTTGTATTTAGTATATATTTTCTAAACGTGTCGGCATGATGTGAGCTGCAGAGACACAAGAGATTGAAGAAAATATTTGTTGTGCTTCACCATGAACTGGAGGTAATCATTTACATATTCTCTAACCTTGATCTGGAATTTTATTTTTATTAAAATCCATGCAGTAAGATAATGCTTGATTGTTGTTTTTGTAATTAACTTTTTGTCTTTTCCCATCATTATTATGTTTTATCTTTTTTTATGCGCTTAACGCTTCTTTTTCCCACTTCTTGCAGAATATTAAGCAAAGGATCAAAGACTTTGCAGAGTGGTATACTAAAGAATGAAAATAGTAGAGTACTATATACATGAAATTGAAGCCTATTTATCAAGCTTAGCACTTTTGGGTGATACGTGATGCGTAGTTGAGTAGATGAATTCTTGTGTGAGTTGGATTTGCACTAGCTTTTAATACTAATTTTGGTAGAGCCGTATATTTGTATATAAATAAAATTTTGTATATTGCTTTTGGGTATAGGTCTGGCTTATTTTTTCCTAGCCTGACCTTCTTTTTGTTTACATGACTGGATAAATTGTATATTTCTTTTCTTATCGTTTAACTAGTTTAGCGTGCTTCAGTCTGAACAAGCCTAGAGAAGCTGAGTAATATTTTTGGAGTGATTCATTGGCACCCCTCATCATTTTGTTTTCCTTCTTGTTTCATCTGAATAATGATACGATTAGTTTTAATAATAATCTTTCCCACTTGGTGGAGTTGACTACTTGGATTAAATGGCGTGATAATGTCTCGTTGTGAATCCTGTGTTTAGTTAAATTAAAGGCCACTAAACTTTTTTTGAAAAATATTTTTGTCTTTTTTATCAGTCTACCTTTAACTCTAATGATTGCCTTATCTATCATTTGATTTTGTCTTTCTACTTTGATTGGCTTTGTGGATGTTATAAAAAAAGGAGTGATCTTTAGAACAAAAAAAAAAATATTAACCTAATCTACCATTTACCATTACTTTTGCTATAATATAAAATATTACAAATGTAATTATTTAGTATAATAATTTCAATTATATTTGATATCAATGTTACTTTAGATAATAAAATATACTTAATTGATTGAAATTAATGTATGACAAGTTGACAACGTTAAAATAATTTATAAAAAGCCACATTTAAATAAAATGATAATAATGATACTAATAACAACATGAAGAAATTATCAACCGGATTCAATATTAACTTATGTTTTTCTTTTAATCGTAAAGGCATATTTATGTATTTATTCATTTTACCTCAAATTCATAAATTGCTTCAATAATACAAAAATTTAAATTATGGATGAAATTAAATATTTAAATGTGTTTGGTATTTTTAATTATTATAATTTTTAATTTAATATCTCATATTTAATAAAATTTAGTTTCATTATCACCTATATAAGTTCTCTCAGTAAAATGTCATTTTTTTTATTTTGATTTTTTAAATATATGACTTTCTTATTTAATTTTTAAAATATTATAAATTATTATTTAGGTATATATTTTCTTAAAGTTGGATAGTCACAAAACGAATAGAAGAAAGATAATAATTATTTTAAAAAAAAGTTACAATGACTAATTTTTTTTTATATCATAAAGTTGAGTATTTACCAAGAGTTTATCGATCAATTTACATTTTTAGTGAAATAAGTGACTTACAAGCATCTCAATTAAATTTACTTAATTTTGTGATTTTAATTTTTAAAATTTAGTCTTATTTAATATAATAATATATTTATTTTTAATAATAAAATATTTAATATTTTTATTTATAAATTAATTCAATTTTTTAAATATATAATATATTTTAAATTTTTTATTAAATAAAATTATTTTAATTTAATAAGACTTATACCATACATAAAAGAAAACTCACTAGCATATTATTGATTTAGAGAAAATATATACATATTTAACTAAAAAGTAGATCAGAATTGTTCAATTAAATGATATAAAAAATTATATTTTATCCTCTACAATTTTATATTTTTTAATTTATTTTTTTATGTTACTTAACTTATTATAGTACTACACTTTGAGTTTTTTACAGTAATATTATAAAAAAAATAAAAATACCCAAATAGAATGGAAGCCATTTTAATTATCCAACTAAAGCTAAATTTTGGACAACAATTTTGGAACCCAGGAACCGAATTCTAAGTTACTTTTTTTATTTTATGTTTTTATATAATAAATTAAATATTATTATTTAAATTATATTTATATATTTATATTTTATTAAAATAAATATTTTGTTAATTATATATAATAAAATAATTTTTATCATTTGAATTATGTTTATATTTTTATATTATTTAAAAATGAATAAAAATAACAATAATATTAATTTTAAATGTTTATTAAAATTTATTTGACATATTTAAAATAATAAATAATATTTTTGTTTTTCTTATTATATTATTTAATATAATTTTAATTTTTTGAAAATGATATTAATATTATATTCTGAAATTATATTTTTAGTTATTTAATATTATATTTTGTAAAAAATAAAAATTATAATAATAATTTATTTTAAAAAATATAATATTAATATTAATAAACATAATTAAATAATATTATGCAGATATATTATATATATAATTATATATTTAATATAAATTACAAATACTAAAAATTTAAAAGTTGCAATGACATATATAAAATTAAAAATGATATTAAGAAAATTTCAAAATAATAACAACAACATAAATCAGTGGTAGGAACTAGAAACTTAAGCGATGTTTGAACATGTCTTCCTTGTGTAACGAGGAATATGACAATAAGGATAATTTTTTATCCGATTATTTTGTTCTCTAATGTCTATCTCTGTTCTTATCCTACTGGACTTGAGTCGACCCTTTGAAGTTTTTTTCAGTTCTGGATTTGGATACAAAGTTGAGCCTATGTAAGTGGCCAATAGTCTTTATGTCCGAGTTCTCCAAACTGACCTTCGTATATCTTAAAATTTGTTGTAAGGTATATATGAAGATATGTAGATGTCAAAGTTGTGGTGTACATGTAAGCATGAAGCAAGTACATGCGAGCATGAAATGTGAACTTTTTGAAACTTGCCACAATCACACCACATTTTATCTAACCGTACTGTAAATCTTTCTACGTGTTAAATTTCTGTCGGATGTTGCGTTTCTTCGACTAAAAATTTAGTTTTTGTTCTATCAAAGATGATGACTCTATGAGTGTTCGCCTTTGACTGTGTATTTTAAATTGCTTTAATTGCAACCTCTGAGTACATATGTCCAGCATTAATCATTGCATCTACTTCCCTGTTTCTTTCAATGAAGAACTTATTACAATGGGTGTATGTTGTCATGACCATGGAGCAAATTGGTAGAGTTCTAGTTTTTTTCAAGACCGAATTGATTGACTCCACTAGGTTTGTTGTCATGTGTCTCCAACGTCGTCTGTTGTCCCATGCTAGTGTCTATCTTTTTCTTGGAATGTTGTCCAACTATTGTGCAGCTTCAGGATTATTATCTTTTACTATGTTGTAATAGTAAAAGAATTTCGGTTTAGTCATAACATATGCTGGAAACAAATATTACAAATTAAATTAATATAACTAGCTAAGCAATTATATAAAATATTAATGATAACATAAAGTATGTAAAAAATTAAAATTATACATATTGACAACATTTTTCTTTAGTACAACGTTTTTGAATTGTCGTATGAAGTTTTGTGCAATGTGTCTAATGCAATTTATATGGACAGAATTATTTTCTGTCCAACCACTTCCATTTATGAAGTATGCACTTCTTATGGCCTTGTGACGGTCCAAAAGGAGGCACAACCTTTCTTGCAAGGTTACGTTCCTCCTTAAGTTTTTTAAAAAAAAGAACCATGCATCGGTAGTTTTACCTTCAACTACAGCAAAGGCAATGGGAATTATGTTGTTGCGGCCATCTTGCGCAACTGCCACTAATAAAGTCCCTTTGTATTTGCCATTCAAAAATGTTCCATCCACTTGAACAATTGGTTTGTAGAAGGCAAAATTATCAATGCATAGCTTGAAGGTCCAAAACAACCCTTTGAAGAACACATTCCCCTCGTCAAGCAAGTCACTCTTGTATACCGGTTGTGTATTCAATTTTCAGATGAAGTCTGAAATATACAGTTGCATTGCAAGTAACTGTCTAGGTAACTTATGGTATGACTTCTCCCAATTTTCGAAGATATTTTCAATGGCATGTTGTTTATCCAACCATCCTTTTCTATATTTGATTGTGTAACCCCTTATGGACTTTATGTGGGCTAAGATGGTTGTGATGGGTGTGGATGGATCAGTCTCAATAATTTCACGAATGGTTTGAGAAATCATTCGTGATTCTAACTTGTTATGATCCTGTGAAATGAGTAGGGAAGTACATATGTGGCACACTTCAAGCTTCATTATTTTTCAGTGTTGCTCTTTCTTACGTAATATAGCGCGACATTTCCAGACACAGTCGTTGTGAACGCATTCCACAACAAGTCTAGTTTTGCTTGACATCTTCACCTTGTAAGTGTAATGATTGACAATGTGAAATCTATTTATGGCGTCTTGCACTTGTTCTTTTATTAGGAAGCACTAGCCAACAAATAGTGTTCCAGGTGGATACAATACTATTTCACGATCAAGGACATGGCCAAACTCAGAGTCATGTTCTTGTATTTGAGTGGGAAAGTCTAGAAAATGTGGAGGTGAGTTGTATAATGATAATGGTTGTGATGGTGGAATATTTAGAAGTGGGAGGGAGTCTTCTTCATCATCTTGCTATTGAGATAAGATTTCATCTTCATTCACGCTAAAAGGATCAAAAACTTCGATTAGAAGACCCACAACAACATGTTCTTCAATGAGAGTTTTTTCAAGAGGCTGATAGGATAGAGTTTGTTGAAATAGTTCTGAGGGTATTTCATTGAGGTCCATGAATGGACCAGTTAAAAGTTGTGTGTAGGACTGAGGGTTAGAATTCATATCATATCTCGTGATTGAAGTTGATTTGAATCATGGATGTTGAAGAGTGTCTCGACGTCTTCATCATCGTTCAACTCAACACATGTGTAGTTGCTAACTCCTGGGGCAAGTCTAATTGGGTAACGAAAATGTATGATTATCACCCTTTCATTTGAGTCTTGGTTAAGTTTTGTGTGGATGACTTTCTTGAGCCGTTGTAGAGTCACTCCTCTCTTTAGATGTACTAATTTCGCTAACAGTGAGGTGAACGTGACTCCTTAATTAGGACATTGGTTAATGGCACCATCAGAGTGAACAATGACATAGATTGAAGATATTTTCAGAAGGAGAAGGTTCACAAGAACAAGGAATAAGCTTATAAGGTTGAATGAATAAAATGAACACCTTCTAAGGCTATTTATAATGGTAACGTTAGATTCTCAGTCATTCAATGTTTCACCACGTTTTACGAGTTGATGGTGACCTCTCCATTCACGCAGACCAAGAGATAGTGACTTCTCAGTCATGCAGACTAATGGATGGTGACTTCTCAGTCACACAGACTAAGCTATAGTGACTTCTCCATTCACGCAGACTAATGGATAGTGACTTCTTAAGATTCCAAGGCCACATGTTTTAATTGAAACTTGTATCCATCTTTGTTCTTTGTTTCTCTCTGTCTTTGCTCTCATTACTAAAAATGTTATTCTAGAAGCAAAACAAACACAGGTACGCCTTCATTGGAAGAACGGTAAGTTTTACACATTACCATTATTAACTGAATATGTAAATCAATATTCTACATATAATGTTACTAATTTATTAATAACTGTAGGAAACTGAAAATATGATTTCATCTTTTTGTCATTCAATGCCAGAACTCAGTCCTCTAATTGTTCCTATACTTGAACAACTTGGTTTTGCTGAAGTAGCAAAGCTAAGGCATCTGAAGGTAGATCACGCATTGATAATAGCTTTGGTCGAGAGGTAGACACCTGAAACTCACATATTCCATTTTCTAACAGGGGAGTGCACCATAACCCTAGAGGCTGTTGCACTTCAACTTGTATTAAGAGTTGATGATTTACTAGTCATTGGTCCGACAATGTTTGACTGAGAGGAAATGTGTGACACATATCTTGGTATCGTGCCAGTCAAGGGAGAGTCACTTATTTGTTCTATGCTAAAACTGAAGTGGCTGAGAGACAACATGTTGCCATTACTAGAAGAACCATCTAAAGAAGAAGTTAATGCCCATTGTAGGGCTTATATACTGGGTTTAATTGGAGATGTTTTGATATTTGACAAAACAGACAACAAAGTACATCTTATGTATTTAGCTTTATTAACTAATCTTATAAGAATAAGACGATATAGTTGGGGTTCTGCTTATTTAGCTATGTTGTACAAGGAAATGTGCAGAGCCACAGAAGTTGGTAGCAAAACCATGGGTGGTTGCTCATCACTGTTAATGTCCTGGGCATGGTATCACATGTCATATATTGCGCCAATTTCTAGTAATCCACCAACATACCCTCTCGTGTGCAGATGAAGCGGGGTAAAGTACTAAACTTTTGAAATAAACCTCACAATGATGTTGTAAGGTACAAATCAATGTTTGATCACATTCAAGCTAATCAGGTAACTTTTCATAATTATTTTCTTATCTTTTACACATCATCTTAAGTAACAAAGTTAAATATATTTGTAGTTTTTATGAGCGCTATATCAAGACTTGCAAACATCAATCCCATGAAAGCATATAGAGATGTCCAACTGTGAACTTCATGTACCGCTATCCTATGTTTTGCAATTGTTGAATGACACTAAACAGATAGAGTCAAATTACAGTTTCGTCTCTTCCAAGAAGTCTCTTCTCCACCGAATCATTTGAATGACCTCCACAAAATTGACATAAGAGGAAGACAGGGTGAAAATTGAGTTACAAGACATGCTTAATGGATCAAGATATGGAACAACAGACATTAGCTGACAATAACAAGTCATTCAATGTAAGGCCCATTGTATCACACACAAAAATACATAGAATGGTACATTGTCAATTCCATCTATTTTTTATTTGTGCCACAACTACTACAAGATTCAATGAGGAGCGACTAACAACTAAGAACTACCAACACATTTGAAATCAGTACGACTTCCACACCGTCGTATCACGAGACTGCATCAATTCCTCCGAACATTACGCTAGAAGCAAACATAATTAAGACAAGACATTTGTTTGCAATAACACTGGAGGATTTTTTTACAAATTTATTTAGAGTTGATTTTACAACTCCATCTTCAGCACAAACTTATATGCAGTCTCTTTACTAACTGAATTTTGCTAATGAACCTAGTAATTCATCAAATGCATTCCAACAATTAAACATTCATGATGATCCAAATCTTCCACAAGTTTATCCTGAAATTCCAAAGCAACAACCACAATAACGAAACCCACCACGTTATAGACGTTGTCCTCGTTGTGGAACTGATCATCATTACGGAGATAGTTAATTATTAATATTGTTATGAATTTGTTATCATATTTATTAATGAACTTTGTCTTTATCAATGTTACCTTAGTAAAATAAAAAACGTTAATTTCAAAATATTTGTCTCAATTATAAATAATTAACCTATAATTTAATATTTTATTTACTTTTGAAAAATAAATTTTTTATTTTTAAATAAAATTTATTCAAAATTATAATAGTAAAGTTTTAGAGTTTAGAGTATTAAAAATTATAATATTAAATAATGTCATTTAAAAAAAACTAATTTAATTAAAATAAAATTTTTATTCAAAATATCATTTTATCATACTAATATTTAAAAATATTAAGTCAAAATTACATATTTAAATAAATAAATAAATAGAATAATATTTAATATATTTATTATTCTTTAAGTATAAATAATCTAAGCATTAACATTATTATCTAAAATAATATACTTATTATTTTAATATTTTAATTAATTTTACAAAATTATCTAAAATAATTTAGTTATTATTTAATTATTTTAATTAATTTTTAAAAATTTAATTATTATTTTTAAAAAAAATATTATTTATTATCTTAAATATATCAAATATATTTTAATAAACATTTAAAATTAATATTTTTTTTTCATTTTTAAATAATATAAAAATATAAACATAATTTAAATAATAAAATTTATTTTATTATATATAACTAACAAAATATTTATAAATATTTATGTTAATAAAATATAAATATAATTTAAATAATAATATTTAATTTATTATATAAAAATGTGAAACAAAATTAAAAAAAAGTAACTCAAAATTTGATTCCTAGTTGAATAATTAAAATGGCCTACATTCTATTTGAATTTTTATTTTTATTTTTTATAATATTGTTGTAAAAAACTCCAACACTTTTGTAGTACTTTATTTTCATAAAGGGATTTTTTTTTTTTTTAGTGTTTCATAAAGGGATTTGGGGATAGCGAAAAATATAATACATAAATTAAAAAAACCAAGCTAAAGGATAAAGGGTAATTTATCCTAAAGAAATTAGAAAGATACAAAAGTTTGTTTTCTTCTGGCATCAAATCTCGTTCGTGCCAAGATTGTTTGGTTTGTTTGCATAGTGATGATCACACACAATCCACATCACATCACATCACATACATGATACGTTCATCCTCGTCACTCTTCACTCCTCGTCTTTCCCCCACTTTCGATTTCGTAAAAAACCAAAACCAACAGTCCCTGAAACAATCATTTAAATCGCATACTTAGTTTTCTCCACTTAGCATCATCACCCTACACTCCCTAACCTCCAATTCAAATTAAAGTTTCCTCCTTTTCCATTTCACTGCTGCAATTTTCCCTCTTTCATCTTTCTCCAAACGTGTAGAGTCTCAGATATGTAGATATATGCTTATAATTTTCGCTTTTCAAGTTTGTCACTTTTGTTCAAATTCTCAAGGTATTTTGGCTCACCGATCAAATTCAGGTTCTGGGTATGTCTGCAAATTTAATTATGATTTGTGGCGTTGGAAAAAAAAAACATTTTTTTTTCTCCATCGCTTGCTGAAGATTGGGAGTTTTAATGGGTGCTAGCTAAATCTTGGGCTGAGGGAAGTTTTGAGGGATTTTGTTCAATTGCTATGCTATTTCGTTTGAGCACTAGAATTGTTATTCATGTGTGGGATTTGTTTTTTTTTATTGTGGTTTTGAAGAACTGAAGACTGTTCTAGACACCGTTCTTCTAATTTCTAGTGGAGTGGAAGGTTGGTTTATGCCTTGTGTGTCTAAAGTTACTTATTCCAACTCAAGTCAAGCAATTTTGTGAAGCTGAATTGTCCAGATGTCACAAACAAACTTTTATCGTGTAAATGAGTTTGATTGTTTGGTTGATTAACTCTGAATAGGTAAATTGGTGGTTCAGTCAGTGTGTTTGTCTTGACAGAAGTCAAAGCATTTTAGATTAGTGGAGAGGGCTGTCATGCTGAATGTTGTTGCCAACAAGTGGAGTAGGAATTAATTCCTCGATGGATGATATGAATTTGATTCAGCAAACCCAGAGACATCACTTGGTCGTGAGAGAGATTGGTGAAGAGATTGATCTAGAAATTGGACCTGGGGAGGATGATCCTTCATTTGGTAGCCCTACTCTAATTGGCGCGCCAATGCGGGAATCTTCTGCAGAAGAACATGGTGAGAGCAAGCAGATGGGGATGGTTTCTCAGCTTCCAAACAATGAGCAAGATATGTCGAAGACCCAACCGGTGAAAAGAAAGAAAAAGGTTGTTAAAAGATGGAGAGAGGAATGGGCAGACACCTATAAATGGGCTTACCTTGATTTGAAAGATGGGACTCCAAGGATTTTCTGCTCTGTCTGCAGGGAGTATGGCCGGAAGCATAGAAGAAATCCTTATGGGAATGAGGGCAGTCGTAATATGCAGATGAGTGCCCTGGAAGAACACAATAATAGTTTGCTTCATAAAGAGGCTCTCCGTCTTCAAATGGCCTCCAAAGAAAAAAGTGTGGTCGACAAACCCACTTATGTAAAAGGTTAGCCATCTCAGCATGCTATAATAACTGACATACAACCATTTTACTTGTTTCCCTCACTGATTTAATGCCTGCTATGAATATTTTTGTTTCTGTGGCATACCCACTTTTAAATGCGTTATGTATAGACTGCCATCTATTTTCACAGTATAGATTGTATCTGTATTTGTTTATTGTTGCTGCTATATTCTTGGCAGTTGAAGTGCATCATATGTATTCTAATCTGTTAGTTAAGCTTCAGATTATCATTACTATAGCAAATTTCAGCTCATTTCTCTAATTCTGTGTGATAGAATTTCATATATTTTTACATTTTACATCAATTTCTTCAAATGAGTATATGTTTGTTATCTATGCACTAAATAATACGTGGAAATGATAAGAGGTCTTCTTCGTTCTTATAAAAATGCTAACATTCTGGGATACTGTCTGATAATTCTATAATTGAAGTTGCCATGTCAAAAACGGCGGGATCAATTCTTGAAGCTACACTAAAAATGGATCCTCATGAGCTTGAATTCATTCAGGCAGTCCAGGAGGCTGTTCAAGCTCTTGAAAGAGTCATAGCAAAAAATTCTCAGTGAGTTTTATTCAAATGGTTAATGATTATATATTATTTATCTACAAATCACAAAGCCAGTGCTTTAGTGTTGGATGCATCTCATTGATATTTTCATGTTTCAGTTATGTTAACATCATGGAGCGCTTGTTGGAACCTGAAAGAATGATTATTTTTCGAGTTTCATGGGTGGATGATAGGGGTGAGACACATGTTAATCGGGGCTTTAGGGTACAATTTAACCAGTCAATGGGTCCATGTAGGGGTGGTATACGTTTTCATCCATCAATGAATTTAAGTATTGCCAAATTCCTTGGTTTTGAACAGGTATTATGGGTATCTTCGGTATTCATACATGACATTTTTTCCTAGAACTAATGACATTTTTGGTATCTTTTTATTCTGTCACGTTTTTGTCTATGACTTGGAAGCCTATATGCTTTTCTTTAAGCCTTTAGGCTATCTGTTGACCACAAAAATGCGCTGCATGTGTGAAAGATTTCTTTCTTTTTCTTGGGGGCGAACTTTAAGACTTTGTTTGCGAGTTTCAAGGGTGAGGAAAGGAAAGAATTTGAAAGTAAGGGAGGAGGAAAGAGGGTTAATACAAGACCTCTTAAATTGGGAGAACTTAAAAACATGAGATTAAGAGGATTTTTTATGGTTTATAAATCCTTGTCTTCTCATCTAAAAACTCTCAAACAAGGATAACTATCACATAAGTTTTTCTCATTCCCCCCAAAAACCAATTCCCAAACAAAGCCTAAGTTATAACTCTTAACCCCTTATGTTTGGTTGTAAGTTATACACTTTTTACATTTCATCACGAGAGTGGTAGAACCACCTTTTTCTTTTAATATTATATTTTTACATCAAGATCAGGGCTGTATTTCAGAGTCTTTTTTCTGTTTTTAGAAAGAGGATAAACTTGTGAACAGATGTTAGGATAAATTAGCAAACACATGTGCTTGCACATATACATGTTCACACAGAATTGAAGAAGCGGGTTGAAAAAACAGAACAGGGAGAGAGTGAGAGAATAAGTGCCAGAAAGATAATAAATGAAAATGATGAGAGTATACCATGGAATAAGGAGGGGGCAGGGTAAAAGTTGGAGTTCTTTTAAATACTCTGTTATGGTGGCTTTTGGGATGTGGATATCTTAGAACATATGTCTAGGATTTCTGGGCACCTATTATATCAGCATAAGATGCATGTGTTTGATTTCGAATATGTATTTTTACACACGCGTTATGTATGCGTGTATATATACACTTGATAAGCAGACCTTCAACGTTCATGTCTTCCAATCATGGAAAAAAAATGTGAAACTCAATACTCAATGCCATATTTCTAAAAAGATTATAATATAAAGATTATGGTGATCATTAAAATATTTCTAAGATGCCTAGATCTTGTGCAGTCTACCTACATGACGTGAGAAAATATAATGATTGGGACAGAAAACCTTTATTTGCTCAAAATACTAATTATACTAGTAATAAGGTCTTAATTTGGTTGAGTAATATAATACTAAAGATTTAAAGCTTTATTTGTTCATATTCCATGATGCATATCTGTATTTGATCACTTTATACAACACTTCCCTGCAGACTTTAAAGAATGCCTTATCACCATATAAACTAGGAGGAGCAGCAGGGGGAAGTGATTTTGATCCAAAAGGAAAAAGTGATAATGAGGCGAGTTTTTAACTTACTCTATCTCTACTTGAGTGCTTTTATAGGTACTAAATATTACTTTGAAAAGCTGGCAGATTATGCGATTTTGCCAAAGTTTCATGAGTGAGATGTATCGCTACCTGGGTCCCGACAAGGTAACTCAAAGCAGATTCTTTTTCTGCATCTTTTAACCTATTCACATTAAGGGCCTGTTTTACTTATTATTCTTGTGATGGATGCCTATTAGGACCTTCCATCAGAGGAAATGGGTGTTGGTACTCGAGAAATGGGGTATCTTTTTGGACAATATAGACGTCTAGCTGGTCATTTTCAGGTAATTTTGATATTCTTAAATCTTAACTAATTATTTGGTGGAAATACTAATATTTTATCTTTTTTCGTTATATGCTTCCCCCTTTACATCTCAGTTCTGAATATTGCAGACTTAATGCACTTTATGTAATAACATCAATAGAATAAATCCCAATGGCCAAAGAAAAAAGGATTAGGTAGTGCAAACGCATGACATCTTGTATTTTCAAACTTATGTTAAGCATTATTGTCTACATATTTTGTGATGTTGGTAATTTCTTTTAATCTTTAATTTATCTCTTTTAAAGTACAATTATGTCAATTTGCTTTAACAACATGAGGAAAAAGTGGGAGTATGGGGCCCACCTAGCAGGATAAACTTGGCTGTTGCTTGCTGATATTTTTGCGTCCATGGGCTTGGGGATCATTGCTTTACTTTGCACAATGCATATTTCACACAATATGCATTGTATATAGTGCAGTCTGTAACATATCAGTTTAGGAACATGAAATTTTGAGGTAATGATTATGTAGGCATTGTGGCAGAAAGGACAATTAGGGTTTTTTCTGTTGGTTATTTTTCATATTTATGCCTTATTTATGCAGGGAAGCTTTACAGGGCCAAGGATATTTTGGTCTGGTTCCAGTCTTCGACCTGAAGCTACTGGCTATGGGCTGGTAATTTCAACTTTTCATTCTTACTCCCTGTGGACATATGGTGAGATGAGAAAATATGAGTGATTATGCATGAAATAACGTTCCATTTTCTTTCCCTATTTTTGGTATTTCTCCATGAGATATTCTGTTATGCAGTATGTCATTTCAATTTCTTGTCCAGCCCTTTAATAAAAAAGAAGAGTAATCTCTAGATTTATTGCCAACTCATCATTTCATGACAAAGTGCATGTATCATACACATCCATTGTTACCCAGAAGATCATCGTAAAACGTTCTGTGCATCTATAGTTCCAAGTTAAAAATTTTAATAAGTTTGTCATGCCTCTGCAGGTTTTCTTTGCCCAGCTTTTGCTTTCTGACATGAATAAAGAACTTAAAGGATTAAGGTTTCTATTATAATTTAGACCATTTCATAAGCATTGTTGCTACTTGCTACCAATTCATTCATTGCACATTCATGATCTTGGGATACTCTTCTAATTTATTATTTCCTGTAGATGTGTTGTGAGTGGTTCTGGAAAGATTGCAATGCATGTTTTAGAGAAGTTAGTTGCTTATGGTGCTCTTCCCATTTCAGTATCAGGTAATTCTAGAAAGAGTGAAAATTTGTGTTTTTTTTTTTTATAATCTTAATCTTAAGAATAGTAGTAATTAAAACTAGGATTCTCATATAATTTTGAGTACCTTCATATATCCTGGTCTTTTCGAGGAGTATACCGGTTTTTTTTTTAACAAAAGCATTTGTCAGATTCTAGAGGATATTTGGTTGATGAGGATGGATTTGACTACATGAAAATATCATTTTTGAGAGACATCAAAGCTCAACAAAGAAGTTTGCGGTTTGTATAACTTCTGTCATCTGTTTATACTTTGTGCTTCCTATTGTATAAAATTTTATGGTCCTTGTTCATAAATTGCCAATATATAGAGACTATTCAAAGACCTATGCTCGGTCCAAATATTATGATGAAGCAAAACCCTGGAGTGAAAGGTGTGATCTTGCATTTGCTTGTGCTTCACAGAATGAAATTGATCAAACTGATGCCATTAATTTGGTTAATTCAGGTTGCCGTATACTCGTAGAAGGTAGTTGTTCTTGCAAGATGCTGTGTATATATACATATTCCTCCTTTTCTCATATATATTAATGGTAGTGACATTTTAATTTTTTAATCCTAGGTTCAAACATGCCTTGTACCCCTGAGGCAGTTCAGGTTCTGAGGAAAGCTAGTGTTCTTGTGGCTCCAGCAATGGCTGCTGGGGCTGGAGGGGTGAGATTTTTACTTTATTTTTCCTATGTATATTGTGCACACATTGCCACTGTAACATGAACAAACTGAAAATTTTATCCACCATATCTGCGAATTTTGATGCATAGTTAGTTCTGCATTATATTTTGTTTATTAGGTATCAGTTGGCATGGAGACAGAGACAAATGGAAAAAGAGATGTAGTAGTTTCCTTATTTTGGGTCCTTGTGTGTTGAATTTAACCTCATTTTCCTTTGCCTCAATTTCCCCCCATATTTCAGGCATTGAATTCATTGTTTAATGAATACTTTGCTGATGTATTTGGTCTTCATTAGATGCTAATATTTACTGGGTCCGTGGTAAATTGACGAGTGCAAGCATTGGCCCAATGATAAGTTTTTTGGTCAACCGATGGTTATTGGTTCTAGTCACGGAAACACTCTTGCTGCCCATGAGAGAGAGTTTGTGTACATCTGACCTTCTTCAGCCCCTACAATGATGAGAGCTTTGTGCACTCCCACACTATTGTACTTGTTAAAATAATGCCATCATTAACCGAAAGGTTTCATTTGATGATGATTTAATTGCTTCTAATTATATAAATTCATTGGGTTAGCACTCAGCAATGCGTTGATGTCTTTATGCTATGGTATCACGCAAAACAACTAAATAGATAGAAACCATTAGAATCTCTAGTTAAGCCTTGCCAGGATAGGCTTATTTAAACATTTATCATTTCGCAATGTAAAAATTCAAATTGGAACTATGATCATAGGCTTATGTCAGATTGATTAGCATCAGTTAATTGATCTTCTGTTTAACTTATGGCAGATTCTGCATCATCATTAGACTCATTTGGATGGACCTTCCTTTAATTTTCTTTTTTCCTTGCTTGTAGGTTGTGGCTGGAGAACTTGAATTGAATCATGAATGCAGTTTGATGCACTGGTCGCCAGAGGATTTTGAATCTAAATTGCAGGTAGTTTTTTGAAACCAATTGCTCTTACTAATCATATAGTTTGCCTTTTAAGAATTGTAAATGGTTGCTAGGTTTTTTTATTAACTAGTTGTACTCCATTTTCTTTTTGACTCTTTTTCGTATTCAAATTGAGTCAAACTTGTATTCTTTCACATTATTTGAAAAGAAATGTACAATTTCCATAAATTATGTTTATTGTGTGCAGAGGAATACAATATAAAGTGTATGTCTGTGCCTGTATTTGTGGTTTTCTTCTCTTTTTTTCCTGGTGTGGTGGGGTTGATAATTTTTAGGTACGGCTGTGGAAACTGACAGTTACTCATGTTTAATTATTTTTTCTTTCGTACTTTGGTAGGTATCATCATCCGCATACTGTTTTATACCAACTTCTGTCTTTAAATTTGCTGTTACTTTGGGCAGGAAGCAATGAAACAGACTTATCAGAGAGCTATCAAAGCTGCAACTGATTTTGGTTATCAAAAAGAAGACCCTGAGTAAGTGCTTTCTTCCTCAACATTGCAAGGCATCCAAATTTTTTAGTTCTCCTCTTCTCCCGCTTTCAGTTTGCTGTCCTCCCTCAAAACCATATATATGATTTTCCTGTGATGATGTCTTCATGTTCTGAGCTCATTTTGAAGAATTATAGTGATCATGAATTCATGATACTGATTCTTATACGAGCAATTGCAAAGAAAATCATACTTTTACTGTCTTAAAAGCTGTTAATCAGCTATATATCTTATTAAAAAGACAATTGACCAGATTTATTCTACAAACAAGATAGTGTGTTGGCATTTGTGAGAAAATTTTTTCAATTATTAAAAAAAATAAAATTAAAATGCCTTTTTTATTTATCCTTGTATTAACTTTTGATCTAATAAATAAACACATTCTTGGGTAACCAGTCATCAGAATGGCAAGTGTAGGTTCTGGTGGGTGCAATTCCCTTGCAATGGATTTGTTTGAATGATCCTTAATCATGAAATGTCTTTTTTCTAATATGTCGCTTAGTTAATATTGTATGCTTGTTATGTCAGGGCTCTGGTACATGGAGCAGTCATCTCTGCCTTTCTAACCATTGCTCAAGCTATGACTGATCAGGGTTCTGTATAGAAGTTGATATTGCAAAGTTTTGAATGCATCCAAATACTGATATTTACCAGTACGGTTGAAAATCTGCATTCACTATATAGTTTCGAGCCAAGGATCAATGCTGAAACCAGAGTGTCAATGAAAAGATGTCACAATATTGTCAAAGCATATTTCCTTGTATAATATGCAATATAAGAATTTAGACTTAGAAAAGAAAAATATTTAGAGGAAAGATTTTAGTTTCATAATAGAAAGGGCATCATGATTATAGCCAAGAAAAAGGAGAAATTGTCCTTGGCTTATTAAACCCAGCTTGATGCTTGTTCCAAACTGAGAAATATTTGGATGTTGAGATTAGAAATAAAAGTTTAGCATCTAAACTGAATATCCTTATTGTTTAGAAGTCTTCCCTCAAAAGATCCTGTAAATGGTATGTATTTCAATATTTTTTAGACCTCCAAATTACGCTTACGGTTTTTCTAATATAAGTCAAGAATTTTTTTATGAAGTATAAAATATATCTCGTTCAATGCTTTTAGTTACTTAAAACCATAAGTATTGAATATTTTTATATGTCGAATAAATGTTTTTCAATATTTTTTTCTTAATTGGTGTGTATGAATACATTAAAAAATTGAACTTAAGTAACCAATCATGTTATTAAATACATGGATTGTATCTTTTAAGGGCATCGTTTGCTCTCCTTCTATTCTTAGCAATCGTTTTTGCAGGTAAATTTGAAGTATTATTATTAGGTTTTTCTACATTAGCAGACAATTCCCAAATTTAAGTGCTGCCCAAGATCTTTAGTCTATCTAAAATTTCACTCACTTCCTAATTGCTCGACTAGAATTACAAAATCTTTTAATTTAGTTTATATTATATGCGAATTCTCTCAATCGATACTCGATTTACTGCATTTTTATTTAACTCTTGACGATCAATTCACACGAATTCTTATACCCTGAAAATGAGGTTGAATGACAGCAATTTATTTTTACTGTGAAGAAAGAATTTAGAAACACAGAGAGACAAAAACAATCAAGCTCATACCATAATTAACGAATCTTTTCTCCTTTTTTTCGGTTTTCTAATTTGTTAACGTATTTAATAATATTTAAAAACTAAAATGTTGAAAATTGAGATATTTAAAAAAAAAATGCGATGGAAAAAAAAAATCTCATTCTCGCAAGTACTGCATACTATTTCTCCAAAACACATTTATTTCATGGGTTAATAAGATTAGTTTCAGTCTCAGCACATATTACCATCCTTGATAGTAATTAATCAAAAGATTTTATACTTTTAATGTAAGTATAAAAACGTCTGTCACAATATTATTATTTTCTTCTCACTTGTCATGTGTTCTCATGTTAATGGAATTGACAATAATTAACATCAGAACTAATTTGAATGACAAATAATATTTTCAAAGACTTAGCAACATTTTCTTTATAACTGTTCATGTTGGTTGATAACAACTTAGGCTCCTTGAAATTCTTAAGGGGGGTTAACAACTTTTTTTCTTTCAACTTTTATGAGTTCAGTACCGAATCCAAAATGAGTTATTACATGTTGGTTGATAACAACTTTTATACGATTTCGTAAATGTCAACCTTTAAAGTTGAATTCAAATATTTATAAATAGTAATTTTTTTATTAAAAAAAATATAACATTTATTACTCTTATATTCTCAGTATACTAACTAATTTCCTTTCTAAAAAAATTTACTAACTTTAATTGCTTTTTCAGTTAAGATTAACATTTTCCTTAATTACATGTGAATGGCATAAATTTAAAAGCCGCGTATTAAATGAAGACCATCAAATTCATAAAAGGTCAAAAGGGCAGAAGAGTATTCTTAGTTTCTTACAGGACGCTACTACATAGATACACACAGTGAAACAAATTCATCTTATTTATTATACTTCAAACTGAGTTATATAGTTGTTTTATCCATAAGAAACTCCTTTCATACAATTCATGGATGCGACTGCTGAAAAAGTATTTCTTTTATATCAAAGTGTTTAGGTGAAATACAATGTCGCATATCAAACGCTTCTACATTTTACCTTCGATTACATCATAAAACCAAATCCTCCTGTCCTAGAAAGGATGACATAAACTCCCTCACTCAGCGAGGCAAACTGTAAATCTCTGCCGGATAATGCTGCATTCGCACTTTATCTAGCTCTCGTGCCAGACTCTACAAATGGATTAGATTTTTCAGACAAGTAGTGATCAAGCATATCCTCTTCATCATCTGCCATGACACATGAAACATGTATTTTATCATTATTTACAAATAAGAAAACATTTGTTCAAAGAAATGACATGCGTGTGTAGACACGCACATAAACATAAACACAGACCTTCAAAATTGTCATCATCAAAGTCAATATCATCCTCGTCCTCCCCATCAGATTCCTCAGCGACAGCAGCTGCACCTTTCTGTACACAAACCAAAAACAGGGCCCAAAAATCAAGATTGCAGTTAATTATGAAGTATTTTACGTGAGATTCATTTATAGGGGGTCAACATTGTATAGTCTTGTTAGGAAGTGAAGTAGAGACTACTGGGCCACTTCAGAGAAATTTTACAGCCCAGGGGTCCTTTCTAATAATTAGCTCAACATTTAATGTCTCATCTTGGGGGCAACATGGAATTTTACAGCCCACGGGACCTTTCTCAGACATTATTAATTGCACGTAGTGGTTTCTTTTTAATCAAATATGAAACAATTTATGGTTCAACAACATCTATCTTAATTGCAAGCAGTAAATTGTATGCTTAAATTGTAGAACATTTAACACAAAATATTAATTTAAGGCATCAAGTTATAACTATAGTAAGGATAGCAGAGTACCGCTCTTCCACTTTCAAACCACTGTCTACCAGATAGCTTCTTTTCCTTGGGAGCTGTGAGGGCAGACTCGGGCATTAGCCTGAAATTAGGACAAATTGTTTCGGCATTAAAAGGGACTTGTTACTTCAGGCTATTAAACTTTACAGTTACTTGTTAGAGATTGACTAATATTTTTAAAATATCACCCAATTCTATTACATTATTTGTTGCTAAGAGGAATACTAGCAATACATTCTTGCTAACACATCTCTTGTGATTGGTCAATATTTTAAAAAGTCAGTAGATTTTAAAAAATATCAATTTATGAGACAAACACTTGGATTTTTTTAAAAATGGACCAATCACATGAGTGTTCAAAAGAGTGTTTCTAAATTTCTCATTATTGTAATGCCACATTCCAAATTTACGACCCCCCTTTTGTATCTATTTTCTACCTGCCAGGCATATGCTTTTAAAGCCTCTACCCCCATTGATAAACACGTCACACATGGGGATTCATCAGTCCACAGGAAACCTTTGTATTTTAAAATTGTAGATACAAAGAGATTTAGAAATGTGTACCATAGAATAAGACAACTACAAGGGGCTTACTTGGCTCGTTCCAGTGCTAGTTCAGCTTCAAACCTTTCTCTCCATGCCAAAAATGTTTCAACAGTAACTGGTTCCCCATGGGGTATCACTATCTAAAAATGTTGGATCGATAAAAAATTGTCAGGCAACTTTTTCAACAGTCAACACAACTTCAGAGGCAAGTGTATAAAATAATAAAAAGAAATATTACATTAGAAAAAACATCTTCATCTTAAAATGAAGACCAGGTAAGAAAATCAGAACATAGGCAAACCACCACTACTATCTTTACTAATACGATTATTATGAACTAATGGATCATCCTTTAAAACATTAAAAATTTAAAACAGATAACAAGTAATTATACATAAAAATGAATGTATAGTCTATAAGGTAATCTACCATGTGCAGTCTAGTGGAAAAACTTTTGTAAGACATAAAAAAAGAGGGAGTCTGATAATAAAACATTTAACATGTAGGAATAATAATCATTAAGAGTTGTTATTTAACTGAATATATTATAGAGAATAATTTCTTCAAATGTTTACTTTCCTTCAAAGTAAAAAAATTATAGCATGTTTTTGGACTTTGATCATATCAGTGCTGTTATTAAATATGTCTATGTTGACTACCACCCTTCCATAATTGTCCCCACTTTTACATGCTGCCCAAGATGTACAAGCATATATTTTCTCCTTTCAAGCAGCCAAACTTTGTTCCTTCCATATATACAAGCACTGAATACCTACATCTTCTGAAAAATCTCTGCTAAACAACGTTCCAGTAAATGAAAATGTCAGCAGCTAGCACTGACCTAGTGACCTTTGATAAGCTGCACTTTGGTATCCACATTTTTTTCCATGTTGAACAGAAGCTACACTGAGTAGCATTTACTAAATGCACATATTTTAGCTTTCTGATACAGTTCCATACACACGCTAAATATACATACCCATATTGAATACTATCAGATTCCAATAGTTCCACTGTGTGCACTTAGTTACTAGCAAATGTTCAGTAATTTAAAAATATATATATATATATATCCTTGTAATGTAGAAGGCACTTAACTAACCAAAACTCTTTAAAAAATTCTTAAAATAGAAGACAGTCTTACATCATCTTTGGCAGCCTCTTCTGCTTCAGCACTCCCACCAGCAGAGTCTTCACCAAACCGGTCAGCCAACCACTCTTTAGCTGAGGTAACAAGTGTGTATATCATAGCCATACCAAGATTTTCAGATGCCTGTGGAACACAGGTTTTGTATCAAAATTTCCATAACCTGACAAATATCCACAACAAATCTAGAGTTCCACAACCATCAGCCATTGTGCACATTTAAAAACAGATATAACAACTGGAAACATTAAATTCAGAATGGCATTAAGGTGATGTCTTTCAATATGGATGACAACCAGTGCACAGATAGCAAAAAGACCAGATCTGTCCAAACATTAAACAGTAAAACTGCATCGTAAAAGACCACCTCTTGTTGTAGTTTTTCTTTCAAAATCTTTAAATCTTCGGCAGGTATTCCTTGCAAACTGTTGAGTATGGGTTAAATATAGCAAAAGCATCTTAATGTTAGTGAATAATAATGAAAATAAATAAACATATGTAGTGCACTTGACGTTAACTGGACAGATAGACAAAAATATAAAAGACTAGATTATTATGATAGCAATAGACCTTTTCACATTCAAAAGTGGAGGTTCATCAGGATATCTTTCTGTGTGTGTGAAGATTAAAGCCAGTTGAGCTGCAAAAAGAAAATATCAACCACGTACTTTGTTTATTATGCATCAGAATATTATATGTAGAAAAATAAGTAAATAATCTCCAATAGTAAAATAAACCTGGATTAGTGATTAACCCATCTTCCTCATCATCCTGTAAAAATGAATAACATTCAGATAAATATAATAGCAACTCTCTGTCAAATTATCTGAAGTGGAAGACATCTCAGTTGCCTATGTACATTGAATAAATCAAAGGAAGAGGAAAAGTAATAGAAAATCTTGGAAAAAACCCAACTTCTAAATCTTCTAAGGCTCAAACTCCAGCAAACTGTGCTCAACAAGATATTTTACAGCAAAAAACACATTAATATTATTCCAAATCATTTAGTAGCGTTTCAGAACATCACATACAAGAAGAAAATGTTCTGCTCTAACTTTCAATAATAGAAATTTTTTTATTAAATAAGAAAAACAAAAGTAAACTACTAATCAAAATATATGGATTACAATAACATTAACACAAATTGACTTCTCAGTAAAATAAGCTGCATTAGAGCAACAGTCATAATTATCCGTGCCACAAACTTCAACAACAAAAGTACTTTCAACTCGGCAAGGTCAGCTATATGGATAAAATAGCCCCACTGTCTGACGAGTAAACAAACTCTTCAGACAAAAAACAATAATAAAAAAGTATAACATGAGAAACTGCACTACAAGAATGAGGAACATTTACCTGTGAAGCAACTTTTATTTGAAAGCACCGATTGGAAGTACTTAGGCCACTTTCACCCGAATGTATTTCTACCATGAAATTACAAACAAAAAATTAAACCCTAATTTCGCAGTGGGAAAATCAAATGAGAAGCAAATTAGCACGCACAACGCATACGCAATAAAATGACGTAAAGAAATATAGTAAACCTTTGAAATCATCCATAAGTATAGCTTCTAATGCTTCAATCTCCATATCTTGTTCTTGTTTGTAGTCTGCATAATACACATGGTCAAATAAGGCTTAATTAAGTAAACCAGTAGTTACAACACTTTTGGTAATTTATGCACTGTCCAAACACAATCCATTCGATGCTTTTTCATATATCGTCAAAATTTTGATAAAAATATCGAAGAATCGCATCGCTAAACAGCAACATTTGGGTGAAAATAAGTTTGCAACCAAAACCACGGAATATGATAAATCTGCAAATGATGGTATAAGGGGAAAATAGAAGATGAGAATGAATGAGTACCAGCCATGGTTGAAAGTCAATTGGGAGATGCGTGTGAAGTGAGATGTGTAGAGAGAGAGAGAGGTGTCACGGCACCATTACAAGGGTAGGGTGCAGCTAGCTCAAACAAGACCTAATCACTGAAACACTTTCTCTTAAAACGGTCCGTTTTAACAAGCAATTCCAGACACGAGTAGTAATAAGATCCGACCTCTTTTTCTTTTTAGTTTTAAAATAATATGTATTTATTTAATTCTTTAAAATGATAATTTAATTTTTTTCTTATTTATAAAAAATAATTGTCAATGTTTTTTAAGTCTAAGATATAAATAATAAATATTTATTTTTAAATATATTATTTATTATATTTTTATTTATCAAAAATTATTTGTGTTAATATAATACTTATTATATATACATATAAGATATTAATTAATATTGTAAATATTTATGAAATAAAGTATCAATTTATGACATATAATTAAATTCTTATTTTTTTATATAAATACAATTACAAGTCGTATAATAAATTTATTAAAATAAAGCATAAATAATTTATGAGTCTAAATTATTTTTTGAGCTCTTTTAAATAAATTTATTACTGTATGTTTCTCTTTATTGTTTGTTAAGGATTTTTTTAAATTAGAAATATATAACAAATTGTTTAGGTCTACATAAGTAATGTGGAAAATTAATATTAGTTTTTATTGATATTAATATTTGTTGTTTGTAAAAAATAATAATCAAATTAAATATTAGTCTTTTAAGTATGTTGTCTATGGTTCAATAGTCAATAGTAAATTATTACGTTTTGTTTGAACAAATTTACATTCAACCTTATTAGACTTATCTTATGCAACAAGTATTTAAATAATTTTTTTAAAAAATATATAACATATGTAATAATTATGAAGTTTTTAAACTCTCATTAAAATGAATGAATCTTTTTTTAAAAATTATATTTTTTTTTCTTTTTAAATAAGACAATTTTAAAATACAAATTATACTTTTATCTATTATAACTTAAAAAATAATAATAATACATATTAAGTTATTATTAATCCAATTTACATATGTAATCAATATTTTTAAAAATCGTGTTATAACACTTAAAAAATATACTTAATATAATTAAATATTTTATTAATATTTAATATATTATTATTGAAAATTAATAATATTATCAAATTGTTCATATTCTATTAAAGACACATTAAGTTATAAATTATATTATATAACAAAATATATATATATATATATATTAATATTATTATTATTAAATTGAAGTAGTTAATAGTAATGTTTTTGTTTTTGTTTTTTAAGGACAATGACTATTTTTACATTTAAAAAAAATTCAAAAAATAAATATAACTTCTTTAAAATACTAATGAAAGGTAATTTTAAGTGTGAAATTATTATTATTATTTTTAAAGCAAAGCAAAAATATTTTTTAAGAATTTATCCGGTGAATATGACTTCACAAGTGTGGATCATAAAACTACAAATTGAAAAGAAAAAAAATTATAAAATTAATTATTTAATAACTAAGTTAATATTTGATATATCAATTATAATAATATTCAAAACTATTAATATTTTAATTTAGAATCTTATAAAGCATTTAATATTTTAAATAATTTATTGGTAAACTAATATTATTAATGTAATGCATTAAATACTTCATATTTAATGTATTTTAATTAAAATAAAAAATAATTTTTTATTCTTATAAATACTTTTTTAGTTTGTATACAAACTAACTTTATATATTTTTTTTAGTGATTTTTTTTAAATGGAATAAAATTATTAAGTGTTAATATGATAATTTTAATTTTTTATATAAAGAACAATGATAGCAACATAATTATTATTATTAATTAATTTTTATTAAAAAATTAATAAATAAATATTAATTTACATGTAAGAAAAGAGAAATTTTCATTACTTTTGCGGTTTAACACTCTTTATATTCGCTTACATGAAAATGACTTAAATATCATGTGAATGATCTATATGAAGTCAACGTTTTTCTTCATTTTGTATCCATGACCTTTGTGTGTTTGATTTTAACATCTTCATCCCACCTTCAATTTCGTTAAAATTTACAAACTCCTTATTTACCCTTTTGTTTAAGTTGACTTTCTCAATTTTAAAAATATCTTAAATTTCAAACATTGTTATATATTTTTAATATTTTTTTAAAGCTACTCACTCAAAAACTCATATTTTTTACAAATTCATCATAATTACTTTTAACAATAAATTAATTGACAACTTATCATTTCAACAAATTTTAACTAATTTTAAATTGCATAAAATAAATAAATAATTTATCTATATATAATCTTAATTAATTTATTTATTTTGTAAATTATTATAACCTATTGGCACACATTTAATTCAATATCCTGTATACCATTTTCAAAATTAACCATAAACTGTGTTAAATATTTAAGTTCAAATCATGATAATGTTTAACTAAACATTCGATTAACAATGTATGAGTTTTTTTTTTTCACAACACACACATGCTATATATATCTTAATTTTCTTTTTAAATAGTTTTCATCATTGACTTTGATCTCTACATTTTCTTTATTTTTCAACTTTACAAATGTATAAAATTAAATATTTGTTGACACTTTATATGGCATTATTCAATTATTTATAAAATATATTAAAAAATGTTTTTAAATTAAAATATTAAATATTATAATTAAAAGTAATGAATTATTTTAGTATATTAAATAAAATAAAAAACAAATCATGAAATTTATTTAAAATGTCAAATTAAAAATACACGATGTAAAAAATAAAATTTCTAAAATTTTAACCATTTAAAAATATTTTATTTAAAAATACTCTTAAAATATATTATCATTCAAATTTTTTTCTAAACATTATTATCATTCAAAAATTAATATTTATAAATATCGATATTAAATTTTAACATAGTCTCTGCTATTGCTTTTTATATATATAAATTTATCCTAATTTTGCACGATGTTTTCTTATAACAAGGAAGGTAACATGAGAAAAAGATTACATGATACGGTGATATGGAATTTAGAGTTAATGATGTAAAGTTTACATAACGTAATTCTTGTTCGAGGTTTTAAATAAATATATTTTAATTATTTATTATTATAATAACATATAATTCTGATAAATTAATAGTTTGTTTAATGGTTAGGATACAATGACACAATAAGATTTATTCTATTATATTTTGTAATCAATATTTATTGATTATTTCCAATTATTTATCTGGTTGAATTATCCTAATTTATATGAATATATTTTTAAAATATATTTTAAATTTATTTTTTTGAAAAAATATTAAAAATGATTGATGAAATTTTTTAAAATAAAATTTTAATTATAATTTATTATTTCAAAAAAATTTATTATAAAAATTGAATAAAATTATACAATTTAATATTAAATTTAATATTATATATGCATAAATTTTAATCATATATGTTAAAAATAAAATTTTTAATTAAAAAAAATTTAAAATATGTTAATTTTAATAAAAAATAATTTTGTCACATACATATAATTTTTTATTTAATTCTAACATTAAAAAATATTATAATAGTATCTATTTTAATGATATACATCAAATAATAAAATTAGAATTTATCTTTCTCTTATCATATCTTAATTTTATCCATATTTTTATTATTTTATTTTATAATACATAATAAATGAACTTAAAAAGAAAGAAAAATTACCCTATGTTCATTTCCCTTCCAGAAAGTTCTATCCCAAACAATTTCTTAAAGACGAAAAAAAATACACGTATGCTGACAACCTGAGAAAACGTATACATTGAACCGTATACAGAATATTTTTAATTTATAATTTTGAAAAAACCAAAACACCAAAAACGAACACATCCCCTCAGTGCCTCCCTTTGCTTCTTGTTTTCTAATGGGCCATCGCCTAAAGATACCAAAAGTTACGTTTTGATCCAAACAAGGAACAAACCCCTCTCTCTTTCTCTCTCTTAGTTTTTCAGAACCGCTTCCCTCTCTCTCTCTCTACCCTCACAACAACACACTCACTCTCTCACTCTCTCTGGTGTCCGTACCCTCTGTGTTTGCCACGGATGACCACGACCCTCTGATGAAATCACAGCGCAACCAAACTCCAAACAACACAAAACCAAACTCAATGTCAAATACTCTTCACACACCAACAGCTTATTATTAGATCTTCTCTTAGATCTTCTACCCCCATCAAGCTCCATGCTTTTTCCCCCCTTCTCTTGCATGCACCATTACAAATTCCCCATTTTTAATGCCTTTTCTCCGAGCTTTCGCTTTTAGGCTTTGTGGGGTTTACCTCTTATGCGCAAAAGTGAAAACTTTGAGCCCTTTCTGAACTTGGGTAGCTCTGCAATGGCGCGTTGAGATTGTTTTTTTTTTTTATTATTATTCAAAAGGGGTTTAAGTTTTAAGGGTTTTTTCTTTGGGTGTGAAATGGGTAGTTCCGGAGAGTCGAATATCAACGGAATCGATGCGTCGGTGGGTGGGTTGGTATGGGTCCGACGGCGAAACGGGTCGTGGTGGCCGGGTCGGATAATGGGTCTCGATGAATTGTCTGAGAGTTGTTTGGTTTCACCGAGATCGGGTACTCCTGTCAAGCTATTAGGTCGTGAGGATGCAAGCGTGTGAGTGTTTCTTCTTATTTTCTTAGCTCTTTTTTTTATAAAAAAATTTGCAAAATGATTTTAGGACATGGTTTTTGTTTTGATGCTTTGCTGATATTCTGGTCTAAAACTTTCTTTTAATCCGATTTTTCATGTTTACCAAACGTGTCCTTAACTGGACGGTGTTGTAGCTATATGAAACTGGTTTGATCACTGATATAATTGTTGTTTTGGTTTTGTTTTTTATGGGGGGAGGTGGGACAGTTCCTTGCTGAGGTGCTGTTTTCACTCCAGATAATGGATTGGGATGTTTTTGACAAGCTTTTCTTTAATTTTACGAGATGTGTGGGTTTATGCTAATGTTGTGCACCATTGTTTTAAAATGTTTTTTTGTACGCGTTTTGGTGTTTGTGGTATATGTCATTGGAGCTATAATGGGATGGGATTGTTTTCTCAGCGTGTGTTCTTTTTCTGTCTTGTTGGGAAACTTTGCGGGCATTGAGCCATGGAGCTTTTAAACCCTAAAAATAAATATCATTGGTATTCTCTATTTAAAATTGTACAAGGTATTAAAAGGTGGAAAAGAGAAATGTCATTGTTTCCTCTTAGGTGAAGCTTAGGAAATGTATTTCTTGAATCTGTTTGTTGTTGAGTTATTAAAAAGGATTGATTTTTGTTAGACTGATATTGGAAATACTTCTCTGTGATATAGGGATTGGTATAATCTTGAAAAGTCGAAGCGGGTAAAAGCTTTTCGCTGTGGAGAGTATGATGAATGTATTGAGAAGGCAAAGGCATCTGCTGCTAATTCAAACAAGAAGGCAGTGAAGTATGCTCGCAGGGAGGATGCTATTCTTCATGCTCTTGAGTTAGAGAGCGCTCACCTGGACAAGGAACCGTTAAACTTATGCTCCAGATTAGATAAACCTGGGAGTGAACATGGAGGATCAGCTGGAGAATTACCAATCATATCTAATTCTAGTGATGACAATGACGATATGACCAATGATCTGAGTGACTCTGAAGACAATTCTAATTCAGCTCCAGAGTTGTCACAATCTGGTATATCTTTTGAAGAGCCTAATCATAATGGTTCTTTAAAGGTGCAATCTGTGCAGGGAAGAAGGAGAAGAACACCCAATGATTCAGAAGATGACGGAACTGAAGGAGTCAAGCGAATGAGAGGACTTGAGGACCTGGGCATTGGTATAGTGTCAAAGAGAAAGGTCCATGGTATGGGTACAACTGAGATAGTTCAGCAAGCTAGTGCTTCACTCAACAATTCAACTGCAGGGAACTGCCTGGCTAATGGAACCTCTGTAAATGGTGGCAAAGGTTATTCCTCAACACTGAAAAGGAAGAGATCACAAGTGGGAAATGCTCATGAACTCTTGAAAAGGAAAAATCGACGCCGGCCTTTAACAAAGGTTTTGGAGAGTACAGCCATGGTGTCTGTTCCTGTCATTTGTGATCAGCTTCCCAGTTCAAGCAGTTCTCCACTATGTGGGGTAACTGATGGAAGGATTTCAGGATTAGATTCTAATGATGGAAAGAAAAGTTTTCCAATGGCAACGCACAATTCAGATAATGCTGAGGCTGCTTGTAAGAATGGGACTTCATTAACTGTTCACGACCATGGTAATGATGCTTCCCAAATCAATCACAGGGTCAAGGAGAGTGAGACTTCTGGCATACCAGGGCTAGTTGGCAATGATTCTTCTGATAAATTATTTGATGTGCCATTTGTTGGGGTTCTAGGGGAGGAGAAACATACACCAGGTATGTTACAGTTTCTGAATTCTAGGGTCTTCCTTATGTAGTATGTACAATGCTTACAATTGTCATCAGGGTGCCTTGCAGTTTATTATCCCCTTTTCCTCACTAATACATTATTGTTTTCTTTCTTTTTCCCCCCAATATTTTAATTTTCCTTTTTGGTTTTGTGATAGATTTAGGTTTTTGGTGTATAATTTATGAAGCGTTACTCAGAACATGGAATTTAGAAAAAGAGGAATGGAAATTGAATGTGGAGCCTGGAAGACGCATGGTGATCATGCATAATGATTAATAACTGTTGAATGAGCTAAGTTGAAACATGGTTTTATGGTTGTTTTCTATGGAAATAAATATCTTGGATTCATTGACCTTCACTTTTGCACCTGTGCAAGTTGCACTCATGATACTTGTGGTGCAGGAATAAATTGATCTGAAAAAGTGTATAACTAGTCCCCCTTCCCGGTGAGATTGTGACATGCTTTTGTCTGGTTTTCCATGATTATTGCTTTCTTATGTCCTAATATTATGTGTAGAAAGTACAAACTACAAACTGATTGTTTAAAGTTGCATTGTTAAGCTGTAGAATAACCGTAAATATATTAGTTGTGTATGTGATTGTGTTATTTTCCTGAGGTTTGGATATCCATGCTATTTCCTTCCCCATTCCCATCTGTTTGTCTTTAATAAATAAAACCTTTTTTTTTTAACTTTTGTTGAAAGCAGTAGAATATAGTTAAGCTACATTCATCTGTTGTGCTTCAGTTTAGCCATGCCCATACTGCAACTGTGTCTTTTTGGATGTTGTGGTTGAAAGGACGTGAACTGGATAATTAACATGCACTGATGTAATTTCTTTTGCCAGGATTGGCGTCCATACTGGTTTCTTGTTCAGCTGGCAAGCCTCAAGTTAGTGCATTGGGACAACAGTCTTGTAATGCTAGTGAATCTGAAGCTCCGTCATTGAATGAGGTAAAGAATGAGCCTGGTTGTACCAGTTCAGCTGCTGGTCACAATATTGTTGGCCATAGAGCAGACAAAGGTAGTTCCAAGTGGCAGTCAAAAGGAAAAAGGAATTCAAGACACACCGGTAAAAATAGAAAACAAGTCTCGAGAAAATATGTGGATATGGACCATCGATCCAGTGCATATTTGCCAGGAATTGGGAACTCGGATGGATTCTCTCAGGGTGTCGGTCAGAAAAATGATTGGAATGGCTTGGGTTCACCGAATGCTTCGTTCAATTGTACTTCTCAGGTTAAGAGCAAACATGTTGCTGAGGGCCCACTGGATGGGTTTCGGGACTTGAACAAGCATATCAGGGGGTCAACAGCAGAGGCAAAGCTATCACCTGATGGATCTCTCACACCTCAAAGATTGCTTCCTTATCGCCATTCGCGGTTCACTGTTAACTCCAGATATCAAACAGCAGATTTCCCTGGAAGAAATTATTGTTCCGATGCTTCCTTATATGATGTCAAGGTAGAAGTGAAATCCAGCTACCGGCCTCAACATGTCCCTTTGGTTTCTCTTGTGAGTAAACTGGATGGCAAAGCCTTTATTGGACACCCTTTGACAATTGACGTTTTGGAGGAAGGTCATTGTGATAACATGTTGAGTGGCATTGGATGTGACATGGAAGCTGGTGACATCTATCGTGTGGCCAAGCCAAACTCGGTAACTGGAAGAATACATTCCAAAAATTCATCACGTTTTTCATCAGGTAAATCTTCCAAGATGAAAAAATCTGGGCTGTTGAATAAAAAGATTCGGAAGTTATCCTCTTTGACTGGTCACAGGCAGTCAGAAGAGGAGAGAAAACCAGTGGTAGATAAGCTCAAAGGTCCTGTTATAGCTTGTATTCCCCTTAAAGTAGTATTCAGTAGGATAAATGAAGCAGTGAGTGGTCAGGCGCGGTCGACACACCGTGCATTGCCAACATCCAACCCATGACTTGTGTTGTTGGAAAGGAGTTCCAATGAATGGATGATGCGGAGAATTGCTTCTTTGGTAATTTGAGAGATTTTGGTATAGTTATGCAGACCATAATATTATCTACTTATTTTTAACTATATGCACAGTTTGCAAGCCCCCCATATTCTGCCATGAAGGTTGAATCTTCTGTACAATTTCAAGACATTTTCATGTAGAACTAGTAGGAGTTAAATCATATGAGGCTTCTCTTGGCTCTGTAAATAATGTAACATTGGATGAGGTGTAAAGATGGATGGTCTAGTATTAGGTATTTGACCTGATATTAGGTTCTTTAAAAGTAATGAATTAGGATGTTTCCGAGGTTCAATAACTACATATTGTACTCCATAATTTATTTCAAAGTCACCTCTATGAATCCTAGAAGGCTAAAACAAAAGTATATTGCAATTGTGAGAACATTTGGATCAATCACCATTTCATTTTTGTTGTGTTTGTATGGAACCTTGTTTTGCAATCAATATATATGCCAGTTGCCAAGATTATTAGCATTTTTTTTTGTTGTGTATGTTTATTCTCTATTGTGGGTGTTATTTCATTAGCGCAAGTGGTTAATAAGTTGTTTTCTGGATGTGATTATGTTTAACTAACGTGTAGAAGACGAAAAAGAATAGTTGTTTTGTTGTTAATCCTTTTTTTTTATTATTCTAAATGTACATCTTTAAATAAAAATTATATAAATATTTAAACCTTTAATTTTCTTTATTTTTGGTTGGTTTGAAGTTATGGTGCATGTTTTGCCCCAGTAAAGGATACTGATGACAACAACTGTACAATTTGGAATTGTAATAAGATTCATATATTAAGTTGGTAGTTTCTTGTTCATTGAATGGCAAAACCTAGGTTGGGCATAGAAGATACAAATTGAATCGGAAAAGAAGAAAAAAAATCTTATAATGTCAAACAAATTAGATCACCGTTGCGTAAACTTAGATCAATTAGTAAACTAAGATCTTCAGTTTCAAGAAATGTAAACATGTTAAAATTTTTTAAAAATAGTTGTTATTTATTTATTTATATATAAAATTGACTATATCTATTTATTATTATATGTAAAATTTATTATTAAAATTTAGAATGTATAAAGTTACATATAATGTAAGAGAATTGATATTCTTATTTTAAAATCTATAAAAAATATTTAAAAATAATTGAAAAAAATAATAAAATTTCATGTTCATAAGTATATTTCTTTTAAGATATTTTAAATGTATTAATAATAAATAAAATATAAATAATAAAAATTTAATTATTAAATTTTTATTTTTATAACAGTTGTGATATTTTTTAATTAAATACTATTATTTACAAAAAATATTTCAATTTTCATTGTAGGTGAAATAAAATAAAAGTAATAATATAAAATAATTATTTTTTTGTTTAAATAAATAATAAAGAAAATTGTCTAAAATTTCAAATGTTAATGTTGGAGTGAGTACATCTAACATTGTAAAAGAATTTTAAGTTAATCATATTATCATAATTTTTTATTTAAATAAAAAAAAAAAATATATATATATATATATATATATTTATAAAATTTATTGTATCTACTCAATATGCATTTATAACAAAATCTATGATTGATTATTAAAAATATTTATGTACTATTATTTAATACTTTAAATACCTTAAAAATTTAAATTATAATTAATGTATAATTATTAAATTTATGTTGTATTTAAAAAAAGTTTATTAGAATTATTATATATAAAAACTTTACATTGTATAATGTTAAAAATAGAAATAATTATTTATTATGAATTATAAATTTGTAATTGATACAAATTTAGACAAAAAATGATTGTATTATAAATTTTTAAAATTATTTATTTAAATAAATTATATAAATGTAATTTTTGTTTAATTATAATAAATTATAATAAATTTTCTATTTCTATATTAATATTAACAAATATTTATGTCAATTTTGACATAAAAAAGATACTTATTTTACATTCATTTGGGTATGAAATTTTTTTAAAAAAATTGTTAAGATAATCATTAATAATATTTTATACTTATATTTTTAAGTAAAATTTTAATTATTTATTATATTTTATTATAAGACTTTCAGTGATGTACATACTATTAAAAATATTAATATTACAGAAATTATAATTTTTCTTAAGCTAGATAATTTTTTGAATTTATCTGAAATTTTAGTTAGACAAAATCAAAGAGTAATATAATAAATATAATTTTTTTATATTTTTCTTTTTATATGAAATAATTATATTCTCTTATATTTTTTCATTTAACCAAATTATTTTTAATTAAAATGATCTGAAAAATATTATTATTTTTATTTATAAAATTTATAATATGAATAACTTTATTTTAGTTATTTCATATTTACATATTGAAAGTGTATTTTATATTATTTTTAAATAAATGGTTATAATTTTTATAATATTTTAAAAATTAAAAATATTTATATATTTTTTGAATAAACTATTAAATTTTACTATCTATTATACATATTCTTTATTAAAATTAATATTAATAATTATTTAAGATGTGAGACAATTGTTTTAAGAATTTGTTAAAAAATAGTAAAGTTCATAGTTAATGGGCCACGGGATCCTGGTCTAATAGTAATAACAAGATCCAAATCCGACCCACAATATCCGGATCTTGCAAACGGATAAATGGGTTAAACTTGTGGAACCCGCTTTACTTAGATTGATATATTAGGGTTTCTTCATTGTCCTATATATAAATACAAAGTCTTTAAAGCAAAGCCCTAGTTGCGAGTTGCAGGTGAAGAAGAAAATGGCGACAGTACCTGGGCAACTCGTGTGGGAGATCGTGAAGGAAAACAACTCTTTTTTGGTCAAACAATTTGGAAGGGGCACTCAGAGCGTCCAATTCAGCAGAGAAAGCAACAATCTCTACAATCTCAACTCTTTCAAGTACTCTGGTATGTTCCCCTCCCACCCAATTTTTTTTTAAAGAAATTTGAATGATTTTTGAAAATGGGTAATTGAAAAATTAAATTTTTAGTTGCCAGTGTTTTTATTATTATTTTTTAATGTAATATTTACTTCACTATCAAAGCAAGTGAGAATGTTTGTTGTGTTATTGAGATAGGACTTGGGCTGGTATTTAATTTGTTAAACTTCTATGATTTGAATCATGTGTTTTAATTGGTTGTAGCTGAATTTCTCCTTACACTGGCATGACAGGTTTGGCAAACAAGAAAACTGTTACTGTTCAGCCTGTGGGTAAGGATCTGTCTGTGTTGTTGGCTACAACCAAGACAAAGAAGCAGAACAAGCCTGCTGCTTTGCTTCACAAATCTGTGATGAAGAAAGAGTTCAGGAGGATGGCAAAGGCTGTTGAAAACCAGGTAATTTTTTTTAAAAAAAATTCAATAAATGTCTTGGAGGTTAACATCTGATACATGTGAATGATGCGGGATATTCTTGTTCTTATTTCTGAAAGTTTGATTTATTCCTATCTTAAATATCTGTTTGATCTTGTTTATTTTATTCTTCTTTGTAGATTTGAATTTATATCTTTTGTGAGTTGAGTTCCTTGCTGCTATATTTAAATGTCAATTTGAACTTGTCCTTACCATTTTATGTCTGTGTCTGAACTCCACCATCCCCAGCTGGCGATGGTTTCATTTTAAAAGATAAAGATGGTTTGTTGGGATTTGTGTATGCTTTGGAATGTGTCTTTTTAAAGTTGTAATGAAACCTTGTTGAGCTTTTAGCAGCAAGATTCAGCGGTGATGAGCCTATAACATGTAAGAAGAATCCTTGTTTGGTTTCTTCAATGAAATATATGTGTTACGCTTGGCTTCTGAGCTTATATGATTTATAAATTCATTCATGGATTTATACTTTTGATCACTTCCTGATGTTATTAAAGGAAATTGGCTCTCTTTCCTGTGATGGTTTATCATTATCTAATATCAGTAGCCTAATTATCGTTATGTCTTGGTGAGGATCTGGATGTTTTGGGAATGTGTCTTTTTAAAGTTGAAATGAAACCTTTTTGGGCTTTTAGCAGCAAGATTCAGTGGTGATGAGCCTCTAACATGTAAGAAGAATCCTCTGTTGGGTTTCTTCAATGAAATATACTTGTTACGCTTGGCTTCTGAGCTTCCATCATTCATAAATTCATGAATTATTTCTTTTGATCTCCGGATGTTGTTAATAAAGGGAATTGCCTTTCTTGCTCAAATATCTGCAGCCTAATTATCTTGATTATATTTGATCTTGGTCTGAATTTTGACTAATACGTCGCTTCTTCCCATGAATTCCCACTAGTAAGCCTAATTGGCTTGTCCTCAGACTGTCAGTCTGTTTTTACTCTTAATTGATTTGGCTATGTATGTCTCGTTTATGTTTTAATTTGTAATCATTTTCTTCCTATACTTCCAGTTGCAATATTTTCACTCAATCGGTGTTCATATTTTTTCTGTGGATTCTTGCTTCTACGAATATGGTGGAGGTGTCACGTCATTATATCTTATAGCTTCTTTTGTCTGATTTATGTTTCCTAATGATGCAATGTGCTGTAGGTGGCAAATAATTACTACAGGCCTGATCTCAAGAAGGCAGCTCTTGCAAGGTTGAGTGCTGTTCATAGAAGCCTCAAAGTTGCCAAGTCTGGTGTCAAGAAGAGGAATAGGCAGGCCGTGAAGGTCCATGGTAGGAAGTGAATTGAGAAAAGTTAGATTGCATTCAAATGTCGTTTTGCTCCCTCTTTTTTTGTGTTTTTAGAACTTCAGTCTAGATTTCCTGTCATGTTTTAAAATGAAATTATTTGTTTAGTATTCAATATAAACTTAAACTAGCATGTTATAGATTTCAACCTGGTTGATTTTTGTCTTGGTATAATTGCCTTATGGTTGTTGATTTAAGTCAACTGACAATGAGTAGCTGGCTGTTGGTATCGAAAGAGGGATGATTCGTGCCTTAATTTTGAAACATTTGATTGAGAAGAGCATTTTACTTCATTACTATTCTCTTTTATTTTTGCCTAATGAACAGTTTTTTGAGACCTTTCCTTGAAACCAAAGTTGGCGTGAAGATTGAGTGTTAAAACATTGTAAAGTGTAAACACAAAGCTGCATAAATATTCTAATTTGGGGTAAGCATAACATAACCTGACTTGTTTAGATCTTCAACTATGAAAAAGCCGGGATACACCATGAAAAAGTAAAGTTTTTCTATCGTTAAAACCTGAAAGGCTTATAGAGAAGGAAAACGGATACGCAATGAAAATACCTTTATTTTCTACGGCTTAAACAGAACAACTGAGAACTTTTGGTACATTGGTACGCACCAAACCAAGGGTATATCAAGAATATTAGATTTGAGTTTTAAAATTTGAGTTCAAACTAATTTGTTGGTTTTTTTTAGCTTGATTGCATATTCCTTACCTCTGAATGTTAATCTTGTAAATGGGTATTGGGTAACAGTTAGTCCTCTTTTGATTAGGCCCAAGGATTGGCTAGCTCGTCCATACGTGACAATAACAAATTAACAATATTCTTAAACCATTTGAGGCTTAATATTAACTTTTTTAATGTATAGTTTTTTTATTTATAATTTTCAAACTATTTATGTTTGTTTTGAATCAAGAGCCCTCTCAAATCCAACCACGGAAGAATTTGATACGCATTAGCTTTTCGGTACAACAATCAAACTGTCTATTATTCTTCTAATTATTCTTCATAGTTAAGTTAACGCGGTCTTTACTATTAGCATAGAAGTTTTCCGTTTTTGTCATTGGTATATTCGTACAGAACGGAATATATCAAAATTTGAAGGGTAAAAACTATTCCTATTGATGCCAACCTTTGTGCTGCATTTTATATTCAAAACAACTATGTTCATCCTAATCAAAATAATCAGGTTTAAGCTTTTGTTTAATAATTCTAATTACTTATCTCAAACAAACGGAAGAAAAAAAGAAGGAACCAAACAAATTCAAATATAGAATGGTATAAGATGTTAATTAATTTAAACTTGCTAAGCAATCCTTCCTAAAAGTGTTGACAAAGTCTAAAGTCAATGAAAGCATATTATTACACGCATTGGAATACTATGTAACTTGTCTCGGTGTAATTCGCTAGCCTTATAAATGAGTCCAGTTTCATTGCTCCTTTGGCACTGTGCTTCATAGCTTTCACAAACTATTCTGGCTGCGGATCAACAACAGCAGCCATGTCTGTAACGAAATCTATGTCTCTTAATGGTGGCAATGCCATTGCCAAATTTAAGAGCCAAAAACCTGCAAAACGGAGGCGTTTTGATCGTTGTTTTTCTTCAGTTGAGGTGTCTATGGAGCCAGGGAAACAGCTAAAAGACATGGATTCCAACAAGTTGAAGGCCGAGATCAAGAGGTGGGCTAAGGCAGTTGTTGCATATGCACGCCAGGTTAGTGGCCGTTTTGGAAACTCTCATGGCAAAGTCACAAATTCAACTTGATGGAATAACTTGTTATCTAAGGGAACATTTAACAAACATGGGTTTTGGTAAATGGAAGAACATTACATCAAGTCGTTGTAGCCTTGAGAATTTGTGTATTGATGTTACTGGGGGGATTGTTGTATATATGTTTGTCAGAAACAAGGTGGATCAAATAATGGGAAGTGAATTCACATCCCTGCAAATCTGCAAATTGCAATGACAAGAATCATGCCTTATCATTCTGATGGTAGAATACCAAATTACAATGACATAAAGACGTGCTGTAAATTTTTGGAATTAGATTGAATTGCTAAACTATATTGGAACTGGTGAAATGTATATAAATTCTGCAGCACATGAACTGTATTTTCATTTTAGCTTGGTTCTTTTTTCCAATGTGAGTTTCCATAAAATTTTGATGTTGAAAAGACAACGTGTTTGTAAATTGGATCTTGATCAATTCCATGTCAAATAAATAAACTACTACCATTTAACTGCATATATACCCTTATGAAATGGTGAATTACACAAAAATATACAGACTAGTTAAAAATACCAAATATTAAATCTTCAATCTAAACGTATCCTAATCAAATAATTAAAATACTCCTTTGCCACACTTATATATTTTGGACACGTCAATATCTGTCATTGGTTTGTGCTACATTTGATGTGTACTGTTGTCTGTCTACCACCAATTCACCGTTGTGTATACTCTAATCCAATATCATTGTGTAAATACAGTAATTTTAAAAAAATAGTATTTACGTTGTGTTAATTATACTAAAGTACGTCTTTCGTTTCAGAATAAATAATCCAAAGTATAATGATTTACAAGAGATGCACCACACAAGAAAAATCATAAAATGCAATCCCGAGTCACTGAGTACTACAACTATAATGAAGTTGAAATGCCTCTAACAAAAGACACAATCTTCGTTTCACTAACACTAACAAAATTTGAAAGTAACTAGTTCCTTTTGTATTCACAATTCAAAGGGAGGACTAAACTATACGGCTATATAAAAAGTTATCTTAAGCACAAAAGAGGGAGGACAAAACTGGTAAAAAAAGCAAAATCCCTTCTTAATATACAAATCAGCCATGGAAAACTGAGATAATAAAAAGAACAATCTAGCTTAAGCTTTCTTTTTCTCGTGGTGAAGTGATAATGAAGAGGTGGAAAAGCATCATTCCAACTTTTTCTCCTCTTCAAAAGCCCTGTCTCCTCCAGAAATGGTCCTTAAAAGCTTCTTAGAACACATATCTTGTGCCTGTGTAGTGTGTTTTGCACGGTTGGCTCTTACCCAAGCAGGTTCCTGAAAAGAAAAACAGTACCATAAACTGTTATCTCATATACTATCTTTGAAATGGAGGAGTAATTGTGGAAGGAAGCTATCACCTCAGGAACTAAGCGAGAGAAACCAAACTTAATCAATAAGAGGACATGCTCCATGATTAAAATTGCAGCAAGTCCAGGCTCTATTTTCCATTTTCCCTCCTCATCATATAGCCATGCTAAAAGAGCACAGTTGGTGCATATAGACATCACAATGAGAAACTGCAAAATGAAGAATATCCTCAAATCAGTATGAAATGAAAACCAAGTATAATTAATTGTGTGACATATGAAAGAGTAGAATGTACTTATGAAGCATTGGATGTTTAAAGACATAGTAATACAAGCATCTAATGACAGTGGCAATTAATTCTTAACCAGGTGCCTCACAATTAAAACTTAAAAGCTTGTATGCTGAAATTTTCAGTAGATGGACCTACCATATATATAGTTGTTTATTTGGTAAACGTGTTCTATTTATAATTAATATGAAGTGGATCGTCCAAAATAATTGATAAGAACCTTCTAAAGTCTGGTAAACAAGGTAGTTAAAATCATCGTAAAGAAGTGAAAATTGTAAAATCATAAATCGAATCATAAAATTTTATAAAAGGGAAAAAACCTTCAAATAAGTAAAAACACTTAAACAAAGTAGCATCACAAATCATAATTTATTTTATAAGAATGTAATGCATTGACGTGAGTAAAAAATAGACCAGAACATAAAAGATACAAGAACAGTAGCACTAGACTCAAACTCAGAGCAGTAGCACATTGCTGGGTTTAGTTGCAGACCAGGCTGCACGCACTAAAAGAACTGTTGAAGGTTGACAATGATGTTAGAGTTCAAAGTTGCTAGAGGCAAATTGGATTCCATAAAAAGGAGATATATGAAAGAGGAGTCAACTACGAAGGGTTCAACAAAAGAGGCTTTGCAAGGAATTTTCAAAATCGAAGTGAAATCGTGAAATCCCATGATTTGAGGAATTTTACTATTCAAATCGGGATTTTACAATGATTTTACTTAACTAGGAATTTATCCATGATTTAAATCTATGAGACTTCCAAAATATTTTTCCAAAATATTTTATGATTCAAATCAGGATTTTAACTACTTTGCCGGTAAATAAATACCTGAAATATGTTAAGCCAGGCTCCTACTGTTGCGGCGGCACGAGGAACAGGCCGCCTCAAAATTGCTAGCAGCTTCAATGCATCTGTCCTGATTTCCATAATGTTGTTCTGAAAAGGGAGGGACTAAGTTGTCAACAACATAATATTTTACAGAAGTCCAAAACGGATTAAAGAGCCTTATACCAATGGTGAAGGCAAGTCAAAACAAAAACAAAAGATAGCCAGAAGCATATATACCACAGCAGCAAAGGCAAAAGCAGGTGGGAATGCACAAGCAAACATCAAAATCATTCCAAACTGCAATGCCAACTCTAAGAAATCTGCAATAAGGGATTTTCGGTTAAATTAATAAAACAATGTCAGTTATGTGATGCCTTCTAGAACATGATGAGAAAGTAAGCCCTTTCAGTTGTAAGATCTAACTACTTCATACACATGCATATCCAAATGAAATTACTTATATTCCATGAGCTCAAAAATTGAATATCAGATGAATTTTCAGAATACAACGAATTCAGAAGTACCATCAAATAACCCATCTTCAAGCTCCTCCCCAATACTAGCAGAGTACGAAGGCTTAAGGTATTCTTTCTCTACTCTAGAACTAAACTGGAATCTATCTGTTGATTCTCCTTTCTCTTTCTTCTTCTTGTGTCTGGACAAACAAAAGACAAATTAGCTACTGTATGGTGGAAATATCCGGTATACAAAGTAAACCTACCATAATCCATGTGTAAGGGAATAAAAAGGCTTACCGAACCCTGTACTTTTTATAGCTGTACTTGAGATAAGGCAATGAATTTTCCAACAAGTTTTCAAACACCTGGAAAAACTGTTTGCTTTTACTCCGCTTAATTAAATGAAAAATCCAAAACTAAAGAGAGGAGCAAAAGTAAAAATGTAAGGGGAAAAGAAGGGAAGGAAGAGACAAAGATAACAAGAGGTTCAACCTCAGATAGGAGGAGTCGCTGAATCAACACTTTGCGAAGAGTTGAAAAATTACGGTGCAACAAGGCATGATAAAAAATTCCAATGTATGTCTGCATAAAGTAGAGGCCAAATACCTGCACGAGAAAATAATCCTTTTAAGTTCCATGTTTAGTGCAAGGAAAAAATGTAATGTGGGACCTATTCATTCACCATTGTTACCTTGTAGACCAAGCTGTCAGCTCGTTTTTCTGTGTTCTCATTATTTTCATACATGATAAGTTTGACAGACACTTTGCCACCGATTTTGGTAATATACTGAATGGCGAAAAGATAAACAGCAGTGAGCCCAAACCTGAACCCCAACATTTAAAACAAGAGTCATATTAATCAAATATTGGACAAAACCAACTACAATAATTTGTATGACTAACATTAACAAAAGATACTTTTTAGTACTGATTTAGATCTTTTAGTAGAAACAAGCGAGTCCCTTCTAATAAGATCCAAATCCAAGTTATTTTGGTACTAACAAAAACAGCATTCATGAGTTTTATATGGATGAACAAGAGGCTTATGGGAGTGGGACTAATGAAAAACAAAATGATCCCAATTTCAAGTTGATATTCTCTGGTACAACAGGAAGAAAGTTCACATTGGCATTTAAGAATCACGAAATGAACTACATCCAGCAAAAAGTACACAACAGAAAAGATGACAGGTATTCAAAGAGAAATAGTACATTCAAGAGAAAATTTGGAGTTTGCAGCCATTAGTTTGACAGAAACAGCAAGGCTAAAGTAAGGTAATTGCATCTAAGGAGTTAAAAGAGGAAAAATGAGGATAAAAAACATAGTCACATCAATACTCTAAGGGGCTGACATATAAAACAAAATCCTTCTGCAAGATAGTAAACAATATCTCAGAGAAGATGATGAGAAAATAAAAGTTGCAAGAATTAATAGTTATATGAACAGAACAGATGATCCTTCTGTTGAAACTCAAGAACAAAAGAACATCATAGAAATATTGGAATAGCTGAACGCCACATAGAAAGAAATTTCAAAAAAAGAAAAAACAGAATATTCAATTAACAGTACAAAGTAGAACCTCAGAAAAGAATGTCACAGATTCTTACTTAATTATATCAGAACTAATAACTTCATAAAGATGAGCATATGCCAACTCAAATGGTAACTGAAGGCATATGATGCTGAAGATAATGATCGCATCATTTCTGAATCGCAGGAGACGGCCAAACCACTCATATCTCTGGAACACTTCCTTCCCTTTTGCTTTATCAATCTCAAAGACTTTTATGAGTTCCATTGGAGGCTGTAGGGAACTGGCCTTCCTTCCCGAAATCTTGTACCCTGGATCAGCTGCAACTGCAGAGCTAATAGGCCATCTGCATCACCAAAACATGGAGCAAAGGTGTGAGGGCAGATGGAAAAACCCGGCAAGGGAAGTAGTTAAAGTGATTGTACTGATCCCAAAGAAGTAAAAAAGTAACATTACCTGGCTAAAAGAGCGGCGTTTTTACGTTTCCAGAACTGAGAAAACATTACAGCCCAAAGTATGACCATGATGAAGAAAACTGGGAGCACTACTAATTTCAAAGACCTAAAATGTAATAAAAAGTCATAAAACCATTTAACAAGATGTAAAACTAAAGAATAAGTGGTAATATAAACCGACACTAACAAACAGACTGACGTACCCAAAATCTATGAATTGCAAAGTTAGCCCAAATGCTGCAGGGAAGAGCAGCCACCGTGTGTACATTCCCAGAAAAGCAAAATAGATTGCAATCTGCAGATTATTCATTTGTTCATGGGATAAGGAGAATGGACAACATCATTTTCAAATTATATTATAAAGTTCATAGAGTTATAGTCACATTCACCTTTGCCCCATAATATGAATAAATTTCATCTATTGGCTGACTAGTGAAGTCCCACCAATGAAGTGCCCAACTTCTGAGAAGTTTCTTTCTCTTCTTTTCATCTATCAACCAAAATCAATATTAGTTCAAGTTTCAAGTCACACTAGTCTAAAGAAAAAAATGATGGCACATGTGAGTAAAAACACCATGCAAAGGAAAGACTTGCTTAACAATGTTCTCTGATTCCAATTTCTGAAGCAGATTCTCCCCAATTTCCCAATGGATTTCTTTTCCATCAAATTTAAGGGTTTTGGCGGACATGCTGCTGTTTACCTGAAAATTCAATTTACAATAGAACCAAAATGTTCAAGACATGTCAATAGGTGAATTAATAGAAGACTGTCATTCCATGATAGTAAGCCATAAATTTTATTGTTCATTCTTCAATAAAGAATGCAATTTCATAAGAATTTCTTAAAGTAGAAAGTCTAAGCATCTAGAATCTTTTAATCAGATGAAACAATAAGTGGCATGTGTGAACCTAGCTAATAAGTATACCTAATCCAATAAAGAGGGATTTAGATATGTAGAGACAATTAATAGCTTGAAAAAACTCACTATTCCATATATCAAGTGACAGTAGCACTGAAAACGCTCACACCAACTGAAAACAGAACCATCAGGTTGTTTCACAAAAGCTTCAACCTCTTCCACCTCAAATTGCAAGTCCATACCTGGCATTGAGAACAAAACACATTAACATAAACAGAAGAATTGCACAATCAGTCACATTCCAGTTAGCACCATTTGACACAGTGAACTCAAATAATAGTAATAATTAGAACACATGTCCCTTTTGGGGGATTTCATATACCAATATGAGTCCGTTTCTTGATTTGTAGTTCAGCTGCAGCCCTCCCCAGTGTCTCCAAAGGTGCAGCCAACTAAACAAATGACATTTAAGTTTCAGTTACTCAACCAAAAACTTAAATTGGACATGCAGAACTGAGTAAAACCACAAGATTCATAGACCTAGGAATAAACAATAAAGATTCTTGTTCAAAGTTCAAACTCTTCTTCTGGTATATGGGGGAAAAAGGAAAAAGAAGGAACAAATAGAACCAGAATTAACTTCAGAAGACAAACACCAATCACCATGCAATGGAAATTCTGAGAGACATAAAAATATAAAGGGAAAATACTATTTAAGAAACATTTGCATATCATAAATCATATTTCCAAAAAAAAAAAAAAAAAAAAACACTCCTGCCACTTAATTGTAAATAATGAGGTTGTATGAAAGTGACTCGTATAGAATGAAACATAGAGAGTTTGAGCATTGACAAAACCTAACCTTGACGAACTCATCTGCAATGCCAATAACTCTCTCAACTACAAACCCCACCTTCTCAAACTCCTTTATAATGACGCGAGCACAGTCACAGGATTCATCTTTTTCCTGAACCACTCTCCTTGGAATCACCACCCCAATTTCAAATGCAAGTTCCTCATTTCCCTGCTCATTCATCTTCAACCACAGTGACCCAATGCACGTGAGAAAGGCAGATGACAACAACACAACCCCACTCCCTCCCTCTTCAACAATTCAAATCTAAGGATCAAAACAAAGCTTCAAATGGGCAGAAGAAATATCCCTTTTTGGGAAAAAGGGGTTGAAGAAAATGGCATAAAAATGAAGAAATTTGAAGAGGAATGGAATGGGTGTTTCTGTTTGAAAAAACTACCCCTAAGGGGTGCAAAAAGAGAGGGGGGGGGGGGGGGGGGGAGGGGATCTTGTGGGGTCAATGACGAGAATTTCTATGGAAGCGGTGATGATAAAAACAAACTAGAAACGTGGTAAGGAAACAGACAGAAAGAAGGAAAATACGATGAGAATTGGATTGAGTTTGAGGAAGGTGTTGTGTCCTATGAAACGGCCATTCTCGACAAGAAGCTCTGCAGAGGGACACACAAACATCAACATACGGTGTTGTCCACGTGCATGCTTTATACTTTTTGTGATTTTTTGAAAAAAAAATTATTCACCACAAAGTTCTTTTAAATGTTTAAATAATTTTTTTAACGGACATTTTAAAATACGTGACAAAAATGAATAAAAATAATTTTTTTATTAAAACTTATAATATTTAATATTATTAATATATTTAATTTTTATTAAAATTACATATGATTTTATATTATAAATCTTTGAATATATTTAAAAACAATTAAGATTTAAATTACTATTATTATTATTGTTTTTTCAAAATTTTAAATATTCATAAAAATATAAAATGATAAATAATATTTTAAGGTATAATTTAGTAATAAATCAAATATTTAAATAAAAATAGTTAATTTTAACATATTAATTCTTATGGAAAATTGAAATATTGATACTTGTTTCTAATAGAATAATTTGATGATAAAAATGCTATCAAATATTTTTTGTGATTAAAAGTTTTAAAAAATTAATGTAATAATACATATAATTTTAGAAAAATCAATTAATTTTTTTACAGTGAGATGTCTTAATATTTAATAAATATTTTAATCCGGACTAAGCTAAATATCAAAGGGACAAAATTCCACCGTTCCACCGAAATTTGTTCAAGGATTCAGACAAAATTTTCAGGTTTTTTGTACTCTGCCATAGTATCACTATTTAATAATCATTCGATCTAAATTATTGATATTATTATTAGTTTTAATTAAAATCGATATTTTGGTTTGTTAATCCCCTATTATTGAAATACTTATGATAATGAGTTTTTCTTTAAAAAAAATTTACTTGCCTTTTATAAAAAAAGATTGTAAAGTATAATTTTATAATATAAAGTCAATTTATGGTAATATTATTCGTCCTAAAAGTAAAAATTATCTGGCTGATCTTTTTTCGTGATCTGTTTAATCATTACAGCAAATAGATTGGTACGGCTTCCAATTCATTCTCTTATTGGATTCCAATGCATATCACTTGCATCATATCTCATTTATCATTCCTCCTAGTTGGCTGTGTTTTTAGCATACATAAACATGTTTTTTTTTTAACTTATCAAAACACATTATAAAAAATAATGTATTTTATTAAAATTATAATATAATATTATTAATGCTTTTAATCTTGAATTAATAATTTTTTACTTTTCATTATGTTTAAAAAATTGTATTGGTACCTGTTTAAAAGTATAATAACCCATTAAAAAATAACACGGGCACTTGCTGCTGACTCAAAGTGGGCCTAGTTAACTTGAACTTGTGTCAGAAATTAAACCCATTGTAATATAATGGGCTCTGCATACAAAGCCGTTAAAAGGAAAAAGAAAGATGATCGTTGCATGCATGCCACCCAAATATATTAAAGTAATCTCAACGTTTATCCTTAAAGCATGCAATCTCGTATGAGTGAACTTAAATAAATAATAGCGTCTGAAAAGTTATATAAGTGGGATTAGTTTTCTTCAAGCCTCCATTAATCCTTTTCTCTTTTTATAAAACATTAAAAAAATTTGAGATTTTGATTTGGAAGAACAAATTAAGAAACGAATGTGATGCAACCCATCTTCCAATTCTGCCTAGGAATAATATGGGATATATTGATATTTTTAACGACTAATTGTGACAAATTTTTAGAAACTAATTCAATATGTTTTTTTTAATTTTATTTTTTAAATTCGTATGTAGTCCACATATTTACCACCATTTTAAGGTTTTTTTTTTTAAATTTTTTTATCGGTATCATCACATTCTTATCAGCACCCCCTCTTCTTCGCTTTCATTCTTAAACTTTTATTTCAACTTTAAATATTTTAAATTAATTTTGACCTCTACATCAACCCATTTGAGCCTAACAAGAGCCGAGACTCCAGTACTTGTTAAATTGTCACAATTGCTTATACTCAATATCCACAGCAAAGGGCATGCATGTAACAACCCTTCAACAAAACCTTCAACCTATCAACATCGAATAGATGAACTTTTGCTACTTTGGGTAGCTAATATCTCCACAACAATCTAACTTAACAGTTAGACAAATTCAATGCAGTGTTTGAGAATGAAGCAAAAGGGTGACAAACTATAACCCAGCACAGCGACCGAAAAAATTGGTGGCTAAAATATCAAAATCGGTTGCTAATTTTTTTAGCTACCGAAATAGTCACCGATTAAAATTGGTAGCTAAAATATCAAAACGTTTCTCTAACATCTAAGCATGCTTTGGACGTGCTGCATCATGTTTGATTCATTAAAACGCATGATAGGGCTTCGACACTCTCTGAGTGTCCATGCCAAAACACACGTTCGCTGTTTTCAAACACTTGCAGTATCTAGGTTGTCTCCAAATATTTGATAACTAGATTGGTCCTCAACATCTTCATAAGAGTTCAATCATTCTTACATTCTCTTAATTATTAGATCCATATAGATTTTTTTTATTCAAATAATTTTATTGTATTCAATAATTTTATGGATTATAACAGATAGGTTTTATTAATAGAAACGTGAATGGATTAAATCAACGATATATGGAGAAAAATACTTTCATTGTCACTCTTACTTAAATATATATTATCAATTGGCATATGCTTTTATTTTAAATAATAAAAATATAAATTAAAAATTTCTTAACCTCGTTTTATTAACCTATATATTCAAAATTTCATTTTGAGTCATCTTATTATTTGATTGAAACAATGTTTATATCAACTAAGATGATTTGTTTATCAAATCATACGTACCTGTCATGTCCTCTAAAGAATTATATTCGAGCCACCGATCATCAAAATTTGTCAATTTATATGTTCTTTTGCTTGGCTGGTGGGAGGGATTTGACCTTCTATAAGCCGGTGAGGTACAATATATGATTTTAAAATTTTACGTGTTTTATGTTATGTTTGATTAGGGTTTTGGTTCTTATATATGATATTTTTTTTAAACTTGGTTCTTATATAAACATTTCAAGCCGATTTGGATATGTAAACTTGTTTTGAAATAGTATTTTATCCGTACTAACGAATGTTGTCTAAAAGGCTTAATCGTTTATTTTTATTTATTACATTTTTTATACAAAGCATTGATATGATTGGTGTCATTTAATACATGTATGTTTTTATTAAATATGAATTAGTATGATAAATTTTTAAGAATTTAAATATGTCTTGATTAGGCTTTAAAAATATTTTAGAATTGTTTTTTAATTTTTCTTTTTAATTTATTAATTTAATAAAAATAATATATGTTTTTAGTTTGTTATCAAATAATTTTTAAGGACCTCAAAAAAATTATATTGTTTGTCGACTAAAAATAAAAACTATTAATGACCAATAAACTTTAAAAAATGATCATAACTTTAGGAACAGAAAATAACTTATTATTTTAACACAATTTTAAACATGGTAAAAAATCATATTAAAAAAATTCTGTATTTTTTTATTTATATAACCTAATTAAAAAAGTATCGTTTAAACTTTTATCTTTAGAAAATAATTTTTTATTCTCTTATCTATTTTTATTATATAAAATATTCATATTATAATTTATTAGTGAACAATATGTTGAACAATGTTAAAAATAAATGAAAGCAAGGCCTCTCAGTTGTTTTGTTCTAATCGGATGTAGTTAGTTTATGTGTACTTGTCGATGGAGACCTAACATTTTTTTTTTATTACGATTCCTAGCTAAAAAATTGAATCAGAAAAATAGATGTTTCAACCAAAAATCCAAGAAATAATTTGGTAACCAGTTTATTTAACCAAAAAATTTGGGCAATTTTAAAATGTGATAGTTGTAATCTTTTGTAATATTTTTAAAAAATATTCAATTAATTTCCTAAACCAAATTAACTCAATAAAAATTGATACTTTTTATAACTTCAAAAAATAAAAATAATATTTTCTTATATAGAGTAAACAAAAAAATTATGAGTATAACTTTTTCAGAGTTGATTAAATCTATTTTTTGAATATTTTATTTATAGTTTGTTTAGTTTAACAAAATTGTTCATTTTAATTTTTAAACTATTGAAAAAGGTATATTTCCCCCCCCGAAAGTTACGTAGAACTACCATGATGTATTTTATTCAAATCAAGCCAAAATTAATATGTCATTGAAGTTTTTCCTACTAAAACCTCACAGTCTCACCACCCAATTGTAATTGTAGAATCGTTTATGTTGTGCATACACATAGATTAGAGATTAGAGATAGATTATAAATATTAAGAATGTGTTTGGGTACTGATTAAACATTTATTTAAAAATGATTATAAGATTATTTTAAAAAAATTAAAATATTTATAAAAATTACAAACTATTTTTATATGTTATTTATAATATTTTAAATATCTCCTAAGGCCATTTTATATGGAAGTTTCATCTTAGTTTCTTACATTAATTTTTGTAAAAAGTAAATTCAGTTAGAAAAATTGTTTGTTGTATAAGAAAAAAGAGTACTTGTAACTATTTATTATATTTAATGGAAAGAAAAAGAAGATATACATTATTTTGTAAAAAATTTATTATATTTTTTAAAGAATATTAGCAACGCTAGTTCCTTAGCCACTTCCTATGAAAGTTTGTCGTTAAGATTTCTCTGTCCCTCACGTTCTGAATTCTCTGATACATCAATTTTCTCACTCTTCTGTTGCTCTTTCAAAGTAACCATGGTGGGTTCCTTCAACTGGGTTCATTGTTTTTTCATCATTTTTCATGTCTTTGCTGCAACATCCATATACTCATCAACCTTCGCCTCAACGCAACTCTCCACAAACTTTCTAGACATAGCCAAGAAACCTGAGGTTTTCGATTGGATGGTCAAAATCAGAAGGAAGATTCACGAGAATCCTGAACTGGGTTATGAGGAATTTGAGACTAGTAAGCTTATCAGAGCTGAATTGGATAAATTGGGAATCCCCTATAAACACCCAGTTGCAGTCACTGGTGTTATTGGTTTCATAGGTACAGGAATGTCGCCTTTTGTTGCGTTAAGAGCTGATATGGATGCTCTTCCCATCCAGGTTAGATGATTTTTGTTTATTATTTACCAAAATATGAAAATTAACGATATAAATTATTTTTGAAATATATAAAAACAAAAATGTTTTAATTACATTTTTATAAATTTTCAATTTTAATAAAATTTAAGAAAGATAATGTATGATTTTTTATGATTTCAAAACTTTAATGGGTTGGTTCTATCTTGGGCCAAGATAATAGAGTTTTGTTTCTTTTGTTTGGCTTTCTTCTAATTTTAATTGACGTTGATGTATTACCATATCTAACCTTAGGAAAAGGTGGAGTGGGAGCACAAGAGTAAAGTACTTGGAAAGATGCATGCTTGTGGCCATGATGCTCATGTTACCATGCTTCTAGGTGCTGCAAAGATTCTCAAGGATCATGAAAAAGAAATACAAGTTAGACTTTTTATTCTGCCTTCTTTGTTTCCGTTTTATTTCTATATAATGTTATTGCTATGTTCTGCTTTATTTGAGTAATCTTATAAAGAAGTTCTTGAAAAAAAAAATCAGAATAATAAGTAACTTTTTAATTAAAAATAATGAAATTCTAAATTTTAGAAAAGTTAAAAAAAACTTATTAAAAAAACATAAGTTGTTATTAATTTATTAAAAAAAAGTTATTTATTTTTTATATTAATTATTTTTATAAAGATTTTTCCAAAATGCATTGTACTCATAAATTTGGCTCCCTTAACAATTGTATACTTTGTTTTACGTGAACTTTTTGTTATATAATTCCGATCATGTCAAAATCAAACATGTGCTCTGTTTATATGGTGTTTGTTAATTAAAGTACATCTGAATAATGCTACCATTACCTCCTATTTTGCTAGATTATAAATTTATTAAATGACTATCTATTATATGGCATACATATTAAACTGATGATTAAAAGAAAAAACTTTCTCTTGGTTTTTGCTTTGGTAACACAAAGTAGAAGAATAAATAAAAATGAAAAGAGAAAAAAAGGTTGGCCAACTTGCTATGTTGTTTTCGATATGTGATAATTTCATTGTTTTGATGTATAAACAGGGAACTGTAGTTCTTGTTTTTCAACCAGCAGAGGAAGGAGGTGGAGGGGCTAAGAAAATTTTAGATGCTGGAGTATTGGAAAATGTTACAGCTATTTTTGGATTGCATGTGACACCAAACTTTGCAATAGGTGAAGTAGCCTCTAAATCTGGTCTAATGTTGGCACGAAGTGGTGTTTTTGAAGCAAGAATAGGTGGAAAAGGAGGTCATGCAGCTATTCCTCAACATTCTATAGACCCCATATTGGCAGCTTCTAATGTGATTATTAGCTTACAACATCTTGTCTCTCGTGAAGCTGATCCTCTAGACTCCCAAGTAAATTTGCTTTAACTTCATTTCTTTCCCTTTAACTCTATGACAATGATAGAAGTTGGGTAATGTGGTGATTGTGCATGTGTTAGAACATTTTGTAACTATTCAGTTTAGTTAAATAGATTAAAAACTATAAAGATTATGTAAATTTTACTTTTTTTTTTAAGTTTTCATTTAATTTCTCTCTCTCATATCTTTGTATTTTTAATATATTTTAGTCAATAACTGAAATATGTTACTCATATTCCTCTGTTTATTAATTAAAATATATTATAAATTATTGAATAAAAAAATATCATTTTTAATTAATAAATAACACTACCAACTCTTAAAGAACTCTCTTTAAATTATACGTGAAATGCATGGCTTTTGTTTCTTTCTAATGAATCATCCAATAAATGGAGAGAGATTTGTTCTGTTTTAGGAAGTACTTGCAATCCTTTTTTGTGATCCTAATGAAAAGCATTTCCCCAAAGGTTGTGACAGTAGGAAAATTCGAAGGAGGTTCTGCATTCAATGTTATTCCAGATTCTGTCACAATCGGTGGCACCTTCCGAGCTTTTTCTAAACAAAGCTTTCAGCAATTAAGACAGCGCATTGAGCAGGTATGTTACGGAGAAAGATAACTTCATTTTAGATGCACAAACTGATACATACAATAATCTTTTTTGTTTTTTGTCATCCAATACTTATAGAACCTATAGATTAATTTAACAGAAAATTAATAAACAATACCATTTCAACAAAATCTTGAAGAGACATTGTAATCAAAGTACTGCATTTTGATGCTTTACAAGGGTGATTCATTTATGTAGATTGTGACTGGGCAAGCTAGTGTCCAAAGGTGCAATGCAACGGTCAACTTCCTTGAAGAAGAGAAGCCTTTCTTTCCAGCAACTATAAACAATGGTGACTTGCATGTTCATTTTCAGAATGTTGCATGGGATTTGCTAGGCATCAATAAAGTTCATGACATGAAATCATTGATGGGAGCTGAAGATTTTTCATTCTATCAAGAGGTTATGCCTGGCCACTTTTCCATGCTTGGAATGATGAATGCCTCACATGAAAGGCTTGAGCAACTGCACACACCCTTTTTCAAGGTCAATGAAGATGTTCTTCCTTATGGGGCTACTCTTCATGCCTCATTAGCTGTTAATTATCTTCTAAAATATTCCCAAGATGTACCTATTCTAGATGCCAAGTACCACAATGAATTGTAATTGGATTGTTAATAGTTTTTGAGAGTATATTTGGTCAACAAAATAAAAAAACACCATGTGATATTTATTTTATTTTTTATGATTTTTCAATTAATATAATTTATTTATTATTTTAATATGTATTAAATATAAAATAAAAGTTGTGGAAGATGTATCAATTAAAATTTTCTTATTATGAATAACAGTTGTATAACAATATATATACACATGTATAGGCACTTTTGACTTGTATATGCCCTCACACGTTACAGCTATGTTATAATGCATTAGAAAAATACAACAGATCACATAACAAAATTACAATAATAATAAAAAAAACAGCATGTGATATTTATTTATTTTTTATGATGGTTAAATTGATATGATTTAATAATTTTTTTTATAATTTTATCTTATTATTTTTTAATAGTTAAATTAAAAGTAAATAAATAATATAATGTATTTAATTTATCATTTTAATATGTATCAAATATAAAATAAAAGCTGTAGAAGATGTATTAATTAAAATAAAAGTCTTACAAAAGTTTATTTCACTTTTAGTGTATTCCATTTCTATGCAATTCTCATATCTCAAAAGTGTAATAATATGATGTTTTGCATCGTACTGTAATCTCTCCGTATAAAATATAAACAAAGGTAACTTAAGGTATAATGATTTTAATATAAGTAAATTTTGATTAACTTTATACTATTTAATAAATTTATTTTTAAAATATTTTTTATTAATTTAAATTTTTTAATCTATTTTTTATTCTCAATATTGACATTAACAACCTTTTTAACTTTTAAATAATTTATTTTTTTATGTAATAAATATTATGGGTGATATATTAAAAACTAATTTTAGTTTTAAATAAATTTAAAGATATTGTATAAGATTAGTTAATTTTTTTAATAAATATAATTTGATTATTTTATGCTTATATTTAATATTGGAAAGAGTGAAAGGAGCATAATAATATCATGCTTTTGCCAACATGTTAATTTGAATAAATAAGAAGGTAATTAGTATATTTCTCACCCTTAGCTTTGAAACATCCCAACTCACATGCTATTTCTTGGGAAATGGATATTCTCAATTAATGAGAGATATAATATGGTGAGTTCACTCGTAATTACTATTAAACGTGATAATAAAATATTACGACTAGACATATTAAATTTAGAAATTTATATTATTTGATAATTTTTTTTATAAATTATAAGACTGACTGATCAAACAGTTAATTTAAGAATAAATTAATTTTATAAAAAATTGAAATTAATAGATACATAATTATATTACCTTTTTAATATATTTTATGAATTTAAAATATAAATAAAGATTAAATTTTAAACAATACACTAAATTAAATTATTAAAAGATGTAACTTATACTTAATATTAACATGTTCTCACTCAAAAGATTATTTACTTATATAAACATGTGCATCGCGTGCCATGTGGCCACGCCTACCCATGTGATTTTATAAATTATAGAATAAAGTTTCAACATATTTGATTTTAGCATAGAAATCCTCTTTTGTTTTAAAATTCACAAGGAAGTACACAAATTTTGTTCTTGAACGCAACACTTCATTTATTTTTATCTAGTTTGATGGTTATTAAAAACACTAAAATATCATTATTAATGGCTAAAAATTATAAAATTTGTTAAATGAATATATAAGTTTTTACTAAAATTTATTATCTAATTTTATTTTCACTTATTCATTTAAAAAAAATAAATTGAACAATTTAATTCCCGTTAGAACGAGAGAATCTAAATTTAATATATTCTCAACATGTATATCGATTCTCTCACACAGTAGTCGATGAAAAAAATAAAAATAAAACAAAGACTTAACATTAATAAATGAAAAAGGTAAAAAATAAAAAACAACATATCTAATGTGATTTAAAAATAAAAATATAAAATAATTGTAAAAATTTTAATTATATTTCTAATTTTATATTAAATTTTATTTCTAAATTTTAATATCTTGTCAATGTTTATATTTTAATATTTAAAATAAATCTAATTTATTTGATAATTGATAAAAATATAATAAGATGTGTAATATTATTAGTTTATCTAAATTTATAAAGGAAAAATATTAAAATTCAAATATGAATAAAATAAATATTATATATTTTATTTATACAAATTTTTAAAGATTATATCAATTAATTATATATTATATTTATAAATTATTAAATTTTAATTTTAAAATTATAAAAATAAAATAAAATTAAGAGTAATTTATTTATAATTTAATTAAAATGTAAAAATATTAATGAATAAAATATATTAAATAATATAATAATATAATAATATAGGCACAATATAATTTTAATTTTAATACATTATCGACTAAGTAAAATACATAGATATTATTTTTATATAAATTATTATTGAGATCAAATTCATAATTAGATAAGAATGTCTTTACATTATTATATTTAAATTAAATTATATTTTAAGATTTTTATAATTTTTAAAGTAATATATGATTGTACATATAATAAAAATTAATAATAATAAATTTTATTTAAAATTAAAATATTTAACAATATCAATATATAAAATCATATTAATTTAAATTTTTTAATAAGAACTTGGTATATTTACTCATATTCTTATTATATATAATATTGCATAAATCTCAGATCTAAGAATTTTACTTATCAGAAATATACATACATCTTAAAAATATATTTCAAATAAAAAATTTGTAAAATTAATTTTAAAATTTCTAAATATTAAAAATCATCTATACAGATTAGAAAATTAAATTAGAAAGTCTTATTGTAAAAAGCATTTTTATTTTTTAAATATTAAAATTCATTTATAAAACATGAGTCGCATGTGGTGAAACAGGTTGAAGTGGGACATACCATTCTAAGAAAACAAAAACTATGTTGTTTGGTGTTTGAGACAGTACACTTTGTTCTTCTTCCTTTCATTCTCTCAAACGCCAAACTATGTTCTTGAAATGCTTCCATTTCTTCATCGTTCTACATTTCTTTGCAGTAACACCCATCTTCTCATCCACTGATTCTTCCTTCACCTCAACCCAACTCTCCATAAACTTTCTAGACATTGCCAAGAAGCCTGATGTTTTTGATTGGATGGTCAAAATCAGAAGGAAGATTCATGAGAATCCTGAACTAGGTTATAAGGAATTTGAGACTAGTAAACTGATCAGAGATGAATTGGATAAATTGGGAATCCCCTATAATCACTCGGTTGCAGTCACTGGTGTTATTGGCTTCATAGGGACAGGTAGCTCACCTTTTGTTGCCATAAGAGCTGATATGGATGCTCTTCCCATTCAGGTTTAGATAAATTCTATATATTATTCTCTGATATGATTTGCATATGCTTGAACTGGAGTTTTGATTTTTAAAAAATGTTAACTTGATCAATTTTCATTAAAAAATATATTTATTATATTTTCACATTTTCAGTGATATAAATATTTTTTTAAATAAAAATATAATATTTTTAAGTACTTAATTCAGGACTGAGGCTCATCATACCTCTTATTTATTTACGATCGGTTTTTTTTTTTTTTTTTGGGGTGGGGGGTGGGGTTAGGATAAGATAACAAGAGTTATGTTTTCCTTTCCTCAAGTTTTTAAATTTTTTGTCCTATATTCTATGGATTTGATGCTCTTGTATCTATCCTTAGGAAATGGTGGAGTGGGCGCACAAGAGTAAAGTACCTGAAAGGATGCATGCTTGTGGTCATGATGCTCATGTTACTATGCTTCTTGGTGCTGCAAAGATTCTCAAAGAGCATGAAAAAGAGATACAGGTTTTGCTGTTTTTTATTGCCTTCTTAATTTCCGTTTCTTTTCTGTGTAATGTAATGCTATGCTTTAAATAATTGCTGTTATATTCTAGTATACCAGGATACTCACTCATGTCTGCTACTTTTCTCTGGATTGTCTTGTTCTGTTGTCTTCATCATCTAATGGATACCTGATAAATCATTATTTTGTTGTCTAAATAGGGAACTGTTGTTCTTGTTTTCCAACCAGCAGAGGAAGGTAGTGCAGGGGCTAAGGAAATTTTAGATGCTGGAGCCTTAGCAAATGTTTCTGCTATCTTTGGATTACATGTGGCACCTAACGTTCCAGTAGGTGAAGTGGCCTCTAGGACTGGTATAATAATGGCAGGAAGTGGTTCATTTGAAGCAACAATAAGTGGAAAGGGAGGTCATGCAGCTATTCCTCAACATTCTATAGACCCTATTTTGGCAGCTTCTAATGTGATTATTAGCTTACAACACCTTGTTTCTCGCGAGGCTGATCCTCTAGACTCCCAGGTGATTGTGGTTTAAGACATAGTTCTGCTTTTTCCCTTGTGATCTAATCACTTACACTTATTTTATTGCTGAAATCGAGAAGTTTTTACAATGTTCTGAATCCATGGTTATGATAAAATTGCTAATTGCTAAGCATTCAGCTTGTCATTGGCATGTTCACTGAAATTGTATGTCGAAATCAGAAAGGACAAGAGGAAATGAAAGGAAATTATAAGCAGACCCTAAGATTGCAACCTATTAATGGAAGATTTTCACCTGCTTTGTTGCTTGAAATGAAGAACTTATTAGAGCTTTTACCCAGTTGATTTGGACGTGTGTACGTGTGTGTGGACACTTGTGTATGTGATAATTGCTATTATCTAAAGATATAAAAGGGTTGTCTCCTGAATGAATTTCCTTGTTTATGGTGATAATCTTCTGTGTCTTCCTTGCATAAATCATGTCCATAGGTTGTGACGGTTGCAAAGTTCCAAGGGGGTGGTGCATTCAATGTTATTCCAGATTATGTCACAATTGGTGGCACCTTCCGAGCTTTTTCTGGAAAAAGCTTTGAGCGACTAAAACAGCGCATTGAGCAGGTATGTCACATTAGAAGAATATATTCATTTTATATGCATAAACTGAAATTTTGTAATTAAGAATTCTTCTTTAATACACATCATCACCTCACAATAATCTGTTGTTTTCTTTCTTTTGGTTGTTAAACCCAATTGCTTGATTATGATTTTATTGGGTATTAGAGAGAATGTTACATGATGAATAACTGGTTAGTTTCCTATAAATGAAAATACTTATTTAAGTTATTAATAAGCTATACTGTATTTCATAGGTTCAATTATAAGCTTGTATAATTATAAGAGGAAGTTAAACACAACTCAAATGTCACATTTACATCATGTTTTGTATCTTAATCATTGTCATACAATAAACTAATCAACCTAACTGAAAGTAGATGCATAGATCGTTACACAAACTTGGGGAACTAAATTCTTGTAAGGTAGCTTTTCTTCATAGTGCACATAGATACTTAAAACCCCATCCTACTAAAATGGGGCCAAAATCTTCTAGATCCTCTTCCTTTTGTTGACATTTGACAAACTTATTGGTTTGTGCTGAGATGGTATCTAATATTGTGCCACTTTTGACTAGAAAAAAAAAAAACTGGCGCTGCTGTTTCCCTAATGCAATTAATTAAAAACCACTCCTACAATTTTCACGCTCCAAATATTGAATCTTAAGTGTGAGGGGGTATGAGATCCTTATCAACTACAAATATGACTAGAGTAGAGTTTATAAAGGTTAAGACAATCCTCATTGTATGAGATAGCTTTTAGAGTTGAGTCAAGTCAAAGCCCAAATCAAGAGTTTGAGGATGAAACTTTACACAACCATAAGAGTAAAATTGTGGTGCTGCCTTGTGGCTAGTAGGTCATGGGTTCTAATCCTGGAAAGAAGCTGTTTGTTTTAGATAAATACTTGCACTTATACTGTATTTGCCACTGCATTTGTGGTAGGGGCTAAGGCTATTTCATTTATACAGGTTATCATTGGTCAAGCTGCTGTGCAAAGGTGCAATGCAACTGTCAACTTCTTTGATGGAGAAAAACCATTCTATCCTCCAGCCGTAAATAACCCTGACTTGCACGAGCATTTTGGTAATGTTGCTAGGAGTTTGCTTGGAATCAATAAAGTTAATCTTGACATTCCACCAATCATGGGAGCTGAAGACTTTGCATTCTATCAAAAGGTCATTCCTGGTTACTTCGCCTTTCTTGGAGTGGAGAATGCTTCCCATGAACCGCTTCAGTCATTACACTCACCCTATCTCAGAATCAACGAAGATGGACTTCCTTATGGGGCTGCACTTCATGCATCATTTGCTGCTAGTTATCTTTTAAAACATCAGCATGACATAGCCGTGGTAGAGGGGAAATCTCATGATGAACTATAACTGATAATAAAAAGGGAACGTAGTCTTATTTCTTGTGACAAAGTGGGAATAATAAAGACAATGTGGCAGGAAAAACTTTTTATTATGCAAAATAAAAAAGGAAACTGAAAATTGAGTTATTTTGAATAAATGAAATTGATTATGGAAGAAATTATTTTTTGTTTTACTATTCTCATGTACTGTTTAATTACAAAAATACAATTATAATCATAGGATGCAAATATTTTACTTGGAAGTGAAGCTTTGAATCACTAAATTATGGACTTGTCTGTTTTATAATTAAAAAATTTATTCTGCACTCCAATAAAGGACACATGTTCCAATAAAAATATGTAATTCAGATTAATTTGTATGTGTATTTTAATTATGTTTAATAGTGTAAAATTAATTTTACGTAAACTAAATGGGTATTATAATTTTTTAAGCCCCCTCCCCCCTCAATTCTTAAGCACACCTAATATAAGCCAGCACATTAATTGTAACTACTAGTTATTTATTTTATGGTTTTAAGATATTTCAATATATTTGGCGATGTGCATAAAATATAAATATAGACAAATATTTTCCCAACTTTGAACTAAATCAAACATGCCATAAATATGGATCAGAGGGAAGAGCCAATTGAAAGAATCAAACTCCCCAAATGCCTAATGCCTCAAAATAATATCCAACTGTTGGTGATAGTGGATCATATAGTTCCCATAAAAGAAAAGGAAACTCTTAGTGGCAAGACATATTTCAAAAGGATATCTGAAACTAAAATATTTATTTAATTAAGAAGTAATCCAATAAAATATTAGTCAATAATTTGGCTACGACTTGTATAAAATGTGGTTTAGATTCAATGTCCTACACATCTAAACACTAGAGGAGCAACTCAAAATTTTCGCAGAACAAGGAGATGAACTGTACGACTATGATGGAGTTAGCTGATAGCTAACTAACACGCTCCAATCAGCTCCTTCAAAGATGCAGCCCAGATGCTAGGCATTTTTCAAATTCCTAGAACTTTAGGTGCTATATCTAAAAGAGGACCCAAAGCATTAGGTGCAAATTTTCTTGCAAATAAGAAGCAAAGGGAAGATGGCTGGTTATTATAAAGACATGTCTGATGTTGCAAAATTTTCTTGAAGAATTCTTCTTTGATGTCATCTTTCCCAAAGGTAGCTGGGTGAGCACCACCCCTTGACCAATCCACATAAGTAAGGCTCCTATTTGCCAAAAGACGAGGAGTATTAATGGTTAACATTGTCTGAAAATAGTGCTCATCAACATAGCATTTGTGTGGTGTGCAGAATTCTTTGAGCTTAGGATAGTAAGTGCTGTCTTCAACTATCCTGACCGCGAGTTCTCGATTAATTTCAAACCACTGAGATCCCTTACGCCAGTCACTCATGTTGATCTCAGGTGCCATGTTTTCGTCGTAGCGTCCTCTCCCATAAGGACCAGGTTCATCAAATGCACCCATAAAGCTGTACTTTGAACGTGATATGTAACGGTACACAATGCTGAAGTTCTGTAGAGGAATACAGGACTCAGATAGGAGGACAAACCATTCATTTGAGATATCAAGCAATGCATTAGCCAGAAGTCTTCTTTCAGCATCACACATACTCATCATTCCCCACTCTGCCACCTGCAAAGGAGACAAATAATCAGAAATCTCTAGAAAACAAAAACTATTCAACCTGAAAAGCAGTCACATTTTCAAAATTGAAAAACATGCACAATTTGAGGAGCATCTTAAGGAGTGGGAGTTTATATATCTCATCAAGCTGGTTTGGTTTTGAAGCATGTTCTCCCGATGAATTGCTGGATAATAAGAAAAACCATAGAATAGCACTATGAAGAAACAAATATTTTCAAGAAAACAAAGCCTGTGCCTTCCTTCAGCAATTGGTGTATTACATTTGAATGGGACTCCAATAACGAATGATAGATCATTACTACTCACTTTGTGCTAACACACTGCAAAATCAATAGTAATATTGCTTAGCTGCTTATTTCTATCTAGCACAACACGCCATGTACCTGATTGTGAATCACATCCCTTAGAATATGTGAACTTAAAACTCAAAGGTCAAATAACCCCTAAAACTAAGTATCATAGTCACAACCACTCCACCTGGAGCCCTAGCCATATATATCAGATGAGAAGGTAGTGATGATGGTTTCATTGTGGACGACCCATGAATCAGCTATTGCAGCTTCCTCCCCCTCTCCCCTGCCCCCCCCTCTCTCTCTCTCACACACACACACACAGACACACACACACAACCACAGAAATTCTCAAGTTCCAGCTCCCTGGTCCAATAGTTATCATATCATGAATTCCCAAACTTCCCTGCTTGTAATAATTTGCAAAACATCCAATTTCAGAAACATTTGTTTTATTTCCATTTTCCATCAATAAATACCTAGTCCATCCGTCAGTGTTATTTCTGCATTTCAATGTCCTCTTCTAAATTATTTGCTACGTAGGCTTTCAATTTCAAACGAAGTCTGATGATCTAAAAACTTCTTTCTATTATAATCTGTGTTAATGACTACATGCTATACTTTGTATAGACAAAATGCAGGCAGACTGAATCTATTGAAACAGTTTTCATTGAATATAATTTCAATTCATAAAAAAAAGTTACAACTACAATTTTTTAATAAATTGTATAAAACCTATTAAAACATGCAGATCTCTCCAAAAAAATGATACAATAATAGTCAGCACTCAGCACTCAGCACTCATAACCACAACTCAAAAAGTGTAGGAAAAATAAAACCTTCTAGAGGTGGTGAAAAATTACAAATGACAAAAAACTCTCCTCTTTTTTAACTAAGTATGAAAGCATAAATGAGCACTGTAAACTCAAAAACTAAATTCGTCCTTTATCACTTTTTAATTGCTACATGTTATAAATTTGTACAGAATCACAGAAATAACAGCCATAAATTTTGTGAAGGAAGTCAGTCGTCAAATTATCCCAGGAAAAATGACCACTTCTCTAGAACATATTATATGGATAGAAATAGCAAAATACAGCTGGAATGTTCTCCTTTCTAAGAAAAATCTATAGAATTGGTCAAAGCAAAGAAATTTCCCTTTTACCATGATATAATTCATATATGAATAACCAGGACTATGATTTTTATTTTCCAAATAGTATCTTATTCTAGCATAAGAAAACAACTCCTAGATCCACATGTTGGATTATATTGATCAACATTTTTTTGACATAAAAAAGCATGGGACCTAACCATTGAGATTTGTTACTGATCATATATGACACAAAGGAATGGGACCTAACCATCATTTAATATGGCCATAAATTAGTGCCCATCCCAAAACTCCATAATAAATATGGGTGGATGGGTTGAAATGCCATGCCAACAAATAAATGGTAATGCTATGGCCTAAAGCTCAAAATACAGAACTTTGATGAAAGACATGCCACAGCAGCACAACGAAGCATTTTCCCACTGCACAGGGTTGGCTACATGGATCAAACTATGCTTGGTGAAAGACAACCAATGAACAATTGAGCACATGACAATACATATCGATAATAAAACATTTAAAACCAAATTTACATAAAATAAAGCTCGCTTATACCTGGCTTGGGATCTGTCTATGATAAAAAACCGATGATGGCGAAAAATCAGCTATGTAAGATGGCAGCGAATGAATATAGATGGAATAAAGCTTCTCATGCTCTTTAAAGAACTTCTCCCAGAGTGGAGCCATTGGCAAGGGACCCTTGGTCAAGAACATGAAGGCAATCTTGGGAGTTCTTTTAAAAGGATAACTCTTGATCCTAGGAACAGAAGAAGCCCGCCAGAAGAGTTCAGCGTCGTTCATCGTATGCAGCAAACTGGATGGAGGCCTAGTCCAACTTTCTATGGTTGCTGGCTGCTCAAAGCAAGGCTTAAGCGTAGACTGTACCAAAGTCACATTATGAATACCGAAATGCCTAATCATGTACATGCTAAGAAACGAAGCACCCAATCCAATAACCAAAAAGAGCAAGAAAAACTGCAAAAGTCTCAAAGGGAAGGGCCTAGATGGACTTGTTCTTAACGCAGTAGGGTCCTTCCCATCCTCCAACCTCGAAAGCATGTTTTTTTTTTCTCTGCTCTCTTCCAATCAAACTTAGGATCTTGTAACTCCTGTGCCTTCACACATAATCAAATCTCACAAACACCTTATACGCATCAAAAACCTCACTTTTCACGTCAAAATCAGATCAAAACAAACGTGTCATACCATTCCACCACACGGGGCACCCTTCCTTCTTTGTAGAGAGAATTAATCACAACCCATCTCAAAAATAAGACCAAACCACCAAACAAAGGCCGAGATCACATCAAATAACGAGAGAAAATCAGCTCCCCACAAAACCAACCATGATCATATCATTGAAAAATCATAAATTTACGAACAAAATCAAAACTTCAGTTTCCTGTTTTCTGGGACGGCATGGAACAGTGGGTTAGAGAATGAAGAAAAACGTGACAATAAGCACAGAAGCGTGAGAACCTTATTACCATGATCCCATGTTAAAGGAAGTTATATACACAGTTCAATTAACGCCAAACAAAGACGTTAGAGGAACAAAGTGGTGGATCCCTTCACACTTTTCTCCCCTATTCTTGAATTGCGCCAGATTTCAATGGAAGTGGGAATTGTGTATCAAAGCAAGCTCTACGCTTTCATTCATCACTGTGTAGAAAACGTGCTAAGTGTTTTCTATTTTTAATTAATTTTTCACTTTTTGTGTTATTGGCTCTGAATAATTAAGGAAAGTGGAAACGGGTGCTCCCAGGGAAGAGAAAGTTCAAAAAACAGTAACATGGGACATTAGTGCTTTCAAACCTAATTATAAGTTTCTTGGATTTTTGTCTGTTGCTTTTTGAGTGTAAGCTGTTGTTGTCGTTTTGGGTTTGGTGGGTTCGGTTCGGCCCATACAGTTGCCGTTTGCTTTCACTTTTTACCCGTTTATGTGTGTGTGGTGTCGTGTAGGGGCACGTGTTGGCGTTTTCAGCTAGGCCGTTATGTCCTGCTGTTAGAGTTTTCTACCACCATATGCTGTGGTTGAAAATTCACCACCATACCCATACTGTTATTTAAGTGTTATTAGTATAATTATTAATAAATTTAAATTTTATTTTAATAAAATATTTATATTTGATGTTATGACATAATTTAAAAAATTTAATTTTGATTAGTAGAATAACCTTATTTGTTGTTTGCTCATTTGTTAACATGGTAGCATAAAAAGGATATAATAGAAGAACTAAATAAACATATAATGAAACAAAAGTAAGATACATTCTTAATTTTATTTTATATTTAATTTCTATAAGTTCCTTAGGGATGGAATGGAGCAGTTTCTAGAGAAAGTAAATTGTTGGAGGGTCAGTGTTTGATTTTCTTTTATTTTTTTGTCTTCTTTGGAGCATTTCCCCCAATCATATTGTTACAAGGTAGTATAATTGGAGGACCACCAAACTTTTTAAGTCCATTAAGTATTCTGCAGATTATTCTTTTACTTTCCTTCAACGTTTTGGTGGTGATGATGGCAACGTTCAATTTAAGATTCTTTGGTTAAAACGGCCAGAAAATGACTTGCTAGTTCATTAATTGATGCTTGAAATCTTACCTATGTAAGAGATGAAAATATTGTATGTTTTACTTATTTTCAATCACTTAACGTTTAAAATTTGTGTAAATTTGAAAACATTGAATATTCTTAATTTTGAATGTCATTTCGCTTTATTAATATTTTCATTTTATTTACTTATAATATTAAAAATATAAATATAATAAATTATTCAAACAAATTTCAAAATAATAATGAAATTAAAGATATAAATGAACTGAGTTATTCAAATTTATTATACCAAATTAAAATTTAAACTTTTTTTTTCAAATAAGTTATATTTCAGTTTATAAAATTAATATTACTAATTTGCTAAAATTAGTATATGTGCGTATTACTTAAGGGTTATAATTTTATTTAATGAATTTACGTAAATAATTTTATTTTATTTATTTTTTTCTTATATAAAAGCTATCAATTGATAATGATTTAATGTTTAATTAGTTTTTATTAATATAAATTGTTAGTATAAATATTTTGAGTTTGTAATAATAATCTATAGTATAACAAATAATTTTATTAGTACAAAACACTAATGTATATTATCAATTTACAAATATTAGTATAATATATTATTTGTTAGCATAAACCTTCAAATTCTTTACAAATAATTTTATTTTTGTTAGACAAGGTTTATATTAACAATTTATTCTATCACTTAAAATTTTTATGTGTTAATAAATTACAACCTTTTTTAGTGCATGTATGATATATTTTATTTTCTTATGTTATCTTTACTAATAAATATCTGATAAATGCTAACTTTATGAAGTTAAAAATAATTCAACAAAACCTTAATCGATAGTGTTTGTATGAGCATGAATGAGTGCGGGGTAGTGGTACCCAAAGAATCTTAAACAATGCCATCATCAGAATGAATGAGATATATCTAGAGAAAAAACTAATTTCATGTGAGTAAAATGAGAATACCTTAACTATGTAAGCTATAAGTTAAAGTCACTAATCACTTAAAAAATTAAAGAGAAAGTGCGAGTGGTCAGGACAATTGCAAATACGTTTCTTTTGTTTCCTTTCATCTCATGAATTTATTACAATCCTGCTTTAGCTTCACCCATGTGCTTTCTTCCTTGAAAGTCTTAAGAAATTATTACCAATTTTGTGGGGTATATTTATCAGACAAAAATGGTTATAGATACAATGTTAGAGAGTAAGGGTAGGTATATTGTCAAATTAGAATATTTCAAATCAATGGAAATGTCATGAGATAGACTAGTGAGTCACTAGTTACAAATGTTTCCTTTCTTCTTGTATTGACCTGAAAATCCGTGCAGCTGATTCTGATGTTGATTTTGGATTATGAGGCATAGCTTTGATCACTTTTGGCTGCTGTTCAACCTGTGTTTTACTATCTCCTGATGGCCAAAATGTTGGTGCCAACGGAAACAAAGGAAGCACATTTCCTTTCACCCTTTTGGATGGACTACTAGCTGTGCTTCTTTGCAATTCTTTATCTTTCAATGACTGATGAGTTGAAATGTTTCTTGACATGACTTGACTAGTTTGACTAGACATGTTAGATGAGCCTTGCCTTTGGTACAATATGGCAGAACTAACCTCTCCACATGAGTGGTGATTTTCAGGACCATTAGACTGCCCTATATGCTCAACAACGGAAGTTGATACAGAAGATGGATGCATGAATTGTGGTGGCAGGAATTGAGGTAAAGATGGACTAGAAAGGATTCCAAAGTTTTGGTGAGAACTTGGAGCATCTGAAACATCCTTGCTTCCTGGATTGAAGCTCATTGTACCATATATAGGAGCCATGAAACCTGCATTTGGAGGGCATGGCCCTATGATTGGCTTGTATACAAGACCTTCAGATGGGGACATGACAGGAACTAACCATTGGTTTCCTGGTGGTGGATAGACATAGCTTGGAGACTGTGTGGAATTTATATTTGGAGAGGCTATTGCAAAGTTTCCAAAATGATGACCATAATTTGATAGCTGATGTTCATGGCCTTTGCTTACATTGTTGACAAAAGGAATGGGAATCTTCCCAATTGCATTGTTCTTAGCATGCTCAATAGTGGAGGCCTTCTTAGACTTGTTGTCTAGTTTGACAACTGAGAATGGTTGTTCGCTCACAAATTCAGATTGTAATTTCTTTGGTGTGGATGTTTTTGGTGGTGGCTTGTTAGGTGTAACGTTACCTTCAAGTAGTATATGGGGTGACCCTGCAATTAGTCGTTGCACCTGCTTTTAAGAAATGATTTAGTTGCTTCTCATGCGAAATCTGAGTAAATAACATAATAGTCAACAATATCTGTGACAATTACCGTTATCAGTCTATGCAACTCAAACACTTGAATGATGAAGAGTCTCTGTTGACTGAATATAGCAATGTTAGTATCTGGTCCAAGTGGGAGCAAAAAACAAAAAACCTTTTTTAAAAAAAAAAGAGAGAATGGGTGAAATATCAGTACTTCAAGAAATAGTTACTCTATTGATGAATTGATATTGGGCATGATTGTTACAAGCCAATATACTCTATTTTTAGCTTTAAGGATAAGGCTACTTTAGTAAATATATGATTAGTTATGGTTTTTCAGGCTTTCCCTTAAGTTATTATTGTTACTTAGGCTTTTGTGTATTTTCAACGGAGGATGGTTAATTAATTAAGGACCTAAGATGTGTACTACTTGATCCCGAAGTTAGCGTAGTCCAGTGTAAGTGGTGCTTGGCTAGTTAGATAACAAAACTTAGTGAATGAAGGGACCATTTTCAAGGAATCCTTAGCCACAGCCCACAAAAAGGGTAGTGCATTTCTTTATCTTGGACATGATGTCTAGATCTTCTTTCTATTTCAATCTCATGAATCATCTACTATGATTTCATCACATTTTAAATTCACCTTCAAATAATCAGTCTGTTTGCCTGACGGGATAACTTCCCAATGTCACAAATCTTAAACCATCATTGTACAAAATTTCTCTAATTCCCATAAAAAGAAATCCCAAAACATCATTTAAGGTTTAAAATAGCATTGTTGAACCCATGTATATCTACAAATTGCTATAAAATTTTGCTGTATATATAAAGGTGAACAAAAAATAGAACGGATCACACTGAAAACTATGCACTAGAATTTCAGAAATTTATAGGGCTTATTGAAACGGTAACAAACTAAGCATGGTTCAGATGTAGACTTAAATAAGTAGTTCATCGAAAAGAGAGAAAGGCCAAATCATAAACACTTGTTGCTGGACAGAGAAACTTACTTGATGATAATCCTTCTAGCTTTCCAAAATTGCTTTTCACCTATAACTCCTACTACATTGTCTGGGGAAATATCCATACCCAACGTGCACTCTTCTTCATTCTCATCTTCCTTACCCTGGAAGCAGAACCTTCTACCAATTTCTAACTCACAAGAACTTTTGTGGACATCACTCACTGCTGGCTTCTCAATGTGATGGTCCCTTAAATTGATTTTGTTACCAAAAGTTGCATGCTCTTCATGTGTATGGACTCTGCTACCTTGCAGTGTTTTCAAGCTATCTATTGAAATACTTCTAATTTCTTCTTTCAAAGATCTATGCTCTTTATTAATTGATTTAGAAATTTTACCTTTGACCAATGAGATTAATGATGCATCTGTCATATCATCCAAACCATCTAATGGGTGAGGATGCCCTTCCTTCACTTTTGTGTGCTCACCTTGCAGCTGATTCTTCCTATATTTTGCTGCCTTCAGTTCTATGGCAGTTAATGAATTCGCTTTATTTATTGAACTTAGACTTCTATCTGAACATCTCAAATTACTGTGAGCAAGTTTGTCTTCATCTTTATCTTTTTGGATGATGCTACAGCGAGAATTTTTCTCAAGGGCAGAACCAGAAGTTAAGAAAGCATCCTCAACATCAAGTGTTTTTGGAGAATTCTTACTATTAATGGAATCATCTTGCTGAAACAAATTACATTTACCAGTAAGTAAATGACCATGAGCAAAAATTTAAATTTTGATAATTGTAGGTTTCATGGGTTATCGATCATGACTCACTGTCAATTTGGTTGAGTTAATCTTTCTGGAATTATAGGCTTGAATCTTCTCATCCCGAATAGAAGATGCATTGAAGGTGAATAATTGGATCCTTTGACTGCTATCGACCTGTAGTACAGTGCAATCATCACAATTAAAAATGGCTATGAAGGATGAACAGAAAATTTTCTATTTTCTTTTAGTGACAATGCTATGTAGCAGTTATAGCCGACTTCTAAGGGCATAAGATTATAAGGCTATTGTTGTTGACAATGTTATGTAGTAGTATCATGAATTCATGCAACTTAATGCCTTTATTCAACGTAATAGTTCCATCAAAAGTTAATAGTACTCTATATAGCTTATGAATCGGGTAAAGAGAGAAGAAAATAGAGTTCTGTTCCATCTATGAAAATAGTAAAAAAATAAGAGGATACAGGATATTATTAAAGGTAAAAATTTAAAGAAAGTTACTTGACTCACGTGGCTAGATGAAGTAGGAACTGTGCAGTTTCTGAGTGGGAGAGGAAACAAGGATGCTGATCCTGAGGCAAAACTTCTAGAAGGGATGCTAAGTTGTTCATAGAGTGCCATCTTATTCCTTGGGGGTGCTTTTGGCCCTCCTTTATCTGCATCTTTCACATGCAACCTAGGAAACATTGGGCTTAACTCTTTTCCCTCATCAATTCCTCCCCTCATCCTAGTCCTCCTTCTCTATACACTATCCACTCACAAAAGGTTCATATCTCTGCCAAATTTACCTAACATTATTCTCATTTCTTTCATAGAAAATTGCCAGTTGAACATGTGTTTTTCAGTAGAAAAAACCACTTCCGGAGTATCACAAACCCAAATCCTCACGACAGAAACAAGTTCTGATGGCACAATTTAGCCAAAAAAAGGTGGAAAACCCAACCCTGTCAAAATAAATCATTTAATTCTAGAGCTATTCATGGTGTAACACACAAAAAGATCAACCAGCTTCATAGAAACAGTTTTTCTGATTGTACATTATTAGCAAAAGGGAGGAAAACATGAGAAATGAGAGGAAAAAACAAAAATTCACAAGTTCCCGATCAAGTTCTCAAAAATTGAACAACTTTTTAGCTGAAAACCAAAGATAGTCAAACAACAAACCCAAGAATGAATTTACTTAAAAAAAATTCTTAAGAACCCAAATGAAAGTTAAGAGGTAAACAAGGACAACAAATAAAGGCTCATCACAGAACAGAAAACAACACTTAGAGAAAGAAAAAATATATATTAAAAAACAAGTTTGAAGGACGATAGATTGAATAGGAACACAAGGCCACCATGAAACCACGAGGCCACCATCAATTTTCGTTCTTTCTTTTAAAAAAAGTGATAGCAAACTAGCTAAAGGGTAATATGGGGTAGTAGTAAGGACCCCACAAACGTGAAATATCCAAATATCTAGAGAATTGAAAGTGTTGGCCTTTGAGTTGAGAGAGCAGCAACACCTGCATTGTGAGTGACCCTACCATGTTTTTGAATTGAAAAAGGAGAATGAGGGAAAGACTATAAGAGGAGGGAGAGTAACATGGCATATTCAATATTGATGATTGGAGATAGATGCAGTGACCGAGTCTCTCTTTTCTCATGCACTTTGTTTTGGCTTTGGCGAAGTGCAAGGCAAAACCAAAGGGTAAGGTGCGTGCATGTTTAATGCTTACCACATGTTACATTTGCCTAATCTTTCACGAAAAATCCGTTAAAAATCGTGTTTCCTCGTATTCTAGGTTTTAACACAACTGTCATCACTTCTATTCCTATATGCTATCTCCTACCGTGCATGCCACTCTCCAACCGGGTCACCCTTGTAACGTGCGTTTTCTCACAATCGCTTGTTCCTCGCGTGGGTGAAAAACTCGGTCTTCTCCAACATGACCTCCTTGAGGAAACGAAGACTGTGGTTGATTTTGTTTAAACTTTCTATTTTTTACTAACACGTGATTAATTTGGTTAAGATAATCAGCATGCAGTTTTAATAAATATTTGGTGTGAAACACGTGAGAATTTCTTTGCTTAGGTGGCAGATAGACACTTTGCGTTCATCTAGACCCTAAGTAAGCACTATGTAACCAAATGTATACCAATTTTGTTTTAATTTTTTTTATTATGTTTTTTCCCTACCAGCCTTTATAAAAGGCTGATAGGGATAATAATCAAAGGGCTGAATTTGTATCTTAGTCCATAGTAATCTTGCTTTATTAAATCTTGGCTCACGAAGGTGATGGAAAATGCGAACGCTGGATTAATAAATTCATTCTTCTTATGATAAAAAAAATAAGGACTAACCAAAAATTTTCAGAAAGAATTATACTTTTCTTAAGTTTTTTAAAGCCAATGCATGTTTTTGGTTTTTGGGGTAAAACAATGGATATGTTTGCAAAAATTTTATTTTTATTGTACGCAATACATATTTACCAACCTCTTTAATTTGAACTAAAGCAGATCACCACACTTCCTTTTTCTTTTATTCCTTTTTTATCTTTTTCAGTTCTAACTGTAAAAAAAAATAAAAAAATCATATGAAACCTTTTCAATTTCTTTTTTTCATTTTTTGGGTCGAAAGTTACTTTTTGCTTAAAAATTCATCAGAAATTGTATGGCCTGATGACTTGAATTACTAGACTAGAAGACGGGCTGAATCAGGTGATTTTGAAGGACACAGTAAAATTATAGGACCGAAGGATACAAGCCCAAAGGAAAATTTTAGGTCTGAGAAGCCCAAATGCTGCAGTCCATGCACTAGCTTGGGTGAACTTTTTGGTCCGAAATGATTTTTGTATTTGGGTTTTGTAATCCATACACAATAACCCTAGGCTGGTCTTTTTCTTTGGAGGCAGGCATTGCCATGGTCTAGTGCTATTGTCATCATGTTGATTTCAATGTAAAATTTAAAGTATACTTTTTATGGGAATTAAAAAGTTTTCAGTTGCGAATATTATTAACTCAAAATTAGTTTTTGAATAAAAAATAACGTTCTATTATATAACTAGTTTTTAATTTAATATTTTATAATTTTTTGTTATTAATAATGTATACTATATTATACATTTTCATCATGAATTGGACTCAACACCTTATTTTGCCAAGCCTTGGATTCTAAGATCCGATGTTTGGCTTAACTCCTTCGATTTTCTTGTAAATTATTAGTTAATTCTGGTAAAAAAAATTGCATTTATAGATGTTAGTGAGACTTTGGGCATGAAAATACTAGTTTTGAAATGTAAAAGAAAAGGGTATCATGTTGAGTTTGGCTGCTTTTACACTAGTTATATATAGTAATGATTTAGATCCCTTTTGAATATGCCAGCTTATATAGTTAAGATTGAAAACCTCTGTTGCTACACCCCCTTTTAGTTCTAATTCCTCCACTCTTGGTTTCGATCTTCTTATAGATATCCACCAAATCTTCCAATTAGTCATTATATTGAGATGACATGCAATTTACAGAAGATTCAAACAAACGTGCTAATCACACGCACAAAAAAAGAAAGAAAAAGATTCACATAAGAAGAATGCTAACAACACTAAATCTATAATGATTTTACTGAACTAATAAGGGTATAATTTGTGGAGCCCGTTTTATGCCCCCACCTTGTTATCTCTATAATGATTTTCAACATATTCATATTATTTTGAATAAAAAATATGAAAAAGAAAAAAGAAGGCACATTATAGATTGGTTGAATTGTACACCGACGTTGTAGGAAACGGGATGCTTCGTCCATTGTTTAAGATGTTATAAACAAATCAATCCATGTAATTGATAATGGTACCTCGATATAAGAGGAATCACAACTTGAATGTATTTTATATCCTAATAATAATAAAAAAAATACCATATGGGAGGTTGCATGAAGTGAGCATATGATTATGAATATATATAGCGTGCATGGCACGTGTATGCATCAGTTTGAGAAAAATGATGTACAAAATAATTGTAATGGTCATTAACAATTATCAATAATTTCCACAACTAGAAATTACACAAATAGGGAAAAAAAAAAGAGAGGATAAAGATAGATGATTGTGTGGACCCGTTGTGTGCACGTGGGAGTCAACATCATATCACCCTTGAGCATTGGCAATGGGCAAAGCTAGATTAGGAAATTCTAGGATAAAACCACCATTTCTATTAAAGGTAAGAGAAAATGATGGTTTATTCTAAGAGATAGTGATGATAGAGTGTCTTTTATTTGGTTGTAGACCTAAGGCCATTGAATGTGAGAACCTATTGTACATGCATGTGCAGGAATGAAAGCACACAATGCCATGAAAAAGAGGGGAATTGATCTTTCAATCATGCATGGTTGATGTAAATTCCATTTTGTCAACAATGGTGGTCACACCCCTTTTCCTATCTGATCCTTAGCCGACATCTTCATTCACACTTCTGTACCAATAGCTACCTTAGCAACGTTTAGCACATCTTGGAGGGATTCAATATAGATATGGAGGAGCTGGCAATGGGCACCACATTGTTCATTCAATGATGATATTTTCACACTTTTTAACAGGGTATAAATGTGTTGAAATCAAGTATAAGTAAATAGTCTCATGTTAGATTAAAATAATGTAATATTTATGTGTTTGTATGATTAAAATAAAATAAAAAGATGAACAAATAATTCATATGTATTATTCATTCAATGTACGGTAATTCTCAAGAGTTTGAGAATGATTCGAAACTGGGACATTTATGGAGGTTATGGGTTTACATGGATAAGTAAAAAAAGGTCTATGTCCAATGGTCCTTTTCTCCTTTGTTCTTCATCTTGTTCGGTTGTCTTTATCCCTTTTATTTTCCCAATTTTTTGTTCTTCGTTTTCTGCAAAGGTTTTATAGCAAATATATTTGCCTCGAGTTGGTCTAAAGTTAGAACTCTTACCTAAAGTTATCATTAATTTTACGTAATTTCATAAGTAAAACAACTTGCATATGTATAGACATAGTCTATCACGTCATAATATACGCCAAGTCAATTTATTTATTAATATTTATGTACAACTGAACTTTCCTTTTGAGTCAAGTCTTCAACAATTGGCTGGTTTGTGATTGGGTTTATCACTTTATCTTTATACAATATATATTCACCCAATCAACCCTTTTACTTTGAATTTCAGCCATTCAATAATTGAACTATATTTTCAACAAAAATGTTAATGCTAAAAATTTTGGCTGCAATTGTTGAAAAGAGAAAGTTGATATGAATTGATATTTTTTATTTATCTGTTTTTTTAATCTAGGAATCACTTATATTTATTTATATTTTGTTTTTTAAATAATTATCTTTCAGAGATATTTAAAAAGATATAGGAAAAAAATAATATAGATCAACATTACTCTTTTAATTAGACGTAGATTTTCGTCCTGACGTATGAGTAGTTACTTTGGTCGGAGTTCTAACTTTCTGTTGAATGAATAGCATTCAGAAAACTAATGACTTGGTAGCACAATTTTTGTGAAAATAGTATGGCATTTTTTTATATTCTTGCTTGTTAGATTAAAATAGAACTATTAATAAACAAAACATTTTTTATACTATAATTTTTTAATGTATGTCCAATGACACAAATTAAAAAATTTTTAAAAAATTTATATTAAAATTGCAGACATTTATTGTTTCAATACATAGCTTTTATAATAATTTAAATTTTTAATAAGATATATTTAATGCTTTATATAACACGTGTCCTTACACACACATTTAAAAAATCGTTTATGTTATAGAATTTTTATTTATTTTATTTTAATCTTTGATAGTCTGATACAATTCTTCATTTACTGTCCTCTTTAATGTATGTTATTTATTTGTAACAAAACCTTTCTTTATTATTCTATTCACTTTAATTATTATAATATTTTTGTTTAAGAAAATATTCGGTTTTAGAAAAATGAGGAGAGTTCAAAATTAATGACCTAAGAAACCTAAATTTATATATAATTACTTAAAAATATAGACAAATTTATTTTATATTTATTAACTAATTTAACAAATAATTTTACCAACCATTTTTAATTTAATAAGTAAACTTAATAGATTTTAATTAATTCATCATTTTTTTTTTGCAAAATATAACCTATACCAGTAAGTTACACATTAGTATTTTAGTAAATTCAAATTACAAATTATCAAAACGTTTCTTCTAAAATAAAATGTATATTAACGTACTTGAATGGTAATATATCATCACCCCTTTTGAATAAGTATTTAGTAAGTTATACTTTTGAAGGTATTATAACAAATTATATCTCATAATATATACATATTAACAAGTTGTTATATATAAGATATTGTAAAAGCTTTATTTTTTTTATCTGAAAAATATCTTAATCTGTCTGCCACATTAAACCCACGAATAGAATTTATAAACGATAGATATGTGATTCTCACATGATCTTAATTCTTGATCATATATCATATCTTAATACACATGTCAAATATAAAATAATCGATATGGTTGCTAAAGGGTTGATGACAACGAACCAATCACAAATTGGGTTATAACATATGCTTAATTATTAATAGTGAATCAGCATCCACGATTATCACATAAGACAAAATCCCTTAATAAATTTGTAACATTTGGAAAACTTCATAATTGTTAAAGCCGAAGTCTAACATTACATGACATGGATGAGATGGTCCCTTTTTTTATCTCATGCCACGTGAGCAAGACCATCTCATCAAGGGTTGCACCAATCCATGGTCTCCACGTGTGAATAGGAGCGTTCACTTCACGTGCGAGTCGTTTATGATTGAAGCTACCGAGCCGAGCCGAGCCGAGCCGACAAGACAAGAGAAGATGGCGTCAAGTTAAGCCGACAGCTCACGTCCTGTTTGGCAGAAAAATGCGGCATGATGTGAACAGAACATTGATTGAGATTTTGACATTCTGATCTCAGACAAACCACTAGGCCCAATTCCAGGGCCCACCCAAATGCCCGAATTCTATGCAGGTTCCCGATTCATCCATTTCTTGTTCATTTCTTACTTTATAAAATAATTAAAAAAATGATAAATTAGTTTATAATGAGATTAATATTAATTTAAAATAGTGCTTTCTGGGGTATGATTTTTACTTTGAGTAATATTCGCAATTCATTATCTAATACATAAAAATTATAAAAAAAATATTTATTTAGGAGTAAGGAAAAAAATAATTTTAAAATTTTTAATAAATTTTATTGAATAATTAAAAGTATATGTTAAAAGTAAGTTGTTAACGTTTACTTTTTATCCTTTTAATATATATAAACAAAGTTGAAGCTTTTCCCAACAATATATTTGACTGAAACTTCGGGAACATTATTGTACAAAAACCAAGAATATTGAAAATTGATAAGAAATTGTTTTCATTGTTGACATTAGAGAACGGGATTTTAATTTTGAAAAATAATCAATTAATAGAGTTAAGTTGAATAAAATGACTTTGTCTAGATGAAATAGTGTCTGCTTTTTTAACTGCAAATAAAAAAATTATATTATACTTGTAAATTTATTTACTCACATCACTTCGATATCAAAACGCACAATAGAGTTGAAGTTATATTAAAATCCCTTAAATCCTAATTAGAATAATCTAATATTTGTGGATAGTACATTTTTTTTCTACGTTGTTTAATGTGTGAATGCATTTATTTCTCTAATCATTGATATCTTCCCAAATAGATTATTGACCTTATTATAGTAACATTTTAAATGGTAAACTATGGATAAATCCATGATGCATTTCAAACTTGTTAAAAATAACATAAAGTAAACGTCACAAATAAATGATTGATATTTATAATTTTTGAAATTATATGCATGTAATATAATAAAAGATCACCGAACTCTGATACATACCTGTATAGTACTGTGGCGGATTTGTCCTATTCTCCAAAGTTTTGTTTGCTCTTTCAAACGAGTTCAGTGATGAAGAATTAGTAGTTTGACATTCGTAAAAACGACTTGAATATCAGAAAAACATGAGCAATGTTAAGCAAAATGCCATGGAAATCCACTCACTGAACTATATAACATGTAACAGTTAATAATGGGGTGCATGTGAAGGAGCAATAGGGTTAGGACTGATCAGAAATCAGCAGAACCCACCCTCAACATCTCTGGAAATCCTAATAAATCTAAGCAAAAGATAAAATTACAATGTGATGAGACACATTAGAATAGCCAACTTACTTTCTCTCTCATCTAATAATCTGACTGCTGCCAACATGTTCATGTCCTCTCTGGCTCTCTCCACTATCAGGTTAAAAGAACCAATCCTACAAAATATATTTTTGTAAGCCAGATCTTTTCTGATTGTGTATGTGGTTTTTTCTAATAATTTTTCAGGTGTTACACTTATAATACACTTCATATATTATTTAATTTGGCACCAAATTTTAGGAGTTACCATAGACTATAACATTATATTATATATTTTTTATATAGAGATATAATTCTCATATCCTTAGAATATAGTAATTTTTATATAGAAATATTTTTCTTCTGTATATATACACACACATACATATATATAGTACTGTAGTAGAAAGTGAAAACATAGTGGCTATGATTAAAACCATGATTAATAGAGAGCTTTTGTAAAGAGGGTATTTCTGTTAAAAGATGCTTCACTTACAGTGCAGTTTTCACTAAAAGAGGTCACAGCTTTCCGCACTTAAAAAGAATACAATAAAATATTTAATCAGTTTAAGATTTAAGATTCAAAATACCCTCTGAAGTCTCATGCTCCCCATCTGCAAAAATAGTCTTAACAGACCCACCTAGCTTATAAAAAAACACTATGCTGCTCTAAACTGTTAAATTAAAACCATATTATAATAGCCTCTCCTTTTCTATTTTTCTCGCATATTCATGTTCTAGTGCTCATTTATTATATAAATTTTCTGACGTAATTGCACAAGTACCAATATTTGTTTTATTATAAAACCATGTACCTTTTGTTCTTCCTACCTATACAAGGTTCTCCATAACACACACTGCATCAGTTCTGGTCTTCTATGGCAGCTGAAGGTACAACCTTAACCATATTATCTCACTTTCAATTCTCTTTCCAGTTTGTTAAATGTATCTGGACTATCCTTAAAACTGCATAAAAGTTCTCCTTCTTCTACTTGTATTCTTGTACTTTTCAGAACTCAAAATTCAGTTGCCCATTCTCACATAACCGTTGGTTGTTTACTTTCACTTCATCAGAGTTTTCACCATATTGAATTTGAAGAAGGAAGCTAACAACAGAATTGGGCAAAAAACCTGTGCTCAATCCTCTGTTTTGTTTCTGACATTGAAGATCCAAACAATTAAGGATTCTAATCCTGTTAATTATTGGGATATTTTTCTGGTTCTTGCAGCTGTTGGATCTACAAGTAGAACTGGTAAAGCCTTGAAGTAAATATTTATTTTTGTACTAGGATAAATATTTTTGGTCTGTTTATTTCATCTGATATATTATTTTTGTCTTCAACATGACAGGTAGCAAGGATCACTTTCTACTCCAAGTTTCATCAGAATTTACAATCATCCATGGATGGTTTAAGTTGGGATGCCTCAGAACTTGCAACAAACACACCAATTCTGTGGAGTACTCTTCAGCAACAAGACTTTGAAGGAGGCTACTCCATGCCCAACATAAGTTCAAGTGTTCTTAATCAACTACAAGAGATGCAAAAGGCTCCAACATGTCATGCATATGCAAATTCTGAACGAGTGATTTATCAGTCAGTTGATGCTACCACTTCAGAGATGATTGATGTGATGCCAAACACAAATATGTCACAGCATGCATCAACCATGGAAGGGAAATCAGGAGCTGGAGCCAGTTGGAGAGAGGCTTTAACATCTCAATCATGCCCATCTCTATCAGTCAATGGACCTCACAATATGAACCTGATTAGCAACTACATGCCAGATTTCAACATGGCCCACCACCACCACCACCACCACCAACAACAACAACAACAACAACAACTCATCAATGGTTCTAAAAATGGGAAAGGTGCTTTCTCTCCTGAGTCTTTTGATTGCTTGCTTTCAGATACAAACAGCAACACAGACACTTCTGTGAAAGATGATGGAATTTCAATGATTTTGTCTGACTGTGGAAACTTATGGAACTTCAGTTATGGCAGTGCAGCAACTTCCACTGGTGAATCTGAGAGTAATGCTTCCAATGGAAAAAACAAAGACATGCAGTGTCCAGTTAATGAACTTGATGAAACAGTTTCTCAAAGCTCTTCAGATCAACATGTCAATCAAGGAAAAGAAATAGAATCAAAGGTTATTTGTTCAAAGAGGAATAATGATCAAGCTGAAATGATCAAAGTTGGTGCCACTGCCAGTGATTCCTGCTTCAGTATTGCTAACAATTCTTCTATTGAAGGTGGTTTCAAGCTTATCTCAAATAATCCACCAAAATGCAAGAAACCCAGATGGGATAGGAGTTCTTGTTCATCAAATATCAATTTCCAGCAACCAAATTCATCCGTGTCTTGTTCCATTGAAGAGCCTGATCCAGAGGCCATAGCACAAATGAAGGAAATGATATATAGGGCTGCAGCATTTAGGCCTGTGAACTTGGGCTTGGAAGTGGTTGAAAAGCCTAAGAGGAAGAATGTGAGGATATCAACTGATCCACAAACAGTGGCTGCAAGGCAGAGAAGGGAGAGAATAAGTGAGAGGATTAGGGTTTTGCAGAAGCTTGTGCCTGGAGGAAGCAAAATGGACACTGCATCCATGCTTGATGAGGCTGCAAACTATCTCAAGTTTCTAAGGTCACAAGTTAAGGCATTAGAAAGTCTAGGAAACAAAGTTGATGCATTGAATTGTCCTCCTACTAGCATTGCTTTCTCTTTCAACCCTTCATTTCCCATGCAAACACCTCTTAGCCACATTCATCATTCCCAGGGTTGAAATGCTTGTTTCTGTCATGGGGTCAAATCAAATAACCAATGAATGACCTCTAATCATTTCATTACCAAACACAATGATTAACATATCTGATCTTCGTTTTCTAGCCAAAGCTGCAGGAAAATTCTAATTGTTGACATGTATCATTGTATTGTAATTCTCTTCAGTATAATCAATCATCAGTGACTTGTTTAAAATTACCATAATGATCATGTTCTCTCGTTTCTATCATAATTAATCTAGTGCACCACCATGCACGAGCAAATGTTGGTCTTTGTTTTTTATCTTCTTGGGTACAGCGTTGTTTATTTATAAAATAATGGGAAGCGAGTTTTGCCACTGCCATGAATCCTACCCATCACGAATATGATCATCGTTAGTGAAAATACATGTAGTTTAGAAAAAAATTATAGATATAATTCTTATATTACTTATTATAAAAATTAACTATTCTTGTTAATATGACAGTTTTACGATATTAGTATAGTTAAATTAAATTCTTTATTTATCATGCTAACACTTTCACTGCATTTTCTTTCATAGATTGATTAGTTAAAAAGAAGTAGTGAAAATAATGAAAGATGAATTTAATTAAATTAACTTTTAGCATGCAGAAAGGCATAGCAATTATAAGACATTACAGATGAGGCTAGAAAGTGATTGTGACTTGAAAGTTGAAGTTAGTTTTATATTAGGCGCATTTTTCTTGGAGACCCTTAAGAAAATTTAAAAATTAATGTGATTTGTTAGCTAACCAATGCAAGAGACATTCCCTTACGATTAGAGAGCATTAGTCAGTGGTCCTGTCTCCTTGATTCAACCCAACGCGTGCTCTTGAAAATCACTCCAAACACATTGCTCAGCACGTGCATATTCTTCTTTTTTGGCAGCACTGTTTGTCATAAGCAATACTATATATTTATAAACTCTGTCTTATTTAAACGTATCAAAAAATTTCACATATTAATGTAACTAATGATATTGTTAATGATGATGATTATGACAACGATGGCTACAACAAAACGTGATGGGGGTCTTGTGCTTTTTGTCTTCAAACATGGTTATTTAATTTGTTCTAATATCTTCATTAAGCACGTCTTTGTGCCACTGTTAATGTATGAGCATGTGGTATTTTCAGCTGAAATTTTGTCTCTTTTGTTTAAGAAACATTTCTACGTTTTGTTCATTTGTAAATTACCAACATTACCCCAACTCTTTAATTTTGTCTCGAGTCCTCTGTCGTTTTATTAAGTATTTTTCTCATCTAATCATTTTCAATTAATATAAATTTTTTAAATGTGATTTATATGCTAAAAACATTTAATTTAATCGGTTATTTTAAAATAAAAACATTATAAACGAAAATGAATTGGGTTTTGTTCTTGTAGTTCCAAGCTCTCAAAACTAAAAACAGCAAAGACAAGAGACTCACTGAACTCAACTTGTGTAGGGTTTTGAGGTGCGTGGGTCCTGCTCCTGATTTTTTCCAGTGATTGCTTGTTTTGTTCTTCAAATTGTAATTGGAAATTGGAATTGAAGGTTATGGGGGAAAGCATGGCCTTGATTGGATCAAAAGGGGATATAATACTTAGTTAAGTTCCTTCCTAAATTTAGAAATTCTGTTGTGAAATGGAATAGTGGATTTTTAGTTTGGTTTGTCTCTTTTATTTTTTATATATAAAAAGGAAATGTCAATAAATAATTCTCTTGAAAATGTTTTTGTGAGCTCATTCTTTTGTGATCTTTCACAAGTGGGAGAGTGAAGAAGATGTTGATTCTCCAACTTGGCCAACTATATTTGATATGATAAAAAAAAATATTGTGTAATTTTTAAAATTTTAATATTTTATTAATAAAAATAGAATGAAGATAATTAAAGTAAAAGAAAATTATCTAAAAATTACTAATAATACACTCTTAGTTATGACGAGTACACATGTTTATGGGCAGAGATTATCGCAAGAGTCATGTTTATGGTTAAAATAATTATAAATTAATAGATACTTTTAATATTAATATATTATTTTAAGTAATATTCTAAAAAAATTATAAAAATTCAATTAAAAATTTATCAATAATAATAATAATTTATAAGTGACTATAAAAAAAACTTATAAGCAATCTTCTTATATCGAACTTTATAAGTTTCTATTGGACCTTTATTCAATTAAAAACATCTTTTGAATAAAAATATACAATTAAAAAAAAAAACTACAACAATAAACTCTAGTCAGTTTTTTTTTATCTCTATCTTAACACTAATTTTCACTCATTTGACTGATTTGAAATCAGCCAACTTTTCGGGTTAAAAAAACCTTCTTCAATAAAATATAAACAACAAAATTAGATATAATCTACCACTAAATCTGACATTTAGTTTGTTAAAATGCATCTCAAGATCATACCCTGAAGATTTTGTGTATGGAGTCAATTTTGGTATTTCTATAACACTTACTTCCTTATAGTTGCCTTTTTTCATTTACTTTTTATTTTAAAAAATAATATATATATACAACCATACATATTAGGTATCTTAATTACTTTAAAAGTGAGTACATACTCTAAGAATATTGAAAACATTTCCGTCTTATGTTACAAATATTAAATTTAGAGTTATGTTATACATAGGAGAGATTTAGAAGAAAGTTTTTTTTTTTTTACAAATTACGTCTCTAAATTTTTTATCAGGTAAAAAATAAATAATCATAAAAAAAAAGTTGGACAGAAATCAAAGTGTATTCATTATATACAGTTTTAGTCACTTAAATTTATTACAATATATTATAAATATTGAATATGATGTTTTCCCATTCACATCGGTGCATTATATGTTAAACTAAGAGAAATAACATGCAATCAAAATAGGCTATCGTAGGTTTCTTGCTGAATTTAGACATTCTGTTGTGAAAGGGAACATTATTCTGCTTTTGATCTGTCTCCTTTTTTAATCTTTTTGTTTTTTTTATTTTTCTCCAATCAAAAAAGGATCTCCAAATGACCTATTGTATAAGCTGAGGTTGCAAATCTTCTCGCTAACTCAATTTTTTGTAAGCATTTGCAAGTGGCAAAGATTTGACTTAATTCAGACAGTTGTGCTAAGCTGTTCCTAGTTCATTGTCCTGTTCGGCTACATATATATATATATATATATCATTAATTTTTGTTTTTTTTATCATTTAGTGAAATTTGAGTTAGTAAATTATGTAAATTTTACTTATAATTTAATAAAAATCATGTAAGATTGATCACTTAATAATAGTGTGTTAAAGATATTGTTAATGGTTTGAGTTATTATTCATTATAGTATTATTCATCAAATTCACAAGTTTGTGCTAAAAAAGAGAGTTAAGGACTAATAAAAAACTAGAAGTAAAAATGTAATAGCATTAATCTAAAGCCTTAAAATAATATATCCGTAAAAATATGTCTTATTGTTTTCATACACTGACATACAAAGATTGAAAACCCCCAAATAAATATGAGAAAACAGATTAGCAATAAGAAAACGATTAAGAAAGAATGTATAATGTATTCTGCTCTCATTCTCTTGCGATGAGCAAATCCAATTTCTTAAGGCAAAAACTTTCTACGACAAATGTTGATTTCGTCTATATGAAATACATTTCACCTTTTAATTAATGAGTAAATTTCAAAATAGCAATACATAATAACATCAATTCTTCGTGGATAATGCACACTAAAAAGAACAGTTAACACTAAAAATTCGTCCACATGTAAAGTAAACTATTTTTTTCATATATGCCAATAAATACATTGACTACTGTATGAGTGTTCCTCAGTAAGCTGACACCAACTCATTGTAACATTAATAACATTCACAATGTATTGGCGGCAAGAAACTTCATGATTAATTTTATAACAAGGAATTAATATTAGGTTTGGTTACAAAAATGAAGATTATGGTGGACATTGACAGATTAGATTTCTCATTTTATCAACCATAATCCATTTCATGAAATGGATATGTTACATTAATATCCTTTGCATCATTTATGCTCATATTTATGTGAAAGTGAAAGAACATTATATGTAAATTTTTCAAGTTTCACAAATAGATATCCTCTTGAGCAGGTTCACTTCTAAAGAAAAAGAAGCAAACATATTAGCTTATACATATGATCATAGTACAGTTGCTTGGTTACAGAACATCAAAATAAAACAGAAGAACAAGTAGTCCACTGAATAAAAAACTGCCAAGAACTGGAGCATGAATAACTGCAATAAATTATTTTAGCAAATAGAAACCTACCACAGCATACAGGAACTATTTTAGCATCAGGAAGGGACTACACTACTACCTAGCTGGGGGACCAAATTCAGTTGTCAAATTCATAGTGACCAACTCAACTGAATCATTGTTTTCAGTGTCACAACTAGTATTTTTTCGAGCTAATTCTGTAGCCAAACACTCCTTCAGCTCGTTGACTACATCACTCATGCTTGGCCTTTTAGTAGGATTAATGGACACAGAAGCCATGCCTATTTCAACAACTCTCCAGACAGAACTAGTGTCAAAATCTTGTAATTTTGAGTCAACAATGTTTTTTATATCTCCATTAGAAAGCATGGAGCTAACCCACTGACTTATGTGAATCTTATCATTTGGTTTTGACGTTATAGCTGGTTTACCTGTGACTATCTCCAAAAGAACAACTCCAAAGCTATAAACATCACTTTTCTCTGTCAACCTGTTTGATATGCTGTAGCTGCAAGGTAGATCATACAGTTTAGTCCACTTCTCATAAATTTTTTTAATCATTAAATTTGGGGTTAACTCAATCTGAAAAGCTAGTAATGTGAGGATTGTTTTAACTTTTATAAGCTTTTAATACTAATGATTATTATTGATATTTATCTTAGGATCATGTAGAATGCTTTTCCAATTTAAATGATATAACCGTAAATTATATAAGTGAAGCACTTACTCAGGATCCAAATATCCGGGAGTGCCAGCAACAACAGTGGACAAATGTGTGCCCCCATCAGTGGGAAAGCATTTGGATAGGCCAAAATCAGATAATTTTGCTTGAAATTTTTCATTTAGTAAAATATTTGTACTTTTTACATCTCTGTGGATTATTGGTGGCTTACAACCGTTATGCAGATATTCCAGTCCTGATATCAAATTCTCAATATAAATAGATGGGAAGAATCAAAGGATTGAAGGAGAAATTCTTGTATTTATTTTTCTTTCTAACCTTGGGCTGCATCCAGTGCTATTTGGAGCCTGTCTTCCCATGACAAGAACTTTGCCCTTCTATTTTTTCCTATACAACTGAGTTTGTGTAAGCAACTTAATTAAATATTTATTCAATAAACTCTTATTACAAGAAGGTTTATGAAAATAAATTTTATCATGAAATTTATTAAAATAAGTTAAAAATAAATAATTTTGACAAGTTATACCAATTCCCAAGTAATTTATTAAAATTAGTAGTTTATAAGAGTCATAAGTTATTTTTATAAAATTCCTATAATTTCTTTCAAATGCCCTTTTAGTACTTTTGGAAGCTTTTGGAGTAAGTTGATTGAATGAAAAAGAATAAGCTGTGAGCGTACATACCGGAAAGAATTTCATCCAGGTTTCCATTTGCCATATATTCATAGATGAGTCCTATGTTGTTTTCCTCTTTGCAATATCCAACAAGAGAAGTTAAATTTCTATGATGAACTCTCATCAGAAGTTTAACCTGCAATTCAAAGGACACTTTTATGTCATGCCAACCAAAGATTTGGTTGAGTTCAGAGAGAAACTTTTGTGCAAGTAATGACAACTTGCCTCCGCTAGAAATTGTTCATATCCTCGTACTGAGGATGAAGAAAGCATCTTGACAGCTACTTGAGTGTCATCAATATATCCATGATAAACTTTTCCAAATCCACCTCTACCAAGAATTCTGTCAAAGTCGTTGGTGATCTTAACAAGATCATTGAACGTATACTGCCGTTGTTTGACTTCAAATTGTGATCCACTTGGCGTAATGTGATCCACATCAATGGTCACAGATGCTAATTTCATGGAAAAAGATTTTATGTTTACAGATTACAATGAAATCAGCAAGTGTGTGATTAACCAAAAAAGGATTGTAACGGGTAGTTTACAGCGGCTTTACCGTGTGGTTTTCTCTTTTTAAGGCCACAGATGATAGCTGCAACTACAATTACTAGGAGCACCAGAATCCCAGCAACTGTTGCTACCGGAATAACTATATTATGTTTCTTCTTCCCTTTATTATGATCATCTGTTTGTTGGTTGCATGAATCAGGTTCACATAGATTTGGATTTTGCCCCACGCTAGCATTATTAACACGAGAATAAGATCAAGGCAACAGTCATATTTTATTATCACAATTCACAAGAATATCCTTCGTTGATACTTCTTATTTTCAAGCTTCTTAGAAATAATTTTGCTAAAAAATGAAACCGTGAAGGAAATGGCAATATTTCTAGTATCAGTAGTATGAGTTTTAGTTCCATGCAGCATGCATATATGATCAGGACCAAAAAAATAACACTACAATATAATGGTATAATAAAGAAATGAAGTTACAATCATCTTCAACACTAAATGTCTTGTGAATTCATAGCCTTGAGTTTGAGGTGTACTAACCTCAATGACAGAGAACCCTCCTTTGATCTGTCAACGAGTCCACTTGGGACTAAACCTGTAAGATTGTTATTCCCCAAGTTTCTGCAAAATAGGACAAATATGACACCCTTTTCTCTTCTTATAACCATGGAAATTAAATTGCACCCATAACGGTTTAACTTACAAGACTTTTAGTGACTGCAGTTGTGTTAGAAAATCAGGTACTGGCCCGCTTAAGCTATTGTTTGATAAATCTCTGAAAGAAGAAATTCAGATCCTTGTTAACAGTTCTGAATCTTCAAGAGGATAAAAAAAGTAAAAATTGAATGTATTTGGTTCCATCTTTATTAACCAAATGAAATAAAGTACTCACAAGTATTGTAGCATAATGAGCTTGGAGATTGAAGATGCTATCTGCCCGGTTAGTCCACTAGAAGACAAATTCCTGGTTGCATTTCCAAATATAACATCAGTTGATGGTAGGAGTTCATGAATTTATGAATGGTTTATTTTATGAATAGAAAACTTACAAGGATGTGATTCTTGGGGAGTTATCACCATCAAAACTACAATTTAGACCTTCCCACATGTATGCCACAGGGGCACACGGATCTCCTTGCCAATTTCTAGCCACCCCATAAATGCTCTTAATGTTTGTGATAGCATCAACTAATATTTGGTTTTCAAAAAGAATCTCAACCCAATTCATACATGGTTTAAATCACAAATGACATTGAATGAAAAACATAAGTTCAGATCAACAACATACCATCATCTTGTTCAGTTTCTGATTGTGAGAAATCTGTAACTTTATAAATCTCAAAGGCATTGATGATGGGTGGAACGGTAGCAAGCAATGTCTTATATAACAAAAATTGATACCTTGAGAGTCCAGTCAAAGGTGTTGTAGTAAATACGCTATTTGCTACTTGGTATACAGGCATCACAGGTCCATACCAAAACTTGCCATTAAGGGAGATACTGAATGATCTAGTTTCATTCGGTCCCAACTTTTCAACCTCATTGAAGTGCATGTAGATGTAGTATTGGTCATTTACATTATCCGCATCCCAATTGAGCTCAAAGGAAAAACTAGCATTCAGTGGTGTTGCGGCAGTGCTCATGACAACTGCTGGTAGATTATAGACATTTTCAGCAAGATCACCAGAGCTAAGTGAGGTGCTTAATTGTGACCACCTTTTGGAAGCAACAGACATCCAGATTCGGTCATAAGCATCATATCCATACCTATACCACAATTTTTTTATGATTGATATATTAATTTACAAAATGAAATATGAAGTAGGCACGTAATATAAATGAGCTAATATGATTCAGTGCAAGTTTGGAAACATGTAAAAAAATAACTTAGATTCAACACAGAAGTTAATTGAAGTAAACGTAATCCATGCCTATTTAAACGTGAATCCAACCATGTTATCAGGGTGCATTTGAATTCATGTTTAACTGGTCATAGATTCAAGTTTACTTTGGCACTACTGATTATAAATTTTGTGTTGAATTCATATATACAGGTTTTCAATGTGTTTCCAAATACATCAATACAACAGACTCACCTGTACTCTAAGTTAGTGGTGGAACCTAAATCAAATCGTTGGAGGCATGCTAATGATGCAGGTGGTTTTGTGACATAAGAAGCATTGTTCAAAGTCCTTAATTCTATGGCTGAAATGAATGGAGTCCCAGTGCCTGTGTTAACTAGACACAGATGTATGTAATCTAGTGAAGGGGTGTGAATTATCTCATCGATTGTGCTGAGTGATGCATTAGAGAACTTCACTGTGTCCCATAAATTAGCCCCAAGATGAAGATCAAACTGTGGAACCTGATTTAGACCATCATAGTTTCCATAAAAGAAAGTAGCTCTGATTAAATATTTAGAACCCTTGGTTACATTTATTTTGTAACAGTTTCTCACTCCACTAGGAAAGCTCCTCACATTTCCTAGTTGCTGTTGATGATTACTCTTCTCTGCAGGTGGTACACTCTTACTTACACCAGTATCTATGAATTTAGCATCTGAAATGTAAAATATGCCCGTGCTCTTCTCAGTATAGCTTGAATTTGCAGGTAGCCCACAATCTATGCTTATGAATCCTGAGAGATAGAAACAAAGAGTTTTCTTTTAATACATGATATTAATGTAACTTTAAACAACTCTTCAAATTTTCATAACCAAACCTAGTTGATCCTGAGCTTGAATCAGAACCACAGCAATAAGGACCTCAAGCAATACTAAAGGAAAATGCAGTGACATTGGCATCATTGTTTGTTGTATCATATTTTGCTTAAGATGACAAATATGAGTTCCATATAATCATTTATACTGCTAAAGTCTCCTTCTGCAGTAATTTAGCCGGCAATATAGTTAGTTTGGTGGTTTAGGACTATTCTTAAGAGATACTGTCTCTACACAACCTTTCTTAGCCATAAATTAGCTTGTATATAAGCATTATTTAAAAGAATGTATCGTTAGGATGATACTCACGCTATGTTTATTGATTAGTGCATGTAATGAAGAGTCACATTTCTTTTTCAAACTAATTCTTAATTCTCATTCCCACTTCTTTTTATCTCTTTCTTTTTCAATTATATTTCTTATTATCTGCTTTTGTTTGCAACAGTAGTCTTTAACACAAGTATATAAATTTGGGTGCAATGCAAAAGGAATATAAAAAACTCTTTATTTAGTAATAAATACTACCTACAAATATGTTAAGTTGAAGTATTCGTAATAATTGAATAAATATTTGAATTTTTTTTTATAATAATTGAAACATTAGAGAATTGTTAGTCTAAACTATAAATATTATTTACTAAAAATAATCGTATTTAAGTTGAGTAAAATTACTGTCTATGATAAAGTTTTCCTTTCGAATATTTATCATAATTGTATTTATTAAAACTTAAATTCGAGATCAAAAGATAAGTCTTTAATAATTTACTTTCAATTATTCAATAAAACCTATAGAGAATTTAATTTATTTTAAAGTGTTTATTATTTAAAAAATAAAAAAAATTATATTTCATTATGTAAAATGAAAGAATGCTAATAAATTAAAAGATAATATAATAAATTATATTTTAAAGATTTAATGCTTATAAAATTAAAAAAATAAATGTAATATTTTCATAAACATTTAACAAGGAGAGCAAGGTAGTGGTAGGCACAATGCCTTCAAGACTCTGTATAGAATTAATAATTTTAGTGGGGTTATAGGTCAGGATATTACGCGGTGTACTCTGTGTGCGCCCTATTTAAGTCAAAGTCAACGAGAATTACAAGATTAGTATAATTGGATACTTGCCACGAAAAACAACACATGGGACCATCTTTCTCGATCTTTCCATTATTAATTAAAGAATTAAAAATAAAAAAAATACATTAAAAATTATAATAATTCTAATATATATTACTTCAATGAAAAAATATTTTAAACCTTGGATCAATACGTTTAAGGTTAAAATTTTGAAATATATATATATATGAACATTTTAAAGAGGAAGTGAGAGACATTAATAATAGTCATTAGTAAAAAAAAAAAAAAAAAGTGAAAAGTGAAATAACAGCATCAAATTTAAACTCTTTATTTTGATTCAAAGATCATTGTTAATATTTTTCATCTCTCCTAATAACAAGCTATTTTTACTTAAAATTAAAATTTTAATCATATACTTCAAAAATTAACTAGCGAAAAAAGCATGGTATTTAAATGCATCACATAAGTGAAAAAAATTACTTTTTTTTGTCAAATTGATTTTTCCAATTTCTTATTTTTAACGTAAAATTAGTTCTAGTTGTTTCGAGTAATTAATTAAGCTGCTATTAGTAAAAATATTTTTCTTTAACTTTTAGTAGTTATGTATATTTTTAAACTTTATTAAAGGTGTATTTTAAATATTAAATTATTTAATTTTGTAAGATCATTCATAAATGTTGAATTTTGTAAACTTCACATGGTAAATAGTGGCATGAGAAGTATGCATTAAAATAGTTTGAATAGTTGTTTTTTATTAGTTAACTTTTAGGAGTGATTTAGATTTAAGTTTCTTAATATTTATTCATCACTTTTTTTATCTTGAATTATTGTCTTTTATATATGTTTTTAAGTATGAAATTAGTTCTAGTTTAAAGTTTTTTTCTTTTCCTTATTTAAATTGCGTGCACTTTTTAATTACTGATCTTACACCAACCTATTTATCACTTGAATCATCAGTAGTATAAAGATCTACTTAGTGACAAATTTTCTTTTACAGTTTTAAGGTTTACTTTAACCATTACTTTTTTGACAATTTATTTTATTTACATATTTCAGGGTGAAATTACTTCTAGGTTAATTTTGAGGTAACAATATTATCACCAGCCACAAATTTTTTATTTTTTTTCGTGTTGAAAAACCTATAGATTAATTGCTGATCTACTTTTCAAAAACATACATATATAATTGTACGAAGTTCTTATAAAAATAAAAAAGATTGATGTATATATATTAAGGTTCTCAACAACGTTTTTATTTTATATTTTGAAAGTTTACTTTCATCGATATATATCATAAGCATGCAGTCTAGAAGATATAAATGGAGTGTGTTTATCATTGAAAAAATGTAAAAATTATTCCCAGCTCCCAAGAAATTCAAGCATTAGTACTCAAAAACAATAAAAAAAAAATGTTAGCTGCATGTGCCCAGTTGACTTTCAACAACATTTTTGAAAAAACAAATCAACTTTAAAATAAAGGAATGACGATACAACATAAAAATCCATTTACTAATATCAATGCTCTACTATAATTAATTTATAAAATTAGCTCATTAACTAAAAAAAAGTGATTTATTTCACAGTGGAATTAAGATTTTATTTGAATTTACATTGAATTAACGCAACATAATTTATCCCAATAAATTCAATAATAATTTATTTGTTGGCATAAATTATAATGTAAGTTTGACGATTTTGTTTCTTATTTTTTTTTTAGAATTGATTTTAGAATTTTTCAATAACAAACCAATCAAACTCTAAAATCTGTGAAAGGTTTATTAGTTATAATCACTTAGAATGTACTTAATTAATCATTTAAGCTAACTTATAATTTATTTGACTAATAAAAATATTAAGTTAACTTATGATTCCAGCTCTTTCGAAACTAACCACTTGTTTGTTTTTATTTTTATTTTTAATATTTAAAAATTTTATTTTAAAACAATTTTAAAAGACTATTTTTAAGAAGAAAATAAAAATAATACTTACATTAAAAAAATTGTTTTTAAAATCACTTATTGTCAGTAGCTTTTATTCATACAAGACCAATTCAAAGAAATAGCTTTTATTGTCAGTAGACAAAGTAGTTTGCAATTTCGTTGGCTGAATATATTGAACCACACTTTTTTTTCCCTGTTGAGAATGCAATCATATATTCCTCTATTTCAAATTGGTTATCGTTTAAAGTTATTTTTTTAAAGACTAAGAAAAGTAATAAATATCTTAATTTAGTAGAATAATTTTATGAAATTATCCTTGTTAATTGTTTATTTGTTTGCTGAAAATTCAACTCACAATATTTTAAATTAATATATTTATAATTTATTCAGGGTAAAATTAGAATAAAATAATCAATATTTCATTAAAATTCTAAAATATCGCTTAATATAAAAAAGATTGTTAAAATGACACTTAATTTTAAATAAAAAATTAAATTAATAATTAAATGAATGCCTCCAAATCAGACAAAAATGAACCGTGAATGGTGCTAATTAATTAATTTTGTCTTCCACTTTTGAACAGCGAGATCCTTAGCTTTGTCTATGATCTTTTTACTAAATTAAAAAAGCAGTTTCGCCATTATTTATATATTTTAAAATGAAAATCAAATGTGACATGATCTTTATCTATTATTTATTGCTATTATATATATGAATAAATAATTTACTGACAAATTAAATGAGATGATTTTTAATTAGTTGTCTTATTTTGTTGCCTACAAAATATTTTCCATTAGAAAACAAAAAAAGGCCAAGAATTTGCAAGTTATATGTTCTTTTACAAAAGACCTTTGGCTTTGCTTTTGCCATTCCAATAAAACTATAGGAAGTGAAGAAAACGTTGCTAGCTACTCCTCCAGTCAAAATTTTTCTTTGATTCTGTGGATGTTATATTCTTGCATGCATTATGGTTTACGCCCCAAAATAATTGCCCAAAATTTCAACTATTATTATCAATATATAGTAAGATGTAGAACATCAGTTTTTGCATTTTAATTTTCCCAGAATACCATTTGTGATCAGTGATATCACACTACAAGCAGTGACACATACACAGAAGAACCTAATACAATTGCTTAGAAAGATATCTCCAAGATGCATGTTTCAAACGATAACCATATGCATTCTTATTTTTTAAAATCTTATTGAGATGTTAGAGTACTACTACATAGTTTTAATTTCTAAGAGGAAATATGCTAGGAAAAAATGGAAAGCAAATTGTTCATTGAATTTTAACTAAGATTGAAATTAAAGAGTCCAGCTCTTTCTTAACCTATACAAAGACCAAAAGTCATACGTGTTTATAATAATAATTATAAACTTGTACTATTAATTTCCAAGTCAACGTCCACAATATCATCTTGAAATACACTCATCGATCCCTAGACCAATTCAAAGAACTTGTACTATTAATTTAACATTGTAAAAATAAGCAATTTCTTTGGATGCATGCAAGCCTCGTTGAACCAAAATTCCTTCATTCTGAGGATGCAATCAACTTAGTACACAAAATGAACCCACAACTGACGCCTAGAAGACCCCTATATATGTTTGTCTCTTTGTTGCTTAGAAAATGAAAGAAAAAGCCAAGAGTTAGCGACTACAGTGTTCTTCTTTTACTCAAGTCTTTTGGCTTTGCATGTGCCGTTTTTCCAACAAAACTATGTAAAATAATGAAGTAAAATGTCTCTATAGGAAACTAGGTTTGAACTACATTAATTCAAAGTTTCAAACTATGGGAAAAGATGGAGTGGGGGGTCTTTGAGTTTCATTGCATTTGAGTGGTCTAACGTTTTTTATGTACTACTTTTTTTTTTTATTTGTGTCATTTTTCTTTTGGCTACTTTGCTTTTGCTCCTAATGTATTGATTGTGGAAATTTATGTTTCTTCATATAAATCTATTAAAGTTGAAAAAAAAAAAATAGCTCCATTGACTTGCCAATCGGTTGAATAGATGCTTACAAACTATCGGAATTTTTTTAATCATTTTTCATAGTATTGTGGTGAAAGATTATACATGTGTGTGTGGATTGGTCATTTAATTGTTTTGATTCAAAACTTAAGTAAATGGAAAAATAAAGATAAAGATTATTTAATTTACCTTTATTTTCGGTCATCAAAGGAACTGTGAATGTGACATTGTACAACTAGCAATATTCTCTTTGATATTGATATATAATTTTATAAATAGAGATTTGTTATATGTTCTTTGAGAAAAAACCCCTTCATAAAATATTTTGACAAATACCCTAAACCCTAACGTTTTATATATAACTCGCAACTATGACCAAAAGAGATAGGTTTTCCAAACATTAATTATAGCCAATTTGTAAGATAATGCAATTTTTAAAAAATGATAATATTTTTAAATAAGAAAATCAAGTTTATACAAATAAGCATTGCAAATGAAGAATAGCTTGCTTTTGTCATAAATATTTTTTGAATGATACATAACATGGGAAAAAGTAATTACGGGGCATATACTTCTTTCTTTTCTCTTTAAATTGATTGACGACAAACTTATTCCAAAACCATTAAATATGTTTTTAATTATAAATTGAAAATTTAAAGTGATAATAAAAATAATATTGAAAATAAAAAAATATATAAATAGGAATATATCGTAATTAATGGAATGCTAGTCCTAAATTGAAGATGGGCTGAACCCCAAAAACAATGATGGACAAAATTTAGACCAAACAAAAATGGTGAAATCAAAGGTTGGTATTTATTATTTCACCATTTTTTTAGAAATTAAATTTGAAAAATAAATTTTTATAAATGATTAATATATCCAGAATTTTATTTTGAAATTTTTGAGTAGTATATATAGCATTCATGTCTCATTTCATTTAATTCAATGTTTTTTTTTTTGTCAACAATTTAATCTATTGTTGTATGTTTGACATGCAACGTAGCATTGGGCAGTAATCTTTTGGGCCTATGTTTGGGCCGCTTTAGGTACCATTTTGAGACCAAAAAAGAAGGAGATAGCGTTTTGTACTGTTTGATTAATTTTGATGGAATTACATTTTGCACCTCGTATTTTTCCTATTTTCTAAAATATCCTTATTTTGAACTTCATTGTTTACTGATGGTGGAGTTTGGATGGTGGTGTTGGTGGTGGCGGTGTGGCAATGAGTTCAACTTCGGCGATGGAAGAGGCATCTGTATGCCCCTTCGTGGAGCCTCTCTTGCGCTAGCGTGAGAGGTTGGTGGCAGTGGACACATTCTGGTCAGAGTCTTGCTCTTGCTTTCTTGGTCTTGTGTTCTTATTCTTCATCTTCGTCTTAGTCTTGCTCTTGTTCTTGTTTTGTAGATTTTGTTCTTGTGTTCTTGATCTTACTTTTATTTATGTTCATGTTCTTAATCTTGGTCTTGTTTTCTTGTTCTTGTTCTAGGAGTTGATCTTGTTCTTGGTTTGTTTTCTTGTTCTTGATCTTGTTTTTTCATGTTCTTGTTGGGGACTTTTTCTTGTTCTTGGTCTCATTTTCTTGTTCTTGCCTTCATTTATGTTCATATTCTTGATCTTGGTCTTACTTTCATTTGTGTTAATGTTCATGTTCTTGATTTTAGTCTTGTTTTCTTGTTCTTGTTCTTGGTTTTGTTTTCTTGATCTTGCTTTCATTTATGTTCATATTCTTTATCTTGGTTTTGTTTTCTTGTTCTTGTTCTAGGAGTTGATCTTGTTCTTGATCTTGGTCTTGGTCTTGGTCTTGCTTTTTCATGTTCTTGTTGTGGGACTTGTTCTTGTTCTTGCTTTCATTTGTGTTCTTGTTCTGGGAGTTGATCTTGTTCTTGCTCTTCTTGTTCTTGCTTTCATTTATGTTCATATTCTTGATCTTGGTTTTGTTTTCTTGTTCTTGATCTTGGTCTTGTTTTTGCTTTCATATGTTCATATTCTTGGAGTTGATCTTGTTCTTGGTCTTGTTTTCTTGTTCTGAGAGTTGTTCTTGTTCTTGGTCTCGTTTTCTTGGTCTTGTTCTTGGCTTTTCTCTTCTCTATTTCGGTATACTTAGTATTTGTCTGTATGTTTGGTGACTCTGTGTGCAATTTATCAAGATCAGTGCCTCTCCTGTTCCCTTTGTTGCAGTTAATTGGTCACAAAATATCAGAACAAAGACTAGTGCTCTGACTCAATAAATTGCAACAATCAATAATGCAAGAACAGAGCTACTCAATTGAATCATTGAAGCACTTACTCAGGATCCGGGTACCCGGGTGTTCCAACAACAAAGGTGAACAAATGCGTGCCCTCATCCGTGGGAAAGCTTTTGGATAGGCCAAAATCACCCATTTTTGCTTGGAACTTCTCATTTAATAAAAAATTTGTACTTTTCACATCTTTGTGGATTATAGGTGGCTTAAAAGTTTCAACCGTTACGCAGATATTCCAGTTCTGACATCAAATTTTAACATAAATAGATAGGAAAAATCAAGGGATAATAGATGGTAAAGTTTAGCTTCCTTGCAAATCTTGGGCTGCATCCAGTGCTGTTTGGAGTCTGCCTTCCCATGCCAAAAACGTTTATGTTGCTATTTTTTTCCTGCACAATCAAATCAAAATTTATTACCTTTTAGGTAATTTGATTGAATCTCATTGAATGTATATTGCCGTTCCTTGGATTCCAATTCTGACCCATTTGGAGTGTTAGGCTCCAGATCAAAATTCACAGATGCTAATTTTTAGGAAAAAGATTCTAGTTTGTTTTACAAGGTTGTAATGAATCACGACATGCCTAATAAACCACAGAAAAGGTAGTACTAGTTAGGAACAGATTTACTTTGTGTGGTTCTCTTTTTGAGGGTACATATTATAGCTGCTGCTGCTGCAATTTTTTGGATCACCAAAATCTCAGCAACTGATGCTACTACGGGAATATTCAACTGTATTAATTTTGTTCTTTGTTTGATGATGATCTATCTACTGGATGCATGAAGCAAATTCACACAGATTTGGATTTTCCCCCGTGTTAGCATCGTTCATACAAGAATAAAGTTAGAGTAATAATTGCATTTCACTATCACATTTTCATCCGGCTATCAATAACTTCAGTTGATACTTCTTACTTTTAAGTTTCTAAGAAAATAATTTTGCAGAGATAAGAAACAGTGAAGAAAGTGCAATATTTATAATGTGAATTAAATCCCTGCTGCATGCATATATGATCAGGGAAAAATAATAATAACACTATGATTGACAGTCTTCACGTATATAATGGTAAGATAAAAATATTAAGATAGAAATACAATAATTTTCAATACAAAATATAATTGTAACTATGATACATACCTCAATAATGGTGAACCTTTCTTCAAATCTGTCAACAAATCCACTGGGAACTGAACCTGTAAGATTGTTACACCCCCAAGTTTCTGCTAGAACAAGACGAATATGACACCCCTTTATCTTTTATAAGGAAAGAAATTATTTTAAAGCAGCAATATATTATTATAATTAATTCCCTTGTTACTTTTTTAAATTTCATGAACCCTAGCACACACTATTACATTCTTTTAAATTTCTTTATAATATAAAGTATCAAAATCATAAAATAAATCTGTTTATGTAGATTGAATTTTATCAATGATTAGAACTGAAGATTAATCCAGCTCTTTCCTAACCTAAGAAGACCCAGAAAAAGTCAGGGATGTATACAAATAAAATTTAAGTCACGGATATATAAGCTTTTCCAAGGCATTCTGTCATCTTGAGATACTAATCTATATAGCGAGACAAATTCAAAAAACTTATATTGTAATTAGTTGACTTTGCAAATTAACAAATTCATTATATGGATATTGAAGCACAATTTCTTTATTCTGAGAATGCATTCTTATTAAATTAATAATTTAGTAGACGACGGGAAGATAAATGCACTCATGATATATGAAATTTAGATCAATATGATCAGAATGCATTTGAAGATAAATATTAGTTCATTCGGGTAGATTAGCATCGAGTTTTAGCTAACTTTTGGTTATATACAGTAACCTTTTAATTATCTTCATTGAAAAGATAATAATTATAAGAATATGGAAAGTCATAGCGATAAGATTATCTTCAATGTTGCAGATGGGCTGACCACATACGAGCATGATGGACATAACATATAATATCAAAGAAAATGTTCTTAATACAAGTTATTTAAATAAATTTTATTTTAAAAATTTTATTTTTAAATATATTCAGTACACTTTCAAAAAATTAATTCAAAAAATAATTTATAAATCAATCCCAGCCCATTTAATTCAGGTCCCTGTTGTAGTTTGTTGTTGAAAATGAATACCAGAAAGTTTACATTATTTTTTGTAATCATTCGAAAAAATAAAATAAAATAAAATTGAAAGAAAATTTTCGGCCTCTCGTTGAGGATATTTTGTTGCGCATTTACAAAGCAACCCCTCATCTGTTTTAATTTGATTTGGTCGTTTCACAAACTCAAAGGACAACTTTGGTATGATGTCACATTCGTAAATCACAACACAACACTAAATTTATCCATTTTTTTTTATTCAACGATTAACTATATAAACTGAACTCCTACGTTGTCCTCAACTTACTTACCTTGGATTTTTTACTTTGTTGCTGAGTTCTTATGGTTTTGTTGTGAATTCTCAAAGCTTAAACACCAACTTGCATGGCCACTACTCTTTTGGGTCCATCTTTAACCATAATCACGTCCTACGCATTCAGGAATGAACCACTACTTGTCAGTACAAACACTCGTTCGCCACCATGGCTTTCTTGTACTCATCTTGGAAACTCTGCTAGAAACCATTTTCAGGTCAAATCCTCAAATGGGCTTCCACTAAATGCTGTTTCTTCTAGTGATGGTTTGTTCTTCATCTTCATTTTTGCATGATTTGCTTATATATATATATATATATATATATATAAAACTTTAATTAAGGATTGAAATGGTTGCTCATGTCATACCTTGTTACGTGATCTAGCAATCGTTCCTACCTATGGCCCTTCATTGTTGTTTTCAATTATAACTGTGGCAAATTGGTTGCAAGTGGAGGTAGGATTTGAGTGGCTCCTTAGTGTCCTTGTTATCCGAATTGTGAAATTTAATTTTATTGTAGAGAACATCTATTATCACTTCAAATGGTTGATGGTATTCACCTTGTCATAACCGCTGACTTGTTCAGGTCCTACTTCCTAGGGCTTACTTCTTATATCAGATTGAATGCACTATCTGGTCATACTTGTTTTGACAGGCTAACAAAAAACTTCATAATTGTTGAATTCCCTTGATTTGGTAATTCAATTTGTTATTCAGAAAACAAGTATGATTTTCTCACATTTTGAATAAGACGTCATACTATATTCGTTGTGTACAAGTTTCTTCGCTATCTGGGAAAATTTTTACCGCTTATCTCTTACCCTTGTGCTTCCTTGTTATATTATTGGTTTTCTCTTATTATTTTTAATTCTCAGACTCCAATTATGTTGCACACGCTAGGTATGTTAGTTGACTCTGTCAGTCCAAAAATCAAATCATATTGAAAGTTTCCACTAGAGTTGGATCTTGACTTCACATTAAGAGAAGATATGTTGCTATTTTCTTCTCTTTTTATTATTTTGATATTTCTCTAGTTAGGAATATCTATGTTCCTTGTAGTGGCATTTTGATTAAATCTTCAGGTTGAGGATTGAATCTATGAATTCTAATAATTACAATAATCATATTTCATTTCTTCTGTGAAATATATATTTTATTTGTCCGGTTGCCCTGAAACCACACCTTATGTTGCAGGCACATTTACTTTTCTGTTTGCTTCAAGCTTTTGTGTGACTGTTGAGTGTTGAATACTTGTGCATCTGTATTTCATTAAAGTTGTTTAGCTTAGCTAAATTCATATCCCATATATTCACATATCAAGTAGGTTTAGCTGGAAGTTCATTATCCAAAGAGGATACCAAGCCCCAACAACCTGAAGGATCATTTCCCTTCTCAGACTCAGAATGCACAGGACCCAACCTTAGTATAACTGTTGTTGGAGCTTCTGGAGACCTTGCTAAAAAGAAGATTTTTCCAGCACTCTTTGCTCTTTTTTATGAAGATTGGTTACCTGAGGTTTGACTTGTCATAGTATTTGTTTCGTTTGGCAGTTATGCTTAAAAGTTGGGAGATTGAGATAGATTATTTAAATGTTCTGGAACTTTATGTTTGAGTCTGTATGGTTGTAATCTTTATGCAGAATTTTCTTGTGTTTGGATTTGCTCGGACTAAAATGACCGATGAAGAATTAAGGAACATGATTAGCAGAACTTTAACATGCAGAATTGATAAGAGGTAAATGTTATTGCAGAAAAAATATTTGATACCATTTCATAATCAATCGTGGTTGAAGAGAAAAGAGTGAGTTCTTAAAAGTAAATGGGTAAATAATTAAGCGCTATGAACGGTTTCTTCACTATTCTTTTTTCTCGAGTCTATCACTACAACACATTTGTACGATTTATGTTTTATGGTGTTGTGCTTACATGATGTAAAACCTTACGTTATACTTTTCCCATATTGATATGAGTTTAAGCTTGCAGGGAAAATTGCGAAGATAAAATGGATCAGTTCTTAAAAAGATGCTTTTATCATTCTGGCCAATACAATTCTGAGGACCACTTTTCAGAATTGGATAGCAAGCTGAAAGAGAAAGAGGTATTATATTACCATCTTCTGCGTTTCCCTACAGTGCTGAGCCCTGTATCCACAGAAAATGAAAAAAATAAAATAGAATTGGCAGTCATTTTCCATCAGAAGCAAACACAATTAAAAAATGCAAGATAAATCATGTTATCTGATCTTGTATTCTATTTCTTTCTCAAATTTGACATAAATGTTTAAAAAACTGAAATACCCCTAAACATGAACCTCTTCCACTAGGCTGCGTCGCAGTTACTTTCTCAAAGTATTCCCTGGATGTTAAACTGGCTTCAGACAAGGAACTCCTGTTACTTCAGAACCTGAGTGCTGGGTTCTGGAGATCTTTCTTTAGAATAGGAAGCAAGATCCTTTTGAGCAAATGGTGATTTGAAAATGAAAAATGTAGTGCTACAAAATGGTTCTATTATCAGTCATAAAAATTTAAGGCATCTTATATTTCCCATAACTAAATCTATTGTTTCATACAAACAAAAATCAAATTCTTCATGGTAGGGTGGAAAACTATCAAACCGTTTGTTTTATTTGTCAATACCTCCAAACATTTTTGTGGATGCGGTGAGATGTGCTAGCCTCAAAGCTTCTTCAAAAGATGGCTGGACAAGGGTCATTGTTGAAAAGCCATTCGGTCGTGACTCGGAATCATCTAGTGAACTAACAAAATGTTTGAAGCAGTACCTCACTGAAGACCAAATATTCAGGTGCATTTGGTTCATTTTAAATTATTATTTTAACTAGCTAAAGTCAAAAGCTTGAACTCATTGGAAATTTTTTAGGATTGACCATTACTTGGGTAAGGAGCTTGTGGAGAATCTATCTGTGCTTCGCTTTTCAAATCTTGTTTTCGAGCCTCTGTGGTCCCGGAATTACATTCGCAATGTGCAGTTAATATTTTCTGAAGATTTTGGAACAGAAGGAAGAGGGGGGTGAGTACTGTCATGTCATATATGTTTTTTTTATGATATTCCATAGAATGATGATTCACACAACTAATCAAACTGTCTTTGTGCTTTTCTTTAGTTATTTTGATAACTACGGAATCCTTCGCGATATAATGCAAAATCATCTTCTGCAAATACTAGCATTGTTTGCAATGGAAACACCTGTCAGCTTGGATGCTGAAGACATCAGAAATGAAAAGGTACATCTATAGTGTCTATATCCATAGTAGACCTCACACTAGTAACATTTTATTACTGTTTCAATTCAGCCCTCCTAAATATTCTATAATCTTATTGAAAGATTTCAGCTAATATAATGATGTTCAGTGATTACTGAGAATGGTCTCAACTCAGGTGAAGGTTCTGAGATCAATGAGACCACTACAGCTTGAAAATGTTGTTGTTGGTCAATATAAGGGCCATAGCAAGGGTGGTAAATCATATCCTGGTTACACAGATGATCCAACTGTTCCCAATGGTAGCCTTACTCCAACATTTGCAGCAGCAGCTCTTTTTATTGACAATGCTAGATGGGATGGAGTTCCTTTTCTCATGAAAGCTGGCAAGGCTCTCCATACTAAACGGTGTGCAATATTTCTTCTTTCTTTAGGTAAATTATGTATTTGAATTTTCTGTGCATTCTTTGGGATTATTACAAAACAATCCAAAAAATGTGTCCAGTGCAGAAATTAGAGTACAGTTTAGACACGTCCCAGGTAATTTGTACAAGCGAAATTTTGGAACTGATCTGGACAAGGCTACAAATGAGCTTGTGCTTCGTGTACAACCTGACGAAGCTATATATTTGAAGATCAACAATAAAGTTCCTGGTCTAGGAATGAGATTAGACAGAAGTGATCTAAATTTGCTTTTCCGAGCAAGGTATAAGATCTTTTAGACATGTTCTGCATAGAGTTGACTGAATTATACTCAATCGTAAACTTTGTGGTTAAACATTACTGATTATTAATTTAAATTTAAAAGTGATAGTTAAAATGTTTATCTAGTTAATTCACATAAGCTCTTTTTTTTTTTTTCATGAAGGCATCCAAAAGATACAACCTGCAATGTGGAAGTTGTCTTTGACCCTTGTTATCATTTCATTTGTCTCTGTTTTGACTTTTCCTGCTTCATAATGATACTTGGACATAACTCTTGCTTGTGAAATATAGCTTAACAATCTTATAAAAATTCCGTTAGCTAAGAATGATCGTGCTGATATTGGAGGAGATACATACAAACATGGTTTGATTAGGGCAGTAATACGCAACTTTCAATTTCTGTGAAGGTATCCAAGAGAAATACCAGATGCATATGAGAGGTTACTCTTAGATGCTATTGAAGGCGAGCGAAGGCTGTTCATTAGAAGCGATGAGCTTGATGCAGCTTGGGCACTATTCACTCCTTTGCTAAAAGAAATTGAAAACAAGATTGCTCCAGAGCTCTACCCCTTTGGAAGCAGAGGACCAGTTGGAGCACATTACCTTGCTGCAAAGCACAATGTAAGATGGGGAGACCTTGGTAACGAAGACTCATAAGTTGCAGAGCTCTCTTATGATTAAGCATATTCATTCAGTTTCTTTTTCATCATTTTATACGATATTTATGTGCTTGTCTCACAATTGGTTGGAATAAGGAATTTTCATATAGAACGATAGCATACTTCAGTATGTACTATAGCCAGTGCTTTCAGCACTTTTAAGTTGGAGGTTGGCAAGTTGACTTAAAATTATAACTATTGCTTTGTACCAGTAATGAATTACAACTGAAGTCTGAAGCACTACTGGAGCAAATACTGCTCAATCTCAAAATATGTATCTTAATTTTTTGTTATTGATTTAATGGAACATTCTTTACAGTGAAATTTGTCAAGTTAGTGTGAAACAAAGATGGAACCAACAAGTTAAGAATGTAATGTACAGCTGCAGAAGTCATAGAAAACACAGGCAACAACCTGACAAATTCAGTTACTTGTCTCATTTTCTATATGGATGATGGCAACTTTTTCTTTGTCAAAACCTTCTGGCAATAGATGCCTCGCTTCCATCTCATCACACAGGGCCAACGCCAACCGATTTCTCCCGCATCTGCAAAGTCCACTACAGAGCTCATATAAGGTACTAGGAACAGGGGTTACCAATCTGTCCAACATGTCCCTCAAGACTTGCACAGCTCCATCAAAGTCTTCATTCGTGCAGAAGGAAGATATCAACATTTGGAAAGTATTCTCATTTGGATTACAACCACTCCGTATCATGCTTCTATAAATATGAAAGGCACGCTCCGAGTTGTTTCTCACACACTGCCCAGTAATAAGGGCAGAAAAGGTGGAGGCATTGGGGACCAAGTTCTCCTTATCAAGCTCTCTAACCAGCCCTGCAGCTTTCTTTGTCTTCCCGTCCTTACACAGACCCAAAATCAATGCATTATAAGTCAAAATATCAGCCTTAACCTCATTTCTCACCATCTCTTCATAAAGCCTATTACCCATTTCACTGTTTCCAACTTGACTATACCCATTTATCAAAGTATTGTAAGTCACAGTATTAGGAGCCACATTGGCAACCTTCATCTCAGTGAAAATCCCATTTGCTTCATGCAACTTCCTCTCCTTACAAAACCCATTAATAATAGTGTTAAAAGTAACCACATTTGGGTGCACCCCATTGTTCCCCATCGAAGACTTAACCTTCAGGGCCAAACCAAGCAAACCCTTGTTACAACAACCTGCAATCATCGTGTTGAAGGACACAACATTAGGACTCAAACCCATGTTCTTCATGCTCTCCAACACCTCAAGAGCCTTTTGCAGTTCCCCTAACTTGCAATAAGCACAAATAACCATGTTGAGAGTGTACACATTAGGCGAAATGCAAACACGACGCATTTCACGATAAAACGCCAATGCTATATCAGCTCTATGAAGCTGAAGCAATGAACTTAGAAATGCATTGCAAGATTCAACATTGGGGTAGAACCCATATTCCTTCATTCGAATGAAAGTGTCAGTGGCGTTTCTAAACTTGTTGGTGTGAGCAAAGGTCTTGAAAAGAGCGTCAAAAACAAAAGGGGAAGAGTTACAAAGACGGTATGAGTATAACAATGCTTCAAAGAGCTTAGAAGGAAGGTTCATAGTGGGTGAAGCAAGGATTTTTCTGAGGATGGTTTGGGTGGTTTTGAATTTGCGGTTTTTGGTGAGGATGTGAAGGAATATGGAGTGGGATTCGAGGGTGTGGGAAGAAGGGTTGTGTTTGAGAACCCAATTGAAGAATTTTAAGGAGAGAACGTTGTCGTTTTGGAGTTTGAGGAGAAGGTGTTTGACTCTGAATGGGGTGAGAGAGGGTGATAGAGGGTGGAGTTTGTCCCAGTGAGAGTGAATGACGTGGCTATGTGCAACGTTAACAAAATCTAGATCCTGTCCCATGGCTTGAGGAATCGTTCGATGAGGTATAGGTAGATAGGAGGATCTCACAAACATCCTCGTACTTGCGTTTTTGTTGTGTGGTTCGATCAAAGTCGAAAATCTAAGACGACATCCAATGTTTCTCATCGTTTACTGTTTAGCGTTCCCAGTGTGGGAACTCAGAGAAGAAGATTAAGTGAAAATATTGGGCCTTGGTTGGGCTGGCTGTTCATTTGACCCGGCCTAGATATAATTAATGCCCGTGTAATCATACATTGAGAAATATTGGTAAATTTTTTATTTTCAACACTCTTTTGAGGATTATTTAAATTTTATTAAAAAATATAAAATATGAATAAAATTATTACTTTACAAGTGAGAATCAATAAATTAAGAGCAAGATTCACATATATACTTTATAATTTTTAATAAATTTTAATCAATAATTAAAAATATTTTTAAAAAAATGTTAAAAAATTGTATTACTAATATGTATATCATCTTGCTTTTAAGGGAATGATGCAAGCCTCACATTTTGTCTATCCAAGTCTTTTTCTTTTATGATTTTAAGTTGCCAAAGCTTCAATGTGTTTAAATGACAACATAAAAGATAGATATTTTAACTTTTCAACATAAATTTATGAATGATAAGATTAAATTTTTTTATCTTCTTAAGTTTAAAAATTTTTACATTTAATTTAAGATTTTATTTAATTTAAATTTAATAAGTTATAATTTATTATTTTACTAGCTGTTAGATTTAAGATAAATAAAATATTTAAATTAAGTATAAAAATTTTAAATTTATACTAATTTAAATTTTTTTGATATATATATATATATATATATATATATTAAAAAAAATACTGGTATAACTAATTTTTTCATATTTTTGAATTGTCAATATATTTTAACAAATATTTTTTTAACATAAAGAGAAAATGACCCCTTCTAATTCTGTCCTTTTATTTTATTTTTTATTTTTTAAGTTGAAAGGGTGCATTTCATAAATAATCACATAAAATAAAATATATTAAAAAAGAGCGTTTACCTCTTTTATCAACTGTGTCCAAACAAGGCCTTACTTCCAGAGAGGTAAAACAGGGTTTGGGTTGGGAATGGCGACACCGGGGATGGAGGGAGGAGCGGCGCAACCTCCGGGAACGGACATGACCGGAATATGCTTCCGAGACCAATTGTGGCTTAACACCTTCCCTTTGGATCGCAACTTAGTCTTCGATTACTTCGCGTTATCGCCTTTCTACGATTGGACTTGCAACAACGAGCAACTGCGTATGCGTTCTGTTCACCCTCTCGATCTCTCTCAGCTCACGTAATCACTTCTTCTTCTTTACGATTCGTTGTTTCCTCTTTTCGTTTTCTAGGGTTTTAGTTTGACTGTTTTGGATAACGGTAGGAAAATGACGGGCACGGAGTACATGCTTAGTGAAGTTATGGAACCTCACCTCTTTGTTATTCGCAAGCAGAAGAGAGATAGCCCTGACAAAGTTACGCCTATGCTCGCTTATTACATATTGGATGGTTCCATTTACCAGGCTCCCCAGCTCTGCAATGTTTTTGCTGCTCGGATTGTGAGTTCGTTACCCTTTTTTTATTATGATTGTCTATATGTTAGTGATGTAGAATCAAGGACTATTGTGTTTTTATTAACAGAAATTTCAGAGATATTTCGGTATTTTTAGGGACTTTATATGTAATTATCACCTAACTAAGGATATCAATGCCTGATTGCAATTGTGATTCATCTATGGTTTTGTTGTTTTTGGGGTTATGAATACTCTTTTAATGATGTATGTTATTTAGAATTTTTGCGTTATTGATAATCTAGACATTTTTCAGGGGAAAACCCGTTTCAATCCTGAAATTTTAACTTGTTTTCTTTATGGAAGCTGGATTAGGTTCTAACTGTTTGAGGTATTAATGCGCACGATTTTGAATTTCAGGCAGCATTACGACAACAAATTTTATGATTGATGTTTATATATAAAGGCTTTACTCAATAAACCTTGTGCAGTTCAGTAGCTTGTTTTAGTCTATGCTTTTTATTATGGGAGAGAAGGTTTTGTTCAATACTGGTTGTGTCATTGATCTTGCAGGGAAGGGCCCTTTATTACATACAGAAGGCCTTTACTACAGCTGCCTCAAAGTTGGAGAAGATTGGATACGGTAAGTGGAGATAGTAGTTGTTGGTTTCTTTTGTTGGAATGATAAGACACCGTTGATGACAGTAATGTGCCAAAAACTGGACAGAGTTTGAAAAATGTGTTGTTATTAAAGTTTTTCAGCTATAGTAATTTGTTCTGATTAAGCGGAGCTGTTACAGTCTCTGTATCCTCCCTCCCTTGTAGCCTTTCAAAGTAGATAGCCAGATAGGCCAAATTTTTGTTTTTGAATTACTAGAAATCTTAGTGTGAGGTTTATCATGTACCATTTACCCCAGGTGTAATGTAAGTATGTGTTACTGTTCCATTGCATACTTTTGTGCACATTAACTAAATTGTGATTCTTCTAGCTGGGTCAGTTGATTCTGAAAATGAGACTGCACTGCCGGAATCAAAGACTGGTAAGGAGACAATTGACGTAAAGGAAGTTAAACGAGTGGATCATATTCTTGCATCCTTGCAACGCAAGGTAAGTTGAAAAAAACAAAGGTCTTTCCTGTGTTTAATTATTTAGCACGCTATTAGCAGTTACAAATAATTTCTATATCAAAGAAAGAGATATGGGAAAGGTTGAACTAAAACCATTGTCTTGAAGATCCATGAAATCAGTTGTGATATAATATAAAATGTTTATACACGTCATCTTCTCTATTATCTAAAAAACCTTAATTTATCTGTTGTGTAATTCTATATCGTTTTATCAAATCTTCCTTATTACTTGAAGCAGAAAGTATTAAATAAAAAAACTGAAGCAACGAGGCATTTAATATCTTAGGAAGCCCAAAAACATTACATTACTTCTTTTAATAATTAGTAGTATTATCTTCACAAATGAAGAATAGACGGGGGGATCATATTAATTGAGCCTTTTTCTCATGCTTTTCAGAGTCTAGAGAAAAGTGCAATCAATAGGGTTTTTCCAATCCTTCACAAAACAAAAATGTGAAATTCTTTTTTCCTTCCACTGCAATGAGGGTGGATCTAACCATAAGAAGAATAAAACTTTTGGCTGATAAATAACTCACTTAACACTTTCAGGAGGATCTAAAAAAAATTCCTTTCTCTTTGCTCTGTGTCGTCAATAATTTTATTTGGCTGGTGAAGTGCTCAAGAGATGGTGTTCTTTTTGCTCTGTATTCAAATTTGATCAAGTTGTTGTGAATTGGTTTATAAATGTTACGACTGAAAGCATTATTAGAATTTTATCACATTCTTTCATCCATTATTAAGCTCCCCGTCCTTCATTATTGGTGTGAAATGAGTATTAAAATGCTGCTGCAGTTACCACCAGCTCCTCCTCCGCCACCATTTCCAGAAGGGTATCTTCCACCTCCCACAGCAGAATCTGAGAAAGGTACTGAAACTCAGGAAGCGGCAGAATCGCAAGCTCCTCCTGTTGATCCCATAATTGATCAAGGACCAGCAAAAAGAATGAAATTTTGATGCAAAAGACATTCCGCAACAGCTGTCAATATTCAGGTACTAGAAAAGTTGACCGTTCCGTACATGCGACGCATGCCGAAACATGGTTAACTTCATGTTATTCTTTGGTCTAAAATGTGTGGCTCTATTTTTGAGTTCACCATGAATGTACATATTATCAGCTAGGTCCACTGGACGGTAGGATGACATTATTGTTTTCTCCATTCTAACAATGTATTGAGCGACCGTGTACGGGTAAACGAAACTAATCTCCTTCACATTGAACATTTCTTATTTATTCAACTTTGAGATGCGGGGACTTGGTTTCATCCTAGTTTTCCCTGAACACCTCGACAAATTGCATTCCTGTTCAATCGATTGAGATTATAATACATAAATTGAATTGTTTTAGATTATTGACTCTTGATGCTCTTAGCTAGCTGCGACATCTTGTCGTTTGAATTGCATAATCATGTACGCTTATCTGGACTCCAAAATTGAAAAGACGAAATTGAAGATTGGAATCCGGCAACAGTGACTGAAAATATTCCCTCTGATTTTTTGTCTAATAGTAAACAAATAATTAATTTATTATGTTATAATTTTATAGTATATTTTAAACATTTTCATATTTTGTTTATATGAGTAATATATGAGTGTCTTATTATAAATTTAACAATAAATAAAGGTACAGAAAGAATTTGACAATTAATAGTTTAAAACTTTTTTTTTTCAGAGTTTTTTTTATATATATAGAAGTGAAAGAAATATATTATTGAGGGAAAAGAAAGTTAATCTAAATGTATGTAATATCAAATTTGGCCTTGAGGCTTCAATCCAAATAAGCTCTTGTAGATGCGGTCGACATGCTAATGATTTTCTGATGAGGACCCTTAGTAAATAACAGCGCCCGTCTGGATGCTGGATACATGTATGTTGTAGAGGAAGGAGGGGAAGGATAAAATTTTCATTTTCAATAATATTATCAAATTTGATAATTATTTAAATAAAAAATTAAAACAATAGATTAATAGAAATTTAATCTGTTATTTCTAATTAATTTTTATAAATATTAAATAATTATCTTCATTTAAAAATAAACCATTTGTCAAACCTAATTCAGAAACATACCCTTAATTGTCTAACAACGATTTCCACGAGTTGTCATGTTGTTGGGTGTGGTGATATAGTAGTAGTCGCTGTTAACGATAGTTTTCTCCAGGTGACTTCATCATTGACAGATATTTTTTGGGTGTCTTAGGGTAAAATAAAGCACAAGTTTTGAAAGCGATTTGCGTACAGCTATATTCTATGGTGTATAGTCTATAAACAAGGTTTCAATATTATATTTTTTGTGGTGTACCTTTGATTGCATGAGCTATGGCCCTTTGGAGTGCAGGACAGATATTCACACCAAACTCTACAGAGCCTCACAGCTTGCTGAAAGTGACCACAGAAGGAATTTTTGCAACTTGTCCTTTCCCTCTTTCCCCCTTCTGTGCATGCAGTACTTCCTTAATTTGCTATATTCATCCCTACTTTAATGCCTAATATGCATAACGCACTATGATCAGGTGACCTTTGATAAGAAACGCACGTACTGTAGAGTTTCTTTTTTTAATCTCGTTGTGATAGTTTTGAAATATATAAAAATTCGAATAAAGTGATACAAAAATTATATACATCTTACTGTTTATTGTTTTAATTACTTCACATATGCCAAGTTGCACACTTAAGGGACATGCTATTGTTTTTATGTAAATGTTGAATTTTAAGCCAACGGATTATACTTGACTCGGTCAATTCTATCTTGATTGAAGGGAGAGTAGTGAGAATATTTTACAATCTGTTTATTTAGTTAAAAAATTAAATTAAAAGGGAAAAATGAAAAAAAAAACCTTACTTTATCTACTTTAGCCTCCTCCAAACTATTTTTTTATTTAAAAATATAATAATAAATTATTTCTTTTAACTCTTAAGAGTAAATATTTGTTTAATTTTTTTTTTCACAAAATTCTTCTCATTGTATTTCATTATTCAATTTAAAAAAAATGCATAAAAAGCTTATCACAAACCACTTCTTCGAAATCGGCAAAATTTCAATGAAACCACATATCAAGAATCAACAAAAATGTTGGTAAGAAACACCAACTTGTGATTAACTCAATATAATTAACTATGATGGTAAAAAAAAACGAAGGTAATAATAACCCTCATAACAAAACTTTTCACTGTAGAATATAAAGCTATTTTTCACCTGAAAATCATTTGAAACCCTCGATGAGTTGGGAACTTGACTAAGAAATTGAAACCCAAATCCATATGAGAGAGTGTTGTCGTTTATTATGATCTGATTAAAAAATTCATGTGGTCCTTATCCTCCTCCGTTTGCTTGATAACAGTGCAAAGTCCACAAGTTTGAAAAATCAGAACCCTATGAATTTTGTCATGGTGTTCACGAAATTATATGATCACATGACAATTACATTAATATACTCAACTTGTCTACCATATATCAAATCAAATTCATAAAACATCTTCTCGGGGCACATAAATTTGATATATTCCATTTTTTCCTCAACATACATATATATCTTCTGTGCATTGTTGCAATTGATATTATTATTTATCCTATCTTATTGTAATATTATATTATATAGTATTCGGAAAAGTTGATGTACAAAACAAGCACGTAAGAATATCCTCGGACGTGTAAGGCTTCAATGCATTCTATATTTCGTGTTGGATTTGAAGCATGACACGTGTCTGATTCTTGAGGTATCAAGAACGAACGGTGATTATAAAACTGGTGATGAAAAACTTGTGATTCATGAAACGCCTCATAAAAACAACACGTGTGGTACAACGTGACTCGATGCCACGTCACTGGGCCCCACTTTTTGGGAGATATTTATGTAATCCAACTCAAGCTGACTCAGTCATGAGTCTTATGACAATAAATTCCGACCAAGGTGGGACCCGCACAGATTATTTAAAAATGATTATATGGTTAATATTAACATTTTTTTATTTCTCACAACTTTACTACATGAATATAGTTTTATTTACTCTCATTAATTACAGATTAATTTTATAAAATAATCAAATTGTGTGGGGTGTTAAATGTATAGTATTATTGAAGATTCAGATTTGTGATAAGTTATATGCATAGTGATATATAATTTAAAAAATATAGCCATGTTATCATACATTATAAGTAAGATTTGATCTATATATTAAATTACTTGCACAAGAACATATGAGAAGTCACCAATCAATTAATCACAGTCTATCCGTGGGATTGTGATGTGCCTTTGAGATTGCCAACTTGGGTGGTACTTTCTTTCTCTATCCAATATTTATAAAAATGGCGGGTGGGTTTTTTCTTGGTGTAAAATGGTAGTTATTTATATTATAGGGAGGATTAAATGGTGCATAAACTTGTCTGTAGTGAAGATGGAAAGAAAGAAATAAGAAAGTGAGATTTTCAGGGAAGGACTTGTGAACTCCCAATTCTCAGGCAAGGACTCTCCGGCCAGTTATAAATACCAATCTCTCAACAGCCATGCCACCCCACCCCTTTCAACTCTTTTCTTCCCTATATTCTCTTTCACTTTCCTTCAACTCTCTCACTCAACATGACTATCCTCATTCAGCAACCTGATCACTTTGGTAATTGATTTTTGTAACCCTTCATTTCTTTAGCAAAATCTATTATTACTATGTTGAGAATCATAGGGAAAAATCTATATTTTGGTGCAATCTTTTCAATTACCCATCTAATGGAAAAATTAAGAAAGGAAAGAGGGTTAATATGGTTGTTTTTAGTGTAACTTTTAGTTTAAGATAAAATGGGTTTTTTTTTTTTTTTTCATTCTGTACCATTTTCTTGTGATAGTAATCGGTGAAAAATGTGTCCTTTTTTGACCCTAAAGAACACTTTGGATTCGGAAGTGTAAAGTGTCGACCAGATAGTGTGGTTTTTTTTTTTTTTTTTTCAGTTAATAGCTTTGGAAAATTGCAGGGGGCGATGTAGAGGCAAAGACTGCACCAATAAATGAGAGAGAACTGGTGTTGGATGGTGGATTTGTGATACCACAGACCAATTCATTTGGGCACATGTTTAGGTTCCCCTCTCCATAAACTATTCACTTTTTGTGGTACCACACACATACTGTATTATATACCCTTTTACGCCTTCAACTTAAAATTAAAGTGACTCATCCATTTTTCCTTATCCAAAATTAATACAAAAAAGACAAAGCCACTCGCCAATTTAAACCTTTTTAATGATTTTTCAACGTTAATTTGGGAGTTGATAATGATGATTAATGGATGTATCTTGGTGCCCACGAGGAGTGTTATGTGTTTTATAGCTGAACATAAGAAAAAATTTTCATATTAAAGTAAAAAACAAAATAGATATAAACTCTCTAATCCTTGAATTTCCCGTACTTCCTTTCCCTTTCACTTTCTTTTGAGATTTTAATCTTTTTTGTTTTATTTTCCTTTTGGGATGGAAAAAAGCTTTTTGATTATATCACAATTGATAATAGGAATTCATCCTTATCATCGATAAAATGACTGATTTTCCTTTGTTTTTCTGGGTCGAACAAAATCAGCGTTGCCAATAAGTGTTTTAATTGAGATTCGTCAACCATAGCATCAATATCATTGTTGAACTTTGGGATAGGCCAATCAAGTCCCTGCTCTGCTCTTCAGCTTTGTAATAAAACTAATATATATAATTCCGCAGAAAAAATAAAATATATAATATAATAAAAAGAAAGAAGTTTTGAAGTATTATGATTCAATTTTAGAATCATGCTATTCGAAAGTAATCTACCATGACTCGTCTTATGATCATTTTAATACACCTTAAAATTTTTATTGAAAGAAGTGACAAGAATTTTATTGTAGAAAAATAAGCCAAAATTATTTAACTTAGAATATTTACAAACTTCCCAAATTTAGAATCTTATAATTTTTAAAATTTGTAATTTTCTTCAAAATTGAGGTGAAATAAATCACAAATATATCTGTTAGTGAATGCCTCAAATTCATATCGGTAAAATTAGTTGTAAGCTATATATTGGTCTGATACTAATAAACTATATTTAGGATGAAAGAATCATATTTTGATTCTTAACTACTTTTTTTATTATAAGGAAACAAGTAAACTGAACGATTAGAGCTATTACCCTTTTTCCACAATTTTTGGAAAAAATAAAATGAACAAAATGCTACTTGTCATTTCACTTGCGTATTACTAAAATCGTGAAAATGAAAACTGATTAAATCTTCTAGTTCTCTATGTTCATACGTTAACACACTACTAAAATTATCTTAAGAGTGACAAGCTACTGCATAACAGGGATTACGGTGCTGAAAGTGAAAGGCAAGAAGGAGTGGAGAAATTCTACAGAAAAAATCACATTTACCAATCAGTTGATTTTGTAAGCATCCACCAGAAAATTTGCATTTATTATTATTTCTATCTCAACTTATGTTTCTTCAAGATAAATGAGCACAAAACATTTGCACAAATTGGGCTAGCATATTTTTAAAATTATAAAGATGTGAAACATGGTATTAATATGAAGAATATATATTGTACAGGTGAAGAAAATGAGGGAGGAGTATGGAAAATTGAATAAGGTAGAGATGAGCATATGGGAATGTTGTGAACGCCTTAATGAAGTGGTGGATGAGAGTGATCCTGACTTGGATGAACCTCAAATTGAGCACTTGCTCCAAACAGCTGAAGCTATAAGGAGGGACTACCCAAATGAAGATTGGCTCCAGTTAACTGGCCTTATCCATGGTACAGTTTTTGCATTATAATGACCCTTTTACACTGCTCCTTATTATTTCATTGCTTTGAAGATCACTTTGCTGTGATATATTTTTTGTATTTTTGGTTTAATATGGACTACTGGAAATGAAAGATGGAAATTTAATTGTAAACCTTCACTTCTTATACCACAATGACCAATTTGGTTTCAATGCAGATCTTGGGAAGGTGCTTTTGCTTCCTAGTTTTGGAGAACTTCCTCAATGGGCAGTTGTAGGTAAGTGACTAAGTGTGGTGTTTATATACAATCAAATAATTATAAATCTTGCTACTTTTTATACCTGCTAATCCTCTTAAATACTAAATAGAAAAATTATTAAACATTTTTCATATTTTTAAGACAATAAATGCATTTTTTATGTATTTATTACTTAACAAAATAATAGAATGGTTATTAGAAAAATTTGTAGGAAAATGTAGAAAAGCCTAATTAATCTTTAACATTTACTGTGCTCCTACAGGGGACATATTCCCAGTTGGTTGCAGATTTGATGAATCCATTGTTCATCACAAGGTATCAAGTCATTTTATTGTTGGGTGGAAAACAAACAATATGTTGAAATGAAACCTCACATATGTTCCATTCTCATTTCAGTATTTTAAGGAAAATCCAGACTACAACAATCCACATTACAACACTAAATATGGAATTTACTCAGAGAAATGTGGACTTAACAACGTGATGATGTCATGGGGACACGATGACTATATGTATCTAGTAAGCTCTTGGAAAGTCCTAGTAAAATATGTTTTATTTATGTTGGATATTTGATGCTATTATTTCATTCATTGTAAAGGACAAGTCTAAAATTTTGGTGATGTCTTCAGGTGGCAAAGGAGAACAAAACTACACTGCCCTCAGCTGCTTTATTCATTATTAGATACCACTCATTCTATGGTAAGCTCAACCTAGAATCCAAAGTTCACTACTCTTGAGTTCATACCAATAAAATTTGATGTGCTCATTTGTCTTGCAGCATTACATAGGGAAGGAGCCTATAAGCACTTGATGAATGATGAGGATGTTGAAAATCTGAAATGGCTACATATATTCAAGTAACAACATTATACGAATTTTTTCAAAATAAAGTATATTGGTAAATGATGGCTGGCTAATAAGTCTGCAATTTTTTCTTTCTTTCTTCTGTAGTAAGTATGACCTTTATAGCAAGAGCAAAGTTCGAATTGATGTTGAAAAGGTTAAACCATACTATCTCTACCTCATTGAAAAGGTCAGCACTACTCTGAAACTTTCATTTCCTTTGCTTCCAATTGAAAATGAAAAAAAATGAAAAAAAGAAGAAGTTTTTTTAGTCACCACATTAGTATATACAACTTGTTGGGTGCTAGGAGCCCAAAAACAAGGGAACTAAGCCAATGAGCCAAGGTAAAGGTAGTAGATCACAACAATGAATATGATGCCACATTTTTACCAAAACCTTAAGGAATAAGATATATGAGTGTGATCTTTTATATATCTTTATCTAGTTTATTCTTAACTAGTGTAGAACATAAGTTCACAGTTGAATTTGCAACACTAAATTTGTACTGACGTGTCTTTCTCTGGTGCAGTACTTCCCTGCAAAGCTGAAGTGGTGAAAGTGTTGGAGCCTTGAAATGCCAATAATTTAGAATGTAGGCACCTAGTTGGAGTAGAGGGAATAAGATATAAAGCTTCAGTTGCATTAATTTATATGCTTTGATGGTAAAATATTCTTGTATGAAATAATATTAGAAGTGAAAGCCCTATGTGAATTTTTCCCCCCCTTCTTTGTGGAATTAATCTCTTGAACTAAGGATAAGGTGATAAACGAATATTTAAGCAAAACCTATTCAAAGTATCAAATTCAAGATTTAAACTCCTAAAATTGCATATTTGTCATGAATTGGTCCAAGGCCCCCTCCCTGCCTACAATATATCGAGTTAGTGAATAAAATTCTGTTTAGTAAGAATGTATAAAAAGAAAATAAGATAAATTATAAGACAAAATAAATAAGCATTTTTAGCATAAATTAAAATCAATTTAGAGATCTTCAATTTTTTAAAAGCTCTATATCTTAGTTCTTTCAAAATACTTTAAAACTTCTTAAAAACCTGAATATCAAAATATTACAATTAAAACCTTCATAAATTTAAAACAGACTCAAGCAGAACCTCGAAATTGATATGGAATCCAATTGGTGATGTCGTGGGCCTCGTGGCCCTGCCCCTGTCTGCACCCAAAGGCCTTTTTTTCTGCCTTCCTGTTTGTTAGAGCTGGACAAAACAATATAATTTTATAAATTCAATTCATAAATAATGTTAAACTAGTTTTAAAAATTTATATTTATATTAAATTAATTCTTTAATTAAATATATTTATGTAAATAATTTAATAATCTAAATTAACTTTTTAAAATTAGTTTTTTTAATTTATTCAAATTAATAAGTATAGAGGTATTAATTTATGTTTTTATTTATTAAATATTTATGTTATATTAGTTCATAAAATTTTATTCTGACTATATTTTATAACTAATATTTTTTTACTAATTTTAATTTTTATAATTAAAATTAAATATTTAAAATAATATTTTTAAAATATAATTATTATATTCAAAATTCTAAAATACAACAAATATTTTTAAATTAATTACTATTATTATATTTATATTTATATTTATTTTTTAATTTATAAAATGTTGTAATAATAATTTTATTATTATTTATACTATTAATTTTTATTTTTATAGATTTTAATTTAAACTTTCATCGTTATTAAAAATAAATTATAAATAATAATAAATATTTTATAAACTTTTATAAAATATAATATAATTAAAAAATATTATTAAATTTTTTTAAAACAAACTAATTTAATGTAATTATATGTATAAAAAATTAGTTTTACTTTAAAAAATAAATTTATAAATATATTAAAAATCAATTTTATCTTAAAAATTAAATTTAAAAATAAGTTAACTTAATTTTTTTAATAAAAACTAATTTTAAAACTAATTTTAAACTAAATTTAAATTTTAAAACTACTTTTAAATTAATTAAAAAATAAAATAAAATAGTTTAAAATTCAATCTGTGTAATTAATTTTTGTGGTGGATAAATAATAAAAAGTAGAATATATATATATATATATAAATATTTATTAGTTTAATACAATATAAACATAAGAAAAATTGTATTATTAATAGATTAAAATATATAAATATAATTTTATATTAGTTATTATAAAATTTAAATATTTTTAATATAATAATTTAATAATAATATTAAAAATATTTATAGTATATTTTTTAGATTTAAAATTATTTTAAACTAAATCTAAATTTTAAAATCAAATTTAAATTAATTTTAAAAAAATTAAAATAGATTAGTTTAAAATTCAATCCATATATTTAAATTTTAAATTTAGATTGATTTTTAGAAATCCAATTCATGCACACCTCTTATACTTCTTTATATATATATATATATTCAAAATAATCTTTTAAAAAAGTATTTAATTAAATTAACATTGAATAATATTTTAATAATTTAAACTTTAATTTATCTTAAAAAGGATATTTTAAATTAAATTTAAATGTAGAAATAATATTTAAAACATAGAAATTTATAAAAAGTGTTTATTATAAATAAAAACACGTAATATAGCAAAAGTTTAAAGAACTTTTTAAACAAAAAAATGAGTAATATATAAAATTTGCTTACAAGTGGCTCCTATGGAGTGAGGTTGACCGTTGACCCCTCCGTCTACGCACAAGTATACATCACTGAGCTTTCCCCGAGCTTCACGCTCAAGTCTGCACCACACATTATCAATTATGGATTTTTCTGCCTTAGCAGATAAACTGCTCCTCATGGATTTAATAATTTTGATAATGGGAATGTTTTCAGGGTGTGGTCGGATTAAATTGTTTCTATAGATTATTATCCATTTTGTGCAAAAAGATTGTTTATGATTCTGTTCTCTCTTGTTTGGGTAATATTACTTTAATTCTGAAGTGAACATGTGTGTATATATATATATAACAAAAGCCACAAAAATATGTGAAATAAAAAAAAAATAATATACAATATCATATGGAATATCAAATTTTGATTGTAATAAAACTAGTAAAGCAAACTGAAACTCTAATTACTTTTGAAACCCACGCATCAATTTTTTTTTTCTCTAAATTTTTGTAGTACAGAAGATTATCACACTCGCCCTCAGGACACGCAAATGAAGTTTGCAACACGCACAGTAGTCAAGAAACGAATCTCTTGACCCAGTCGATGATATGACAATAAGAACTAGCTGTTCAAAAGCACACTGTTATATACATATATATAAGCCTAACAACATATCTCACAAAGTGTGATAGCTGATACTTTGCTTTGAATAAAGTTTTTGGTGAGTTCATGTTCGTCATTCTTCTCGTTGCATAAGCTCGTCTGCATTGCATAAAGCATGGAAATAGGACCACAATGGATTGTCTCCTCAAAGTTGAACACATGGCTATGGTTTGTCTTGGTTCCAATTTTCATTACTCACGCCAGCTCAAGACTAGACAAACCTGTTGGAAGAGAAATTACCAACGATAACCATCCAGGTATCTACTACTAATTAAGTACTAATTTGGCTCAAATTTTAAGAGCATTTGAGTACATTGATGTACAATGTCTCGAGTATATCCATGCAAAATGCTGAGTTTTATTGCTAATTTGTTTAGTTTTCTATTTCACGTATCCAAATTATGTATCTAGTTGACTTTTTTCGTTAACTTGTTAAATCTATTTTATGAAGTTTTGTTCAAAAATTAGAGTTGAAATGATATCTAAAATTGAAGATAAAAATGAATTAATTGAGTCGTAGAAAGGTCCATAGCTTGACCCATATTATATCTAAATTAAGTCATGTTTATTTACTAAAAGCATTAAGTTAATTTTTTTTGGACAAAAAATATCTTATTAGTATTTTTATAAATAAGTCAGTCTTTTTATTTAAAAAAATCGAGTTTAGGTTATTCACGAAAACATTTAAGTTCAACAAATCCACATGTCATTGTTTAGAAACATCATGTGAAAAAATGTGTTGAAGCTTTTAATAGGCTATTATATTTAAATTGCTAATCATTATTAACGATCAAAATAGTTAATATATTTCTTTTATATATATATATATATAATTTACCTTGGTATTGTTACACTGTTATTTTATTTACAGTATAAATAGAAATTCAACTAACGGTTTGAAAAGGATAGTTTAGATATTGTTATTTCAATTCTTATTACAGCAATCATTAAAGAATTCTATTTTTTTAAGTGTGAGATGAGTGTGGGAAACAGAGATTGGAAAGAGAAAAAAAAATGTAATAGCAGAAGAGTTATTCTATTTTGATGCTTCTTAATTCATCACTCTCTTAAATTTATAATAAAAAATTAAATTGTAATGGTTATATTATATTAATCAACAAACACTGAAAATAAAATAAGATGCACTATTAATCAACATGGTATATGAGAAATACCATTCTTTAAGACATGTTTTATCACTATTCCACTATCAAGTTTGCTAAAATGCCAACTTCTTTTCATCAATTCAAGCTTTGTTATTATTTTTTTAAGTCATGGTTGAGGTTAGTTAACTCATTTGATATTCAAGTGACTATGAAAACACTTTATTTAGAACTTGTCAACAAGTCATCTTTCTATTTATATAAATACTTTCTCTGGTCTTATTTATAATATTAACATTTTTTAAAATTATTAAAAATAAAGATTCATTTTCAGATATATAATTTGTTAAATTCTTTGTATAAAATTAATTTTTATTTATCATGATGAATTAGTTATTTTTAAAAAAAAGACAAAATATTATTATTTAATAATATTAAATAGTATATTTTTAAATATTCTTTATTTTTATTTTGTTAATCATTACTCATAGCAAAACTATATAAAATTAATTTACTTACACAAACCATATAAGTCTTTATTATTATAGTGATGATTTAGATGTGCAGATCTATTAATTTTATCTGAACTTGTGCAAATAACATTTTTCCAACGTAGCTCTTCTACTTTCACATTCATATAATCTGACATACATATTTTATAGATTTCATAAGCATAGATTGTGGATCACTCATAGATTACTTGGATCCGGAAACTGGAATTCGGTATCAGACAGACGAAGATTTTGTGGAAACAGGATCGAATCATAAGGTTTCATCAAGTGTGGACCTGAGCTATCCCTACTTTGGGAAACAATTGAATACACTGAGAAGCTTTCCAGAGGGAGACAGAAACTGCTACACCCTAAAACCTAAACAGGGCAAAAATAATAACTATTTAATCAGAGCTTTCTTTTCATACGGAAATTATGACTCCAAAAATGAAACCTCATCTTTCGACTTGTACATTGGGGTCAATTACTGGTACACAATAAATATAGATCTGGACAACGGTTACACCTTTGTTGAGGTTATTCACACTCCCTCATGTGACACTATACAATTGTGTCTTGTAAAGACTGGACCAACAATACCTTACATTTCTTCATTGGAATTACGCCCTTTGAACAATTCCATTTATCAGACAATGTCAAGTACTACTTCACAACCGCTACTGCATAAGCAGTTAAGGATCGATGTTGGCTTCCGTGGATTCCCTACCCACTCCAGGTAATATCATCAACCCCTTACCATGATGAGTTAATGGACGTGAGTTTTTCTCTCATTGCTGCTACTGTAACAAAAATTAATAAATTGTTACTGAGACATAAAAATAATCTCTTGCATTAAATTTAGACATGATATTGGTACAGCTGACAGACTATTCGGACTTCTAAAATGACTACCTTACGTCGATCATGTGAGACAATCATTATTATCATTGTTATTAGCAAATAGTGGGCTTATTTGGGTTAGTTCGCACTTGACTTAGTTTTTATTTGAGTTGGGTTAAAAACAATTCAAATTTCTTTGGGTCATTTCTTAAATTTAATTATTTAAGTCGTACCCTTTAATGAGTATATTTGGGCCGACTCATTATATTTAATTACCTTTCCAATTCACGATTGTGGTCAGCACAACGCTCGTAAACAAAATAATTTCACCATACACTCGATTTGGGGTATATGAAGTAAAAAGAAAAGAGAGAGAGAGAGAGAGAGAGAAAATTGCGATAGATGGTGTAGTATGAAGTAAAAAAAAGAGAGAGAAGAAAGAAAATCGAGGCAAGAAAGATATAAAAATATTATACAAGTATATGAATATAATTATTGTAAAAGAAAAAAGCAGTGGTCAATATTTTAATATTTGAAATAAATGAAATACAATAAATGTTAGTCAGTGGTTACCATTTCTTTGCCATGTATCATATTGGAAGAAAAAAGAAGGATGGTTTTTCATTTTAAGTTAATATTGTAGATTATTATAAAATCTCCAGACCTTTTATACATAGTTCTATTACGCCATAACGAAAGTTTAAAGTTGCTTCTTTTTCCCAACAACATTTGAATCCAAATGTAATCAACAAATAATAATTGTAAATCTTTTAGGTACAAAGACGACGTCTATGATCGGTTGTGGCGATATGACAAATATGAAGTTACAAACAGTTGGCTTCCTTTGGACGAATCAATTGATATGGATCCTTCAACCAGTGCATATAAATTGCCAGCCCAAGTATTAAGGACTGCATCCCAATCACTAAATGTCTCGTACCCCTTGAAATTTGACTATGACTCTCTGTTTAACGACCTGGATACAAATTATGAGTATCGTGTCTACTTTCACTTTGCTGAAATTGAGGCACTTCCACCGGGTCAAAATAGAATTATCAATATCACCCTTAATTCTAAACCCGTCCTCTCACACCCTTTGGTTCTTCAATACATGAAGCCAGTCACCATTAGTCCTCAAGATGCAGTCCGAGGTAGAATTTCATTTAGCATTAGTGCAACGTCAGAATCTGCTGCTCCTCCCATCCTTAACGCCTTTGAGGCCTACAAGTTGATACCCGGTCTTTATTCCCCAACAGACGCTCGAGATGGTTTCTACTACTACTATATGTTGTCTTGTTGAAGAATTAACTGTTTCAGAGAGCCTATTGCTAACATTTTCATTATGTTTTAGCTGGTGCTATTATGGACATTAAAAGCGCCTACCATATCACTTGGCTGAATTGGCAAGGGGACCAGTGTCTTCCAAAGCAATTTGCATGGGAGGGTCTCACTTGCAACTCTGACACCAATCCCAGGATCACAGCTTTGTGAGTACTAAGCTTCTTCAAGTCACTCTATATACCATCTAGGGTACAAGGGGTGATTAATGCTATTAGAAAAGACGTATAAAAAGAGAGGAGAAAAAAGATTTACTTGTGTTTAACATCACCGTAACACTTTAATGCTAGTGGAAGATTATAGCACCGCACATTGTCCAAACAGTGTGTATAAATTTAATTTCTTCTTCTTTTCATGTGTTATGCATTTATCTGTACTTTTGGTTCAAATGACTTGTTGAATTCATGTCAAACATACGAGCAGGAACTTGAGCTCAAGCAAATTGACAGGGGAGATAAATATTTCATTCTCATATCTTACAGTACTAGAAATCCTGTGAGTAGTTATTGTCGTGGCTGATTCATTTTGTGCTCAAATATTATATATACTATGTTAGAAACAGAGTACCAGTATAATAACACACCACTAAAATAAAAATGAGAAAAATAAGAGTTAAAAGAGACAGTATAATAACACACAACTAAAATAAAGATGAGAAAAATAAGAGCTAAAAGAGAGACAATACTGATGATAAAAAAAAAAAAATTTCTGGAAGAAAAAATATAAATATTACACTACTCCTCACTCTAAAATTTACTTCTCAAAATAGGAGACTACTACTACTAAGTACAAGCTCAGTGTAATACAAAATTAGTGGGAGAGAAGATTTTTGGGATAATTTGTTAAGGGACCCCAAGCCCCTATTTATAGCTTAAGAGGGGTCTCCCAAATTTTAACCCACACGATGTGGGACTAACAATTCTCCCACTTGAAGATTATAATTAAATTAATCATATCTTCACACATTACAATTATATGTTGCTTATGTTTCTAATAGGCCATACAAGGATCGACACCATGTAAACTTGTCATTGTTTACTGGTTTTGTTATTATGTCTACTATGTTGTCTTTGGTATGAATTTTCTGCATATCCACCATTCCTTCCTCTACTACTTCACGAACAAAGTGGTATTGTATACCTATGTGCTTTGTTCTGGAATGAAAGGCTGGATTCTTTGCAATATGCAAAGCACTTTGACTGTCACAATACACAGTAGTAGTCTGCTGTTTCTGCCCAAGTTCCTCCAATAGCCTTTGAATCCAGATTGCTTCCTTGCATGCCTCAGTAGCTGCCATGTATTCAGCTTCTGTAGTAGACAAAGCCACAACAGTCTGCAACTTAGATAACCAGCTTACTGCCCCTCCAGCAAGTGTAAACACATAACCAGTAGTAGATTTCCTTTTATCCAGATCTTTTGCAAAATCTGAATCAACATAGCCTTTCACAATAAATTCTGATCCTTCAAAACATAATGCAACATTAGAGGTTCCTTTTAGATATCTAAGGATCCTCTTTGCAACATTCCAATGCTCTCTACCAGGATCTGCCATGTACCTACTGACTGCTCCCACTGCTTGTGCAATGTCTGGTCTAGTACAAATCATGGCATACATAAGACTTCCCACTGCTGATGCATACGACACTCGAGAAATTTTCATCTTCTCTCCTTCATTACTAGGCTTCATACTTGAGGATAATTTGCAATTGACAGGAAGTGAGGTAGAAATTGGCTTACAATCTTGCATGTTGAAGCGCCGCAAGACTTTTAGTAAATAATTCTTCTGAGAAAGCCAAATCTTCCTATCTTTTCTGTCTCGGTGAATTTGCATTCCTAAGATCTTGTTTGCTGATCCAAAGTCCTTGATGTCAAACTCCCTAGCTAATTGTGCCTTCAATTCTTGGATTCGATCTTTGCTGGGGCCTACCACCAGCATGTCATCCACATACAACAACAAAATAATGAAATTATTATCACCAAACCTCTTGTAATACGTACAATGGTTTGAACTCAGTCTGTTGTATCTGAGGCTAACAATGAAGGAATCAAATCTCTTGTACCAACACCTTGGCGCCTGTTTTAAACCGTACAGAGATTTGGTCAACCTGCAAACCAAGTCTTCCTTTCCTTGTTCTTCAAAACCTTCTGGTTGGAGCATATATATTTCCTCTTCAAGTTCACCATGAAGAAAAGCAATCTTTACATCTAATTGTTCAAGATGTAAATCAAACGCAGTACACATAGCCAACATTATTCTAATAGTGGTAAGTCTAACCACTTGAGAAAATATTTCATTGAAATCAATGCCTTCTTTCTGAGCAAATCCTTTAATCACCAGTTTTGCACGATATCGCTCCACTTGATCATTGTCATCATGTTTGATCTTATAAACCCATTTGTTTCCAATGGCTTTTCGACCTTCTAGAAGTGTTACAAGTTTTCATGTCTTGTTTCTATGTAAGGCTTCCATTTCTTCCTGCATTGCTGCCATCCACAGAAAAGCATCTGAACTGCTCACAGCCTCTTGAAAGGTTGATGGTTCTCCTTCATCTGTTAGAAGACAATATGCATCGTGGCTTGCCATCACATAGTCTGAGTGTCAAGATGGTCTCCTTATCTCACATCTTGTTTGTTGAGTTTCTCCATCATTGGCATCATTTGGTTCTTGTTCTGCTTCAGAGTTGTCATCTTCTTTAGCCTTCCTTTCTATCACTACTGAAGTAGTGTCTTTGGTAGTACTGTCATCTTTCTGCTCCTTTTGCAGTTCATTTTCTGCAAAGACTACATCTCTGCTAACAACAACCTTGCGGGCAGTGGGATCCCACAAGCGATACCCCTTAACATTGTCAGTATAACCCAAGAATATACATTTCTTGGATTTTGGATCCAATTTTGTTCTTTCTTGGGAATTGTACATCACGTATACAGGACATCCAAACACATGTAATGAAGAATAATTAGGTGGATTTCCATTTCATATCTCCATTGGTGTCTTCAAATCAATTGTTGTTGATGGTGATCAGTTTATTACATAACAGGCAGTTTTCACTGCTTCTGCCCAAAAAGATTTAGCCACTCCTGCTATTCTTAGCATAACTCTTGTTCTTTCTAGAAGAGTTCTGTTCATCTGCTCTGCTACACCATTCTACTGAGGTGTATAAGACACTGTGAATTGCCTTGAAATACCCTCTTGCTTGCAAAATGCCAGAAAATCACCATCTACGTATTCTTCTCCATTGTCTGTCCTTAAGCATTTAATTCTTTTCCCAGTTTCAAGTTCTACTAGTGCTTTGAATTCCTTGAACACTGGAAACACATCTGACTTCTTCTTGATTGGGTATACCCACAATCTCCTTAAGTGATCATCAATGAATGATACAAAATATTTTGCTCCTCCAATAGATACTTCTGGTGATTCCCATACATCAGAATGAATCAAGTACAGTATGTGTCTGCTTCTTGTAGTCACGTTGCCAAACTTTAATCTATGCTGCTTACTTGTCACACAGTGCTCACAAAATGGTAAGGTTACCATTTTGAGGCCGGGCAAGAGATTACGTTCTGCTAGAATTTTCAGGCCTCGTTCTGACATATAACCAAGTCTACGATGCCACATCATTGTTTCTTCTTCTTGACTAATTGCAACTGATGCATCTGCTTCTTTCAACGTATCTCCCAAAAGCATGTATAAATTGGTTGTGATCTTTTCTGCTTTTATCACCACTAAGTTGCCTTTAACCACTTTCAAGATTCCACCTTCAATGTAGATCTTGCAATTGAGGTCATCCAATTGCCCAATGGATAATAGATTCTTTTTCAAGCCCTTCACATGTCGTACTCCTTGAATTGTACGAACAGTACCATCATGCATTTTCAATTTGACAGTACCAATTCCAACAATTTCTAGGGCATGATCATTTCCCATGAACACGGATCCTTCCGAGATAGGTTCATAATTGTAAAACCAATCTCGACATGGAGTCATGTGCCAGGTTGCACCTGAATCCAATATCCAACATTCATGAAGTTGTCTTCCACCTCTAGAATTTACTGCTTCACTATATAAGATTTCACCATCATCTGAGGTACTTGCAACACAACCTTGAGAGGTTGATGCTTCAATATTCTTCCCTCCTCCACTCTTCTTGTTCCAACAATCTTTCTTCACGTGCCCTCTCTTGCCACAGTTGTAGCATTTGAGCTTCTTCCTTCTCTGAGATTTTGATCTACCATGATTCTGACTCCCACTGGAACCATGTTCCATTGATCTTCCTCTCATCATCGTCAATGCTTCTACCTGTTTAGAATTTTCCAGTCTATCTTCCTTATTCTTTCGCCTGGATTTTTCTTCAAAAACTGCTCTAACAACATCATCAAAGGATAGACGATCGATAATGTTGTTGTTTGTTATATTGATGATGAGTTGATCAAATGAATCTGGTAAACTCTGGAGTAGAAGCTCCGCACGTTCATTTTCTTCTATGTTGAAATCTGCGGCTGTAAGCTGAACAAACAGCGTATTCAAATTGTTGATGTGGTCTGTTACTGATGTGGACTCACTCATTCGAAGAGTGTAGAGTTTCCTCTTCAAGAATATTCTGGTGTGAAGTGACTTGACCTCGTACAACTTGATCATTGTGTCCCAAATCTCCTTTGCAGTCTTCTTCTCTGCAACACTGGATAACACTGAATCTGCCAATGCCAAGTGCAAATTGACAACAACATTGTTATCCATTTCTCTCCATTTTTCTTCTGAAATATCTACGGGTCTGCCTTCAATTGCATCAAGACAATTGTTTTTTCTCAAAATTGCTCTTATCTTCAATTTCCACAAGGAGAAATTACTCCTATAAAATTTCTCTATCTCATATTTTGCTGCCATAATTTCTATCTTAATTATACCGACTTATGTAACTTTCACTGTGAATAGTACTACCTACTGGAACAATAATAATGGTAAACTGTGAATAAGTACACACTATATATGCACTTTTACACTACTAAAAAATTGTATACCTAGTAACAAGAATAATTCTTTTCTGATGTGACAGATCAGACAATACTGCAACCACATAGCATACTAAGAATTTTCTCTAGCACTATACCAATGTACACTACAGCGAAATAATATAAACAACCTAGAAGCTCTGATACCACTGTTAAGAGCAGAGTACCAGTATAATAACATACAACTAAAATAAAGATGAAAAAAATAAGAGCTAAAAGAGAGACAATACTGATGATAAAAAAAAATATTTTCTAGAAAAAAAAATATTACACCACTCCTCACTCTAAAATTTACTCCTCAAAATAGGAGACTACTACTACCAAAAGCTCAGTGTAATACAAAATTAGTGGAAGAGAAGATTTTTGGGATAATTTGTTAAGGAACCCCAAGCCCCTATTTATAGCCTAAGAGGGTCTCCCAAATTTTAACCCACACGATGTGGGACTAACATACTAAAGCATTGGCTCATTATAAGCCTCACTGGCAGTATTATGCCAGCATTTTGTGTACAAGTTTACGCGACTGCTCCAAATTATAAGGAAAAAACGTAGATATAATATTATAGACGCTTAATATTGTTCTTCAATTTTTATCTTATGCTTTCATCTGAATAACTAAATTATTGGCAGTTACTAATTTTAATTCAAGAATAGAACAAACAATATTCATAATTTTGTATCTATTTTTTGTCCTTTCTGTAATCTGCCCACCTGAATTTAATCCATAATGCGAAACAATGTTCCAGGGATTTGTCAAATAACTATTTAGAAGGACCTGTGCCAGAATTTCTGGCAGAATTAACCAAGTTAAAATTACTGTAAGTTTGGTGACCTTTAACTTCTTTCCTTCCTGTTAGGCACTTGAGTAATATATATTTCACTGTCTTTGCAGTAATCTCACAGGGAACAAGCTTTCAGGCCCAATTCCTAAGGCTCTCAAGAAAAAGGCCGATACAACTCTGCAATTGAGGTTTCTAGTATAATATTTTATATTCTTTGGTTCAATTGTAGCCCTCCTTTTCATTCATTTGATATTCCCCACAATATAACGAATTGTGATTTGTTGATTGATGCAACAGCGATACTGTAAAATATGTTCATATGGCTATATATATATACCAGTTAATGAGCGAAATATGTAAAAAGAAAGATATTAAAAATTTAATATCTACACTTAACATCATTTTTTATTTTAACACCTTAACAAAATTTATATATTTTAGCCCTTATAAAAACCAGTCCCTATTTCTTGCTGATCAACAATCAGCAATGGTGAGAATGAAAAAATTAAACAACATGATGCACTATGCGTTTAACTTCAACCCCTTTGCCTTTTAGATCTGTAAGTAAATTGGAGAGGTTGTTTGTATCTTTTAATATATTTTTAAAATACGTGTATATATATATATATATATAAAATAAAAATTAAAAGAGATAAAAATATAGATATTCGGTATTAATTTTAGTGGTTCAAACAAAGGCCCTTCATAATAACTGAATTTCGATGATGTATGATTGAATGTCAGTAGTTTCAAAACCTATTATTATATAATGCAAAGGTAATCCATTGTATGATAACTAATATCGTACACTTTGACCTTTTTCAGTGTGACTGATAATCCTTATATTTGTATGTCTCATTCATGCGAAAGGAAGAACTTCGTTGCACCACTTGTTGCTTCAGTTTCAGCTTTAATTGTAATCATTTTGATTGCTCTTGGATTTTGGATAATCAAAAGAAGACCGAAAGGTATTTAATGTACTTGTACCCAAGTTTCATGACTGAATGAACAATGCTATGAAGTACCTTGAAGCTATAATCGATTTATGTGAATATATTTAGCAGTTACTATTGCATGAAGAAGTTGGTTATATGTATAGTTTTGTCTTCAGTTGCCTTAATTCCTTCGCTTGAGCCTTTGGTATACTTAGATATAAAATCATTTGAAGTTTTTATCTAAACAGGTTTAAGAGATTTTGCTTTTGACACAATTATCTCTCTATTAGAGTCTAACTCTCCTAAAAGTTTTTTCTGTATTATGTTTAATGCTTGTATCAGTAATTTTAATTGAAAAGCTTTTGTAGCTTTTCTACTACCAAACGATTAACTTCTATAAATTCTGAATGGAACCATTAAAGAGATGTCATACTTGTACAAACTTATGAATAATTATTTCTACAATCAAGAGAAAGATAGAAAGAGAAGTATGAGATAAGACATGAATGTTGTGATGAAGAGAGATAGTGAGATCAACTTTGCTTCGTTTTGATTCGGTTTTTCTTTATTATTATAGTTATGCGTTCTGATTCTCAAAAGGGTAGATCATTGAAATACAAACATCGAGCATTCAGTTATAGTGAGATTCTCAATATTACTGAAAACTTCAAAACTATTATTGGAGAAGGAGGATTTGGAAAAGTTTACTTTGGCACTCTGCAAGATAACACTGAAGTCGCTGTTAAGTTGCTTTCACCATCATCAATGCAAGGTTATAAGGAATTCCGTTCTGAGGTCAGATACAGCACTCAAGTTAAAACACGTAATTTCAAATTTGATGTTAGTAAAGTAATATTTACATGGAAAATCCTACAATGTTTTTTAGTTAACTTTGGAATGGCTAAAATTTGGTACGCAGGCACAACTTCTTATGATTGTTCATCATAGAAATTTGGTCTCTCTAATTGGGTATTGCGATGAAGGTGATATTAAAGCATTGATTTATGAATACATGGCCAATGGAAATGTCCAACAGCACTTATCAGGTAATTTCTATTTTTCTCGAGTAATCAATCTATCGGCATGCATGATAGATTTAGTGTGTATTTGACACACTGAAAATTCTGTAAACGTGGATCAACCATAGAAGCTACAGCTAATAGCATTGAAGTAAATGTGGATCCATGCTCATTCAAACGTGAATCCCAACATGTTATTATTCTATCCTACTAACATAATATGAACAAAGGTGGAGTGCAAAACCTACATTAACTTTTCAGTGCACATGACATGATATCATTAGAAGGAACATGAATAAGGCAGGGAGGCTAAGAGGAGGAAATTTAATTTTGCCTAATTTTTCATTTCTGAGTGTTTCTACAGAACTGCAAGTGTGACGTCTATTTATTTTTCCATGTGAACCAAAATAAAATGGGCATGTTAATATATATTTGTGTATAGTGGACAATCCAAATGTCTTGAAGTGGAATGAGAGACTTATTGTCGCAGTGGATGCAGCACAAGGTATACAATCCATTTCTATTTCTATTTAGGACAAAACTTAGGTACAAATTTTTAATGTACTTTTACTATTATTTCTAATCACAATTAAAGTTTAACTTCAAACTGCACAATAGAAGTCGTCATTTAAGGTTATCGCAATTTATTAAGGTGAAACGCTAATGGTGATCGGAAAAATAACACCAAAAGTACTTAATTGCACCTAAGTTTTGTCATTCTATTTATGGCAGTTTGTGTTTCTTGCTCCATTTACTCTAATCTAATTCTCTCTTTCTTATGGACTTTTAGGACTAGATTATCTGCATAATGGCTGTAAACCTCCTCTTATCCACAGAGATTTGAAGACTTCCAACATATTACTAGATCAGAACATGCATGCCAAGATTTCTGATTTTGGTCTATGCAGAGCTTTTGGTAACGATATTGATTCTCATATATCAACTCGTCCTGCTGGCACAGCAGGTTATGTTGATCCAGAGTAAGTAATATTAGATTTACTGAAGTTCTATACTTTTGCAGTATTTACTCCGCAGCTGCTTTTTTTTTTATTGAAGTAGTGGATTTCATGGCTTTGAATTGAAACTACCCTCTGAACAAATTAAACGTGCATCTCTTACTAGTTTAAAACAATGTTAGCTTGTTTAGAGTTGCCAAAGAGATTGTTGTCTAAGGATTTCATTGGTCAAATTACATAATAGGTAGTGTGCTGTTTTCAGTTTGGTTTCTATGTTTATTCCTTTTTAAACCCTCCATCCTTACCAATTGATTACTATAGAGTGGATGTAATGTTGTTCAAGTAGAGCAAATGAGATAAATTTACCAATGACTTGAATTACTAAACGTTCTAAACAAAATCTTTGAATCAATCAAAACAAGATGAAACTTGAAGCTCAACAAAGCTTACTCATTTAGTTTGAAAAGGACATGAAGCATCCTATCCTCTATTTTTCTTCCCATTTGGAAGAGTTTACGGCGAGCTTATAAAAATAACTTGCGACTCTCATAACTTCTTTTCAGCTTATTTCAGTTAGGTATTCGATGAACTTATCAGAATAAGCTCTTTTGAACTCATTCCCAGAAATTTTACGGTGAAATATATGCTATAAGGTGTCGTGTAGTAAGAGCTTATTGAAGAAACATAAGCTATGTTTCAAATACACCCTCACTACAAAAAGACTTCCTTATTTTAGTTGATATCTTATGTAGTTAAAAAATGGAGGGAAAAGATGCGATACACAAGCTTTGGGTTCACTAATGCAGTTTGTTTGTTTTCTTAATAGATTTCAGAGAACTGGAAACTCAACTAAGAAAAGTGATATCTACAGCTTTGGGATAATTTTATTTGAGCTAATCACTGGGCAACAAGCAGTATTAAGAGCACCTGGAAGAAAGATTCACATCCTTGAGTGGGTTATACCAATTGTTGAAAGAGGAGATATTCAAAATGTTATTGATCCAAGGTTACAGGAAAAATTCAATGTCAATTCTGCATGGAAAGCTATAGAGATTGCCTTATCTTGCATTTCACCAGTTGCAGCTTAAAGGCCAGACATAAGTGAAACATTGGCAGAGCTAAAGGAATGTCTACCTTTGGAGATGGTTCAGAGACAAGCTGAAAGCGAAATAAGTATAGTTGATTCAAGTATTTCTCCCTCAGCTAGGTAGCTACCATGCAATGATCTCTTGTGTGCTATTTTATGTCACTGTTATTGCCTTAGTACAATTTCTCATTTATGTCACAATATACATGGAAGAATGTGCATGAAAAAGCAACAAATGATTAGTAGTTTACTCTTAAACCAAGGATTTGACAGAATATTAGTACTCAAATTGTGTGCCTTCTGTGTCAAGATAACTTTGTTATCCAATTTATAAAAAAAATCAGTGTAGATAATTTTTATAATAAGGATGCATAAAACAAGCAGTGTTCATGAAATTTGAGCCATATTGGCTTTTTCATTTGTATCCTTTGCATTGATATTTTATGAGTTTGGATTTTGTCCTCCGTACGTACGCGAGAATAGGACTATCTAATTTTATTTTTATTTAAGTAAATTAAAATTTACTTAAGAAAATCCTGCTAGAAGATTCAGGAAAAAAAGAATGGAAAGATAAAACAAACGACTAATGAAATGCTTAAAAACATTGAAAATTTAACAATTTTACAAAAAACAAAAGATGGGTTCATTATCGTTATGAACACAAATTCACACTTCCCAGAAAAACTCCACTATTGACTCATTGATTAGAAGAGTTTCTTCTTCTTCTTCTTCTAAGAGTGTTACACACACAAAATAACAGTGATGCATTGGAAGGGTACTCTCTGCTAAAGAATAGAGATTGGAAATTGAAGCAAACAAAGGAACTTTCTCTTCTGTACTTTTAAGGTTTATTTGATGAGTTCCATTACATTTCAAAAATATTGTCATTTCTTCTCTCTCTCTCTCTCTCTCTCTTTTTTAACTCGTCTGTATTTTCTGCAAGAATATTAAACTTTTGATTTTTATTTTTTTTTAGTACTTCATTAGTTATTTGTTTCATCTTTTCATTTTTCTCTAAGTCTCCCAAAATTCGTTTAAACGAATATAAACATTCTTGTTAAGATTTGGATCTATATTTTATGTCTATTACCATTAACAATCATTATCATTGTAAAACTTTAAACTAAAACAGAAACTAATATATTTAAGATGCTTGCTTATAATACCTGTAAATTTGATAGAGTATTTTATACTTTTCTTATATTAATGGGTGTTTTATTTATATTTTAATGATAATATTTTAATAATAAATTATAAGGTAAATATTTGTTTTACACACAGAAAGTAATCGTTAAATCATATAAATAAATATTTACATCACATGACACATAAATATGGCATATAAACATGTGGATAATATAATTATAGAATAATTTTTTTTCCCTTCCAAATCATTATTTGCCCTCGTGAATCGCGATGGTTTATTAATTGCATGCCCCACCTTGACCTGACCGCCTCAAGTTGCCACGATAATACCATATTATTATTTACAATTATATTATTATTAATTTTTTACACTAATTTTAAATATTTAAATATTTTTAAAATCTTTTAAAAAGTCCTATGTTTTAACTCGATCTTGTGTAAAATTATTTTAGGTTAATAATAATCACAAATCCATTGCAAAAATTATTTTTAGACCCTTTAAAGTTAGGACTATATATACCGAAGCATTTTTTTTTTATTTAATTCATCCTTGCTTTGCTTGGGGAAAAATCAGAAACAAACGGTAAATTTGGATGGATGAGAAAAAAAAAAAAAGATTATGTGCTTAGATGTAAAAGAAATTAGGAAAATATTTTTTATAATTTATTTTTAAAAATTATATAAATAATATTTTTATTGAAAAATATAATAATAAAATAATTGTTTGTAATTATTTTGTTATTTACTTCTTTTTACTCATTTTTTATTCATTTAAACAGAAGAAAATAATTTTTTTTCTTATTCCAACTTATTAATATCAAATTTGTGTTTTTCTATTTGTTACTATTTATTTATTTTACCTCTTTATTTTCTCTCCTACCCAGGTGCAACATAAGGGTAGGAATGAATTCTCGTGATATACGTGCTTACAACGTGAGTTTCGATTATTTAATGTGATTTTTTTCATTTAATTTTAGATATAATTTCTTTATATAATTTTTAAAATTCTATCACTTTATTTTAATATTCCATTGGTCATTTTTAATTTAAAATGTATTAATTATTAATTTTTTTAATATTTTTTAGTAATTTTATTAAATATATAAATTACCAAATATATTATTTAATATCGTAAATATTTAATTTTTTATTTTCTATAAAAAGGATAAACTCCACGCATTGACTTGAGCTTTGAAATCCACACATCATTATTTTTTCTCTAAATTTTTTTAGTACATGAAGTTTAAAACACGCAATCGATCGATGACATGACGATAAGAACTAGCCGTTCAAAAGCAGTGTTAAAGACATGTATGTGTGTATATATGCTAAGCCTAACACATCTCACAAAGTATGATAGCTGATACTTTGCTTTGAATAAAGTTTATGGTGAGTTCATGTTCGTCATTCTTCTCGTTGCATAAGCTCGTGTGCATTGCATAAAGCATGGAAATAGGACCACAATGGATTGTCTCCTCAAAGTTAAACACATGGCTATGGTTTGTCTTGGTTCCAATTTTCATTACTCACGCCAACTCAAGACTAGGCAAACCTGTTGGAAGAGAAATTACCAACGATAACCATCCAGGTATCTACTACTAATTAAGTACTAATTTGGCTCAAATTTTAAGAGCATTTGAGTACATTGATGCACAGTGTCTCGAGTATATCCATGCAAAATGCTAAGTTTTATTGCTAATTTGTTTAGTTTTCCATTTCACGCATCCAGGTTTTATCACTATTCCACTATCAAATTTGCTAAAATGCAAAGTTCTTTTCATCAATTCAAGCTTTGTTAGTATTTTTTTAAGCCATGATACGGTTGAGGTTGATTAACTAATATTTGATATTCAAGTGACTATCAAAATACTTTATATAGAACCTGTCAATAAGTCATCTTTTTATTTATATAAAATATTTTCTTCGATCTTATTTATAAAAAAAAAAATTAACATTGTTTAAAATTATTAAAAATTAAGATTCATTTTCAGATATATTATTTGTTAAATTCTTTTTATATATTTACTTTTTATTTATCTTGATGAATTAGTTATTTTTTAAAAAATAAAAAATATATTATTTAATAATATTAAAAAGTATATTTTTAAATATTCTTTATTTTTTATTTTGTTAATCATTACTTATAGCAAAACTACATAAAATTAATTTACATACGCAAACCCACATGTAAGTCTCTTTATTATTATAGTGATGATTTTAGATGTGCAAATCTACTAATTTAACCTGAATTTGCGCAAATAACATTTTTCCAACGTAGCTCTTCTACTTTCACATTCATATTATCTGACATACATATTTTATAGATTTCATAAGCATAGATTGTGGATCACACAGAGATTACTGGGATCAGGCAACTGGAATTTGGTATCAGACAGACGAAGGTTTTGTGGAAACAGGAACAAATCATATGATTTCATCAAGTGTGCACTTGAGCTATCGCTACTTTGGGGAACAATTGAATACACTGAGAAGCTTTCCAGAGGGAGACAGAAACTGCTACACCCTAAAACCTAAACAAGGCAAAAATAATAGCTATTTAATCAGAGCTTTCTTTGCATACGGAAATTATGACTCCAAAAATGAAACCCCATCTTTCGACTTGTACATTGGGGTCAATTACTGGCACACAATAAATGAGGACCAACATCATTTCATCTTTGCCGAGGTTATTCACACTCCCTCAAGTGACACTATACAATTGTGTCTTGTAAAGACTGGACCAACAATACCTTACATTTCTACATTGGTATTACGCCCTTTGAACAATTCCATTTATCAGACAATGTCAAGTACTACTTCACAACCGCTACTGGATCACCAGACAAGGATCGATGTTGGCTTCCATGGATGGCCTATTCACTCCAGGTAATATCATCAACCCCTTGCCTTGATGAGTTAGTGGACGTGAGTTTTTCTCTCATTGCTGCTACTGTAACAAAAATTAATAAATTGTTACTGAGACATAAAAATAATCTCTTGCTCATTAAATTTAGACATGATATTGGTACAACTGACAGACTATTCGGACTTCTAAAATGACTACCATACGTCGATCATGTGAGACAGCATTAATAATAATATCATTAAAATCATTGTTATTAGCAAATAGTGGGTTAGTTCGCACTCGACTTAGTTTTTAATTGAGTTGGGTTAAAAATAATTCAAATTTCTTTGGGTCATCCTTAAATTTAATTCTTTAAGTCGTACCCTTTAATGAGTATATTTGGGCCGACTCATTATATTTAATCACCTTTCCAATTCACGGTTGTGGTCAGCACAACTCTCCTAAACAAAATAATTTCACCATACACTCAATTTGTGGTATATGAAGTAAAAAGAAAAAGGAAATAGAAAAAGAGAGAGAAAAAAAAAATTGCAATAGATGGTGTGGTATGATAAGAGAAAAAAAAAGAGAAGAAAGAAAATTGAGGCAAGAAAGATATAAAAATATTATACAAGTATATGAATATAATTATTGTAAAGAAAAAAAGTAGTGCTCAATATTTTAATATTTGAAATACAATGAATGTTAGTCAGTATTTACCATTTCTTTGCCATGTATCATATTGGAAGAAAAAAGGAGGATGATTTTTCATTTTAAGTTAATATTGTAGATTATTATAAAATCTCTTGACCTTTTATACATAGTTCTATTACGCCAAAACGAAAGTTTAAAGTTGCTTTTTTACCCAACAACACTTGAATCCAAATGAAAACAACAAATAATAATTGTAAATCATTTAGGTACAAAGATGACGTCTATGATCGGTTGTGGCGACATGACCAATATAACGTTACAAATGGTTGGCATCCTTTGGACGAATCAATTGATGTGGATCCTTCAACCAGTGCATATAAATTGCCAAGCCAAGTATTAAGGACTGCATCCCAATCACCAAATGTCTCGTACCCCTTGAAATTTGACTATGACACTCTGTTTAAAGACCTGGATACAAATTATGAGTATCGTGTCTACTTTCACTTTGCTGAAATTGAGGCACTTCCACCGGGTCAAAATAGAATTATCAATATCACCCTTAATTCTAAACCCTTCCTCTCACACCCTTTGGTTCTTCAATACATGAAGCCAGTCACCATTAGTCCTCAAGATGCAGTCCGAGGTAGAATTTCATTTAGCATTAGTGCAACGCCAGAATCTGCTGCTCCTCCCATCCTTAACGCCTTTGAGGCCTACAAGTTGATACCCGGTCTTTATTCCCCAACAGACGCTCGAGATGGTTTCTACGACTACTATATGTTGTCTTGTTGAAGAATTAACTGTTTAAAAGAGCCTGTTACTAACATTTTTCATTATGTTTTAGCTGCTGCTATTATGGACATTAAAAGCGCCTACCATATCACTTGGCTGAATTGGCAAGGGGACCCGTGTCTTCCAAAGCAATTTGCATGGGAGGGTCTCACTTGCAACTCTGACACCAATCCCAGGATCACAGCTTTGTGAGTACTAAGCTTCTTCAAGTCACTCTATATACCATCTAGGGTGCAAAGGGTGATTAATGCTATTAGAAAAGACGTATAAAAAGAGAGAAGAAAAAAAAATTTACTTGTGTTTAACATCACCGTAACACTTTAATGCTAGTGGAAGATTATAGCACCACACATTGTCCAAACAGTGTGTATAAATTTAATTTCTTCTTCTTTTCATGTGTTATGCATTTATTTGTACTTTTGGTTCAAATGACTTGTTGAATTCATGTCAAACATACGAGCAGGAACTTGAGCTCAAGCAAATTGACAGGGGAGATAAATATTTCATTCTCATATCTTACAGAACTAGAAATCCTGTGAGTATTTATTGTTGTGGCTGATTCATTTTGTGCTCCAATATTATATAAATAAAGCATTGGGTCATTAGAAGCCTCGCTGGCAGCATTATGCCAGCATTTTGTTTACGAGTTTACGCGACAGCTCCTAATTATAAGGAAAAAAAACGTAGATATAATATTATAGACACTTAATATTGTTCTTCAATTTTTATCTTTTGCTTTCATCTCAGTAACTAAATTAATGGCAGTTACCAGATGAAATAGTAATTTTAATTCAAGAATAGAACAAACAGTATTCATAATTTTGTATCTATTTTTTGTCCTTTCTGTAATCTACCCACCTGAATTTAATCCATAATGCGATACAATGTTCCAGGGATTTGTCAAATAACTATTTAGAAGGACCTGTGCCAGAATTTCTGGCAGAATTACCCAAGTTAAAATTACTGTAAGTTTGGTGACTTTTAACTTCTTAGTTCTTACCTTCCTGTTAGGCACTTGGGTAATATATATTTCACTGTCTTTGCAGTAATCTCACAGGGAACAAGCTTTCAGGCCCAATTCCTAAGGCTCTCAAGAAAAAGGCCGATACAACTCTGCAATTGAGGTTTTCTAGTAAAATATTTTCTATTCTTTGGTTCAATTGTAGCCTTCCTTTTCATTCATTTGATAACCCCCACAATATTACGAATTGTGATTTGTTGATTGATGTAACTGCGATGCTGTAAAATATGTTCATATGGTTATACCAGTTGATGAGCGAAATATGTAAAAAGAAGGATATTAAAAATTTAATTTCTCCACTTAACATCATTTATTATTTTAACACCGTAAAACAATTTATATATTTTATATTGTATATTTCCTGAAGGAGAGGAAAAACTCTGCAGATTTTCATGAAATGTTTTGGACTTTTACTTTCGTTTTTGCTTATTTGTTCACCAACTAAACTAGTTGAAACACATACAAAGTTAAAGTTTGTCAATTTAAAATGCGAGTTCTCAAATGCAAAATAAGAAATTATGTATTTATTTTAAGAAAATTGATACAGACTCATTCCATATTATTAGTTCAATTAACTACTAACCCACATGTAAGTTTTATATGTTAGTTTTGGGGGAAATCCAAATATTTGTACCTCGACTTCATGCCACAAGGCCAAGAGAAAAAAGGTAATGATTCCATTGGTAGTATCACTTGTGGGAGCCTTCATACTTTTGACAGCAACACCCTTTATTTTTAGAAGAAAACTACAAGGTACGATATAACAACTTCTCTCATTGATTTGGAGGTACAAAATTGCATGACAAAATCATGAACTGGCCAAATATTTTCAAATATATATATATAAATATCATCTTTGAAATTTTGTTAAAAATTGATAAAATCAAAAAGAAATTGAATAACTTTCTTACTCTTCGTTGTTTTAGAAATGTTAATAACATTATTTTTAATACATGCTTTGTTATCGATTAAATTTTATTAAAAAATACATAAATTATGTGATCATACTTTTTCTTTTAATTTAATATTTTTTAAATTTTGAATAAAGTTTAACCAATTATATACATTATCCCTCTTATTATTCTATTTAACATGCTAACAAAAGTGTATTAACCAAGTAGTACTATGTTTTCTTCTATAAGATGTGAACAAGTTGAGTTGTTCCAACACATTTGATTATGTGGACTCAAATACGCAAGAGGTCACCTACGGGGAGATTCTAAGTATCACCAATAACTTAGAGAGGGTGGTGGGTAAAGGAGGATATGGAACTGTCTACTATGGTTGCATAGGTGAAAGACAAGTAGCAGTGAAGATGCTTTCTCCTTCAACTCAAGGTTTTCAGCAATTTCAGACAGAGGTATTATTTGTATTAATTATTGATTCCCTTAAACTCTCACTATACTCAATAGTTCAAGTCTCTTAAGATGAAGGAATATTAACTCTGATCTGCAGGCAAAAATTCTCACTAGAGTACATCAAAAGTGTTTGACTCCTCTAATTGGATATTGCAATGAAGCCTCGGCACTCATCTATAAATACATGCCCAATGGAAACTTGGCAGACCATCTTTCAGGTAAGAATTATTTTCTGATTCATTTTTCTATTTTCATTTTCTGAAAATACTTTTCATTTTTAAATTTTTAGTTAGAAGAGTCTTGCTAATATCCTGTGATTGGTTAAAGAATTAATATATTATATATTTTTAGTAAATATCATGTCGAGGGTACATTAAAAATTATGAAGAGAGTATTAATTTCACACATTTTTATAAACAAATTTTACTTTAAATTTCGTAAATAGAACTATTAAGACACTGTTTAACGTTTGTTATGTAAAAATTATATAAATGTTAAGTCTTAGTGATTATAAAATTGTGCTGCACATTATTTTATTCATATTACAGATTAATTTCAAATTTCTTTTGCAAAATAATTTTACATTTTATTGTCATTATAAAATGACACTTTTTGTGAATGCTTAATTAATTCAGGAAACTGATGATAATATTTGAACTTGATTTTAGCAATAATTGCATAAATGACATTATTTTCACTTTGTTTCATGTGTTTATAATATTTATATATAAAAAAAAATTTAAAGTCTTATAATCCTTATTTCTTATGCAAATCTTTCAAAATAAAATAAAATACTGTGTGATCTTTTAATTCCTTTAATTTTTTCTATAACTATACTAACTACTTACATTTCTAAAATTAAATCGTATATATTGCATATCACTTATGTGACTATTCTCCTCTTTCATAGCATGTCTGTTTGTTTGTGTTTTATTGACCAAGGTCTTGAATCTCAATACTTACAATATTCATGCAGATAAAAATCAATTTTCCCTAGTTTGGAACCAGAGACTTCAAATTGCTCTGGACTCCGCAATAGGTGAGGAAAGGGGAAAAAAGTTGTATTGGTCTGTGTTGAACCAATTCAAGCTTAACAACATTACTATTCTATCTGCATGCAGGCTTGGAGTATCTTCATAAATGTTGTAAGCCTCCAATTGTACACAGAGATGTCAAGACTAGTAACATTTTACTCGATGAAAATTTCAATGCTAAAATATCTGATTTTGGATTGTCAAGGATCTTTTCAAATGAATGTGACACCCATGTGCTAACAAAAGTTGCAGGCACCCCAGGATACTTTGATCCTGAGTAAGTAATAAATTACCATTTTAACTTTAGTGTGCATACAACTAAGTTTAAGAAAATACATTTTTTTTAGTACAATTAGAAATTTCTTAATTAGTGTTCTTCGGTTCAAAAATTACAAATAATTTTTTTTATTAAAAAACATAAAAACACTTATTAAGTAACTACATTAATTGTTTGTCATGCAGATACTACAAAACAAACAAGTTGACTGAAAAAAGTGATGTCTATAGTTTTGGAATTGTTCTGTTAGAGATAATCACGGGGCACCCTGCTATTTTCAAAAACCATGAGAACACACACATAGTTCAATGGGTGAATTCCATGTTAGAAGATGAAGGTGAAATTGATACTATAATGGATCCAAGGTTACAAGGAACATATGACACTGGGACAGCAAGTAAAGTGGTAGATGTAGCAATGGCTTGTGTAGCTCCGAGTTCTATTAAGAGGCCAACAATGAACGAAGTGATGATAGAATTAAAACAATGTTTTCCCATGGAGAATCTTGATTGTTCATCATCAATTGAATCCTCAGTGGCACCATCAATTAGCGGAAAAAGTTCTCTTGAGAGGTAGTAAGTTTGCAAATTTGAAAGGAAGAGGAATATATAACTTTAAAGGTTAAGTTTTCCATCATTTTTATTTTTTAATTACAAGAGCCATGGGAGTAGTCAACATTTTAAAAATTGTGCTACACTACAATTGTCATTTTTGCTTGTATTAAGAAAAAGCAAAGACCCATCACTAGATCATTGAAATAACATTGACATATTTGATTTTACATTTATTTCAATATTATTAATTATAATTTTTATATTATATTTATATTATCAAACTTTTTAAATAGTTGAAAAGCTGGAACTCCTGCTGGAGGAGACAGACTCAAATCCTAAACATGTGAATTTGCCGTTTGGCAAAAGTTACTGTGACATTCTCTTATGCAAGCAAAAATGAATTAAAAAAAAGAACTGATACTTCATGTGAAGACCTAACCTGCATTCATTTTCCCATAAATTCACCAAACGCTTTGTTGAAGGAGTCTTTATCGTGTTGTCTCAGAACTACAGCAACCAGCGTATATTAATATTCTGTACCCATTGCAGAACGTGTGTTGTCTGGTGTGAGCCGTTGACCAGAACTTTTTAATAAATAAATGAATGTGTACTGATCAATATATTAATTTACTCTTTATAATTATAAATAACAATTAACATTAGAGTCAAAACTACTGTAATTTAAATATTAAAACTACCCTTGTTTTATAATTTTAAGAACTATAACAATATCTGTTGAAATTTAAATAAGTTTACGTATTATAAATTGTCAACATAAATTGACAACACACAAGAAGAAGTTATGAATAGTAAATTTTTATTAAAAAAATATATAATATTATTAAATTTAATGCATTAATAATATTATAGTATAGTCATTAGTTTAACCTGGCAGTAGATTCCGGCCAGCTAAGAATTACTGGTTGGTACACAGTCTTGTGATTGAGTACTGACTTGGTAATGAAACTGAAGAGTGATGTTGCTGTGATATGAAATCCAACTAAATGGAAGACTCTGCCTCATCTGTCCACTGAAGGCAACCTAGTAATTGCTGATAGCAACTAGCACCAACTTTCATATGTTCAATTGGACTCTATTCTCATGATCCATCACTAATAAATACAACTCACAAATTTATTTGATGTCAAATATGATCAGGTTTAGTTTATAACCATCCTCTAAAGTCTGGTTAACGATATACATGGTGAAAAAAATTAATGAATAATATTTTATTAAATTATTAAAAACTTACCATACATCAATTTCTTTTTTATTTTTATCATCTAGCTAGTTTCAAATCAAATAATGATAGGTGAATATATTTTCAATATTAAATAACCTTCATTATCACTTGTCTTTATTTGACCTGAGAATGTGAGTGTAAGAAAATAAGAAACTTGTTTAAATTTTGTCTTTTTTATTTATTTATCTATATTAGTTGTAATACTAATTAACATGCGTTTATGGAAATAGATTATTTTAGAAAATAATGTTTTTTAAGTTCTTTCAAACCAAACATACACTTAATCGATTCAAATTCTATTAGACACTTGTTCGAAATTAACCGTGAATTATTTGCACCCGCTAGATTAATTTTTTATTCTGTCATTATAATCCTTTATTCAATGATAATTAAGGGAGTAAATTGGGTCTGAATGAGCCTGTAGTTAAAGGAAGTATTTTCTTGTTCTCCTTAATTTCTGCTAGATATTTTGAGAATTAATCCCTGGAAAAGTAGTTTAGTTTCCTACCTGAATAATGCTGCTATATTTCAAATTAAAGTTGGGCAGACACATCTACTTCATGATTGTGACAATATTTTGATGGTAACTAACAACTACATTTCAGTAATTAAGAGATATAACCTAATCTTTGACAAAATAATCATGATCATTTTAATCAAGTACTCTTAAAAATGGTATATTGAATTTCGGTCCATTACATGTTATTCTAATATTATAGATAAAATAAGTTTCCTTAAATTACGATTTAACATTTCTGAAACCAATTATTATTACATGAAATAATGTATTAAATCAATCAAACTAAATTTTATATGTAAATAAAGAAAATTAGAATATATAAAGAGACTCAATGTACTGTAGTTTTTATATATTGAAGAACTTTTTAAGTAATAAAGAAACAAGATTGAGGAAAAAAATTATCATTTTCATGATGGCGACTAAATTGACTATCAATAGTCTAACCAACTGTCTAATAATATTAAAAATCTATTCAAGCAAACTAAAAGCAATCAATATCGTATTCATGAACACTTAAAAAAAATGAATATACAATATCATATGTAATATCAAATTTTTATTGTAATAAAACTAGTAAAGCAAACTGAAACTGTGAGTACTTTTGAAACCCATACACATCATTCTTTTTTCTCTAAATTTTTTCAGTACAGAAGATTATCACACTCGCCCTCAGGACACGCAAATGAAGTTTGCAACACGCACAGTAGTCAAGAAACGAATCTCTTGACCCAGTCGATGATATGACAATAAGAACTAGCTGTTCAAAAGCACACTGTTATATACATATATATAAGCCTAACAACATATCTCACAGAGTATGATAGCTGATACTTTGCTTTGAATAAAGTTTTTGGTGAGTTCATGTTCGTCATTCTTCTCGCTGCATAAGCTCACGTGCATTGCATAAAGCATGGAAATAGGACCACAATGGATTGTCTCCTCAAAGTTAAACACATGGCTATGGTTTGTCTTGGTTCCAATTTTCATTACTCACGCCAACTCAAGACTAGACTAAACCTGTTGGAAGAGAAATTACCGACGATAACCATCCAGGTATCTACTACTAATTAAGTACTAATTTGGCTCAAATTTTAGGAGCATTTGAGTACATTGATGTACACTGTCTCGAGTATATCCATGCAAAATGCTGAGTTTTATTGCTAATTTGTTTAGTTTTCTATTTCGCATCCAAATTATGTATATTGTTGACTTTTTTCTTTAACTTGTTAAATCTATTTTATTAAGTTTTGTTCAAGAATTAGAATTGAAATGATATCTAAAATTAGAGATAGAAATAAGTTAAGTGAGTCGTAGAAAGGCCCATGACTTGACCCGTATTATACCTAAATTAAGTCATGTTTATTTATTAAAAGCGTTAAGTTAATTTTTTTTGACAAAAAATTATCTTATTAGTATTTTTATAAATAAGTCAGTCTTTTTATTAAAAAAATCGAGTTTAAGTTATTCATGAAACCTTTTAAATTCAACAAATCCACGTGTCATTGTTTAGAAACATCATGTGAAAAAAAGCTTTTAATAGGCTATTATATTTGAATTGCTAACGATCAAAATAGTTAATATGTTTCTTTTATATATATATATAATTTACCTTGGTATTGTTACACTGTTATTTTATTTACAATATAAATAGAAATTCAACTAACGGTTTAAAAAGATAGGTTAGATATTGTTATTTCAATTCTTATTACAGCACTCATTTAAGAATTCCATTTTTTTAAGTGTGAGATGAGTGTGGGAAACAGAGATTGGAATGGGAAAAATATTGTAATAGCAAAAGAGTTATTCTATTTTGATGCTTCTTAATTCATCACTCCCTTAAATTTATAATGAAAAATTAAATTGTAATGATTATATTATATTAATCAACAAACACTGAAACTAAAATAAGATGAACTATTAATCAACATGGTATATGAGAAATACCATTCTTTAAGACATGTTTTATAACTAGTCCACTATCTAAAATGCAAAGTTCTTTTCATCAATTCAAGCTTTGTCGGTATTTTTTTTAAGCCATGGTACCATAAGGTTGATTAACTCATATTTGATATTTAAGTGATTATAAAAATACTTTATTTAGAATCTGTCAATAAGTCATCCTTTTATTTATATAAAATACTTTTTCCGGTCTTATTTATAAAAGAAATATTTTTTTAAAAATTATCAAAATAAAGATTCATTTTCACATATATTATTTGTTAAATTCTTTTTATATAATTACTTTTTATTTATCTTGATGAATTAGTTATTTTTTAAAAAGACAAAAAATTCTTATTTAATAATATTAAATAGTATATTTTTGAATTTTTTTTTATTTTGTTAATCATTACTCATAGCAAAGCTATATAAAATTAATTTACTTACACAAACCTACATATAAGTCTTTATTATTATAGTGATGATTTTAGATGTGCAGATCTATTAATTTAATCTGAACTCGTGCAAATAACATTTTTCCAACGTAGCTCTTCTACTTTCACATTCATATTATCTGACATACATATTTTATAGATTTCATAAGCATAGATTGTGGATCACCCAGAGATTACTTGGATCCGGAAACTGGAATTTGGTATCAGACAGACGAAGATTTTGTGGAAACAGGAAAAAATCATATGGTTTCATCAAGTGTGGATCGCGACTTTGGGAAACAATTGAATACACTGAGAAGCTTTCCAGAGGGAGACAGAAACTGCTACACCCTAAACCTAAACAAGGCAAAAATAATAACTATTTAATCAGAGCTTTCTTTTCATACGGAAATTATGACTCCAAAAATGAAACCTCATCTTTCGACTTGTACATTGGGGTCAATTACTGGTACACAATAAATGTAGATCTGGACGACAATTACGACTTTGCCGAGGTTATTCACACTCCCTCAAGTGACACTATACAATTGTGTCTTGTAAGGACTGGACCAACAATACCTTACATTTCTACATTGGAATTACGCCCTTTGAACAATTCCATTTATCAGACAATGTCAAGTACTACTTCACAACCGCTACTGGATCACCAGACAAGGATCGATGTTGGCTTCCATGGAGAGCCTGTTTACTCCAGGTAATATCATCAACCCCTTACCATGATGAGTTAGTGGACGTGAGTTTTTCTCTCATTGCTGCTACTATAACAAAAATTAACAAATTGTTACTGAGACAAATAAAAATAATCTCTTGCTCATTAAATTTAGACATGATATTGGTACAACTGACAGACTATTCGGACTTCTAAA